GATAAGATGGATAAGATGGATAAAATGGATAAGGTGGAAAAGCTAGATAAGATAGATAAGATGGATTATATAGATAGATGGATGGATGGATAGATAGATAGGTGGGTAGGTAGGTAGATAGATAGATCGATCACATCCATTGAGCGTTTAGCCCGCTTAGCAGTGGATGCACGAAGAAAAGGATTAAGCTCCGTTTGTAGATTACGGCTGAATTTGCGTGATACAGTAATTCAGTGACAGCTGGTGGTGTAAATCATTTGTTGATTGTTTGAATAAGCGGAAATCAATGGATTTGATGGAAGAAACAGAAGCCCGATGAGACTTGAAGCGGAATTAGTTGATTAGCGAATGGCTGGTGGCCAACGAATTCATCTATAGTTGGAAGATGGAGGATATCCATAGGCCAACATCAGCAGAGGGCCTGTGGCAGACAGGAGCATAGCATGATCCAGTAACCTGGATGCATTTTCACAACTTAACTGCGACCGAACCCTGGAATCATGGTTAGTAGGGGTAACTATCCCCAAATGTCCTTATTTTTCAGGTTAGTGAAATATCAACATGCAGACATATTAACAATGTGGTTGATAACCATATTATAGTAAAATCAGTATGTATGGGATATACGCAGCTTTGATATAACTATAACTATACATGACTGTTTTATGTTGCGTATATATATATATATATATTATATTTAGCTACGGAGCAGTGGTTGAAAACCATAAAACCACCATTAAACTTATACAGCCACAATAAGTTCTACTGGTGTGTAACCATAATAACCATAATGATAAACCTCACTGGATATTATATACCCTTCGGTAATCAGATGGCAGTGGAACACCCATCATTTAGTTCGATGTTTCCCTTAGAATCTCCGTTTATGGTTCGAATATTCCCATGTGTTCTCATGATTTTCCGGTGTCCTAAATCGTCCCATGATTTTCCATTTCAAAATTGGATCTTCACCCCTTCAACCATTGAAGTTTTCCACAGCGTTGAGGAAATGGGACGGACTAGGGCCGCCACCCCCGGAGCTTTCCCTGCGGCCACCCGGGCCACCAGAACCCAAACCAGAGGACGTCGTGCAGGGGAAAGGCAAGTGTTTTATTGGCGGTTAATGGAGATTTAACCATGAATTATAGGGATTTATATTTGGGTTGAGCATTGGTTAACATTGGTTAACATGGGTTAACATTGGTTCAGTATCAAACATACATATGGGGATATAATGGGATACATATATATATATATATATATATTTATTTATAATCAATAAGATAATTGATGTTTGATTGGTTGTTACAGGGAGTTATGCTACCTGGGGTATTGGGGATTATGAACTAACCCATAGTAGGGAAACTTATCAGCCATAGTCAGTTTCAGTTGGATGTTTCCTAAGTCATGGGGGACCCCCAAGTCACCATGGTTGTTTCAATATCATGGTTTAGTATGGTTTAGTGACAGATTGTTTTTCAAGATTGTTTTAATATCATGCATCCTTCACTGAAGCGTGGCACGGCTTTTGCTTGACCAGATCCATTCTTGGATGGCTATCACAGGAGAAAAGACCCTCCTACGTTACATATTTTATATACACACTACATCATATGTAAGATCTACGACCTATTTAGTTTGGTCCATACCATGCTGCTGACTAAAGAACATCAGCAAAAATATGTGGTATCGTTTAACGTTTGGTCCATTGTTTCAATGCAAGTGTCCATGGTCATTGCAAAGTTAGTTTCCACATGTTTTTTCGTGACAGGAACAGCAACGAAGAAAGAAATTTGCTGAACAGGTGCCAATTGGATCGAGGGCGGGTTGCTTTCCCCGATCCTCGGAGATCACGACTGGATCCCCAGGGTCTTTAATTTGGACGGTGGTATTGTTTCTGCATGTTGGACCCTCTAGCAACTTTAGGTGGACAACTACATGTGCATGTGCTACAGTGTATATATCTATGGTTTGCATATGTGTATATATATATGTTATATGTTATATTAAATATGATATTTTATTTGTATTTAAATATACATATATAATTATGACATTTATTGACTACAAACAGATGCCTAGCTTGATTTATAACCTGCGGCTTTCACCAGTCTCTGCCATTTTCAGGCGGAAGAGCACGGCAAGGCTGGAGGGGGAAGCTGTTTGCATCGCTGCAGCAATCCTCCAATAAGATAGACCCCAAATGGATCCAAATGGGGATTATAGGGGATTATACTACCGAATATATTGGTGATTATAATAATCCAATAGGGGAATCCCTATAAACCAACCAGTATAATGGAATGATAGACTGGAAGACTGGAAGACGAGTTTTCTCTTTCTCATGGGCGATTTTGAAGGTTTTTGTTGATGGCAATACAAGTCATCAGTTGAAGAGGTCTTGATACACGTGTGTTTCAATCAAGAAGGAGGGGCTTGATTCGGAAATAAAGGTTCACTCTATCATTTATGTAAAGCAAACATCCATAGAATGGAATTGAGTCGAATCTTGACACATGTCTCTACTCATTGTAGACACTTCGGCGGGTTGTCATGTCGCAAGAGGAATCCCCGCAGCCAACAAAAGTGGCTCAGCGGTCGATCATCTGAAAAGTATGAAAGTGGGGGTCATCATCCCAGGTTTTCAAGGGAAATGAAGGCAAAAACGAGCCAACCTCCCACACAAGTGAAATCATTTACATGTACTGTACTTCGCAATTGGCAGCCGGCAAACAATCTGTCGTGCATGAATTCCTTGGCATGCTTAGACCCATTTTTTATCTACCTTGGATGTTTGGGGGTGATAGGAAACAAGCAAACAGAGGGCTAGTGATAGGAAACTTGCTGAGTGATATCAAAGGACTTTGCTAAGTTTGTTTTACAGGGTCACCAGAAAAGGCACATGCATGGCTTTGGCGATTGATGTAACACCGATTTCTGGGTGACCTGTGTATCATTTGGTTACGGTTGTTTAACCACGTTTGGTGACCACTTACCATATGATGGTTCTTGGTTTAGTCATGTTTCATCACCGTGTGAGAACCGTGATATGCACAAATTGGTGTAGTTTACGGTTACGTTTTTTTTTGTTTTACCACTTGCAGTTCCTGGGTTGTAAATTCCAGGCTCTTTTGGTTCTAGGCTTAGGCTCCATGCGGAGCAACTTCTGCCACCAGGAGAAGATGAGCCTGTACGGCTCATCTGCGCTGGACAAGGTGAAATCCAGATCCTCGCCGTCGACAAAGATCACGAAGGGAATATGTTCCATTGATTTACCTACTCATCATGGTGATGTCCCATGGTTATGTGATTTTACTGGTGGGTAATCATGATCTTATGTATGAATAAATAAATAAATAAATGAATAAATATAAATATATATATATAAAAATATGTAAAAAAAAAACTTAACATATTTAGAATACATCCGACAAACCATTCTGGCACGTTGGATGGAACTAATTTTCCCAGCAGGGACTTCCCACAGGCCTTCAAGGGTGAGAGAAAGCCAATGACGCCCACTGATCTACTCATGTCTGTTGCTTTTAGTAACAAAGGTGCCGTTTGCTTTATCTATAATTAATTATATCTATATATCTATGATTATATCTATATATATAATTATCTATATATATAATTATATCTATAGATCTATAATTAGATCTATATATCTATAATTATATCTATATATATCTATAATTATATCTATATATCTATAATTATATCTATATATCGATAATTATGTCCATATATCTAGAATTATATCTATATATCTATAATTATATCTATATACTTATAATTATATCTATATACTTATAATTATATCTATATATTTATAATTATATATCTATAAATAAAATTATATCTATATATCTATAATTTTATCTATATATCTATTATTATATCTATATATCTATAATTATATATATATATATGTAGAATTAAATCTATATATCTAGAATTATATCTATATATAATTATATCTATATATCTATAATTATATCTATATAACTATGATTATTTCTATAGATCTATAATTATATCTATATATCTATAATTATCTTTATAACTTTATTTAGTTATATCTATAATTATATTTTATACCTATAATTAATTATATCTATATATATATAACTATAATTATGTCTGTATATCTATAATTATATCTATATATCTATCATTTATCTATATATCTATGTCTCTCTCTCTCTCTCTACAGATATAACTATATATATAATATATATAAATTATGATCATGTATTGTAAGTCTCCTCAATTTCGGTTAGATCGGTTTCATGGATCCCAGCCGTTTTTCAGATAAATTGGGGTCATGTTTTTTTTTCAAAAAATGGCTGGCTGGGATAGAGATTGAGATTTGCCACCAAACGTTCAGATATTATATAGAACATATATATATATATTATATTATATTATATTTTATTATATATATATATTTAATATCATTTCATATTATTTATATATATATTAACTGATATATATATATATATCATAACAACAGATGTATTGAGAACCATCGCAAATCACCCAACATTTCAGGATTGTTTGGGCTTGGTGAAGTAAATTCCGCCAACATCTATGCTTTAAGGAGCCGACATTTTGGCCACCTTGGGCTTCGATGATCAGCACATCTACGGCGTGGATGGCTTGGTGCGATGGTTTTGGGTTTGGGCTGTGGCAGGATTCGGAGTGTGGGGTCGTTACTTCCATCCACTTCGAAGAGGATGGAATGAGGTGCCGTTGTCCTCAACTTACATGAACATATGTATAAGTATATATATATATATATATTTACACATGTATATATGTATATATCCTTATACAATCCAATCCTTGTCAGCTCATTTGTTTTGGTGAAAGGACCCCATGCTGGATATAGTAACCCAAGATATCAAAAGATATCCATACTATAATACTGGCAATCGGCCAGTTTGGGACAGGATTTTGAAGCCAATCCCGTCATCCCGTTTTGGCTCAGCGGCGGTAGACGGTGTGCAACGGCCCAGCTCACCCGCTCCGAGACGGGCGCCATGGATGAGACGGTCTTGGTGACCTTAGCGCGTGTGGCGGAGCGCGCCGAACGCTACGATGAGATGGCGGATTTCATGAAGCAACGCGTGGCTGGGCCAGGTGGAATTGAGGAAAAGCCTCGATCCAGGTGGACAAAAATGATAGAAAAGCCTCGATCCAGGATGTTGTATATGATTTTTTCCACCATGATGTCCAGGTTTTCCAACATGTTCCAACTGTTCTATCTATTTGGGGGTTGCTATAGAACATGCCAAACATATGGGGATACATGGGGATACCATTTTTGAGTGAATCTGCTGCAATTGAGATGTGTTTTTTGAAACGGTGGGGTGATGATCATTGAGATGTTGGAGACTTCTGGATCAGGCGATTCCATCGGGGCTAGCTGGACTGAAAGGCAGGCCTTCTCCTGCCATTGGTCGTTTGTTTGCCTTCCATATAGACTCCATACTGGCCGCAGTTTTGGCTCTGTGCGGAGGCAATTTTCCTATCATATTGCTAAGCACTCGATTGTCATTTGTTTTGACAGCAATCACGGCTTGCGGTGTCAATCGCTTCATGTTGCGTTTTCTGTCCATGGTGATGGTATAAACCCAATGATAGGGGATGATGTTTACCGCCCATTTCTGGTGACATTGGTTGTGGATGGTTTTCACGTGGGTTCACCCATTATTAGTTGTGCATGCATTGTCATGCATTGTTTCTGGCAAGTCTGGCATGGACTGGCAAGTATGTGGGATGGCGTGGCATTACCAGCAAGTCCGAAACTCCCATGGCAACCAAGGTTCAGGTAGGTTCTGCGCTGAATCCAGAGGACGGCGGTCAGGAATTAAGATGACTGAGCAGATCAGATTGTTTTTTTGTGAAAATGGTCGCTCATACTGACTCATACTGGATATTGGTTTTGGTTTTGATTCAGTTTTGATGATTTATCACAAGCTAGAACAGCCAAGACCAGACCCTGAAAAAAAAAACAACACCATCACATCACAGGTAGAATTGCAATGATCGGGTAAGCAGTAAGCAATTTATATTTCTTGGTATTCATTCAGGCTTTGAGAAGGTGAAATTATTATTCAAATTGAATCATGCCGATTTTACATATTCAGGTTTCAGATCTAAAATGAATGCATTAAATTTTGTTACATGCTCAATTTCTCTTCAGATTTCATGGCGCTGATTGTGGTGAACCACTATCCCATCAATTCTCCAATAGTTATCCGTGAATTCTCCATGACTTTGGTTTCAACCCTAGCCGCGCCACGCCGTGACAGGAGCGCGACATGTTCTCCGCCGCCTTCAAGAACTCCTTGACAGAGCGGCGTCACGCCGTGCGTGTGGCGGCCGGCGTGGAGCAGATGGAGCTCTCCGAGGGACGAGACGCGTGGCTTTCAGTTCGATGCCAGTGGGCTGGAGATGCTGTGAGCTCTCTGGAAGTTTGGGTTAAGTAGATGGATTTGAAAATTGGGATATAGTGGGTCAATAATCCACTTAACAACTAGTTAGTTAATTCCATGGCCCGTCTAAGTGTGTGGTGAACCCCCTTAGTGGTACGCTTTACCCTTTGGTAGTGACTCACATGCTATTGAAAACCACAAGCCACCAAGAGAGAGAGAGAGATAGAGATAAGTAAATCATGCATGGTGTTGTTGCATTCAAACCAGGGCAACGCGCAGCAACAGATTGTGCGAAATGTGCGGATATCACGAAAGTTTCCTAGTGGAAGCGATGGTCAGTAGTGGGGTTTTGCTGTACGATATCGGAACGGGGAGAAAACCCTGTCAGGTGACTTTGAGTTTGAACATGTTTGAACCCTGAGTCGTCCCTTCTGCCTCCTGGTTGCTTAGAATGAATCCCAGCAACTGGATACTGGAATTAAAGATGTTGTTGTTATACTGGACGAGAATGACACCAGAGCTCAAGCATGGTGCAAGTCTAACATCATGGCACAAGCATGGTGCAAAAAAGGGCCGGCTAAGGAAGCATATGCCTCGTTGGCCGGAGGTTATCGATCCAAGATGGAGGCGTCGATGGGACTTTAGGAGGCGATGGGACTAAAAAAATGAACAAAAAAGGGGTCCTCAATCATGTTTATTTACCCTCTGGTAATTTAACATAGCTATTGAACATGGTCCATAATCATTTATAGTTGATTTACCTATGAATCGTGGTGATTTATTGTATTAGTTTGCCACAGGGTAAATTCTTTGAGTCTGATTGGGATGGCCGTTGCCAGGCGGAACTTCAGGAGATTTGCTCCAATGCCCTGACCCTGTGCGGATCTCAAGGATGCTCCGGGAGATGTTTTAGTTTTCCGGTGACCTCCAAATGGCAACCTTATATTGTCGCATGTTTTTTTCATATGTGAGTTGTCTTATATTGTGACATGTGTTTTTTTTTTTGTGAGTTGTTTTATAGTGTGGCAGGTTTTTTTTGTAGTATATAAATATTATATATATATGAGTTGTCTGATATTGTGGCATGTTTTTTTTTTAAATATGTGAGCTGTCTTATATTGTGACATGTGTTTTTTGGATGTTTTTTGGATAAGTGAGTTGTCTTTTGTTGTGGCATTTTTTTAAATATATATCTGTGTTGTTTGATATCGTGGCATGTGTTTTTCAATATTTGAGTTGTCTTATATTGTGGCATGTGTTTTGATTTTTCATATGTGAGTTGTCTTATATTTTGTCATGTGTTTTTTTAATGTGAGCAGTCGTATATTGTGGCATATTTTTTCAATAATGTATATATATATGAGTTGTCTGATATTGTGGCATGTTGTTTTTTCATATGTCAGATGTCTTATATTGTAACATATGTTTTTTGGATATGTGAGTTGTCTTTTATTGTGGCATATGTATTTGTTTTTTTTCATATCTGTGTTGTTTGATATCGTGGCATGTGTTTTTCAATATGTGAGTTGTCTTATGTTGTGGCATGTGTTTTGATTTTTCATATGTGAGTTGTCTTATATTGTGGCATGTGTTGTTTTTTCACATGTGAGTTGTCTTATATTGTGGCATGTGTTTTTTTTCATATGTGAGTTGTCTGATATTGTGGCATGTTTTGTTTTTTATATGTGAGTAGTATTCTTTTAGTGTGGTATGTGTTTTTTTTTTTTAATGTGAGTTGTCTGACAGTGTGGCATAGGTTTTTTTTTAAATGTGAGATGTCTTCTATTGTGGCATGTGTGTTTTGAATTTGAGCCGTCGTATATTGTGGCATGTTTTTTTTTCATATGTGAGTTGTCTTATATTGTGGCATGTGTTTTCTTTCTCTTATGTGAGTTGTCTTATATTGTGGCATTTGTTTGTTCATATATAGTTGTTTTATGTTGTAGTTGTTCTTTTTCATTTGTGGGTTGTTTTATATTGTGTCATGTGTTTTATCATATATATGTGAGTTTTCTGCTTTTGTGGCATGTCTTTTAAATATATATATATATATGTGAGTTGTCTTATGTTGCGGCATGGTTTTTTTTTTCGTATGTGAGTTGTCTTATATTGCGGCATGTGTGTTTTTTTTGTTTTTTGATATGTCAGTTGTCTGATATTGTGTCATGTATTTTTTTTCATATGTGAGTTGTCTCCTATTGTTGCGTTTTTTTCATATGTGTTTTTTTTTATATTGTGACATGTGTTTTTTTCACATGTGAGTTTTCTTATTTTGCGGCATGTTTTTTTTTCCATATGTGAGTTGTCTTATATTGTGGCATGTGTTTTTTTGTTTTATATGTAAGTTGTCTTATATTGTGGCATGTTTTTTTTCATATTTTTATTGTGGCATGTATTTTTCAATATTTGAGTTGTTTTATATTGTGGCATTTTTTTTCATATGTGAGTTGTCTTATATTGTCAATTGTGGCATGTGGTTTTGCATATGTGAGTTGTTTTTTTGAATTGTGGCATATGTTTTTTTTTCATATCTGAGTTGTCTGATATCGTGGCATGTGTTTTTTTCATATGTGAATTGTTTTATATTGTGGCATGTGTTTTTTCATATGTGAGTTGTTTTATTTTTTCAATTGTGGCATGTGTTTTTCATATGTGAGTTGTCTTATAGTGTGGCATGTGTTGTTTTCATATGTGAGTTGTCTTATATTGTGGCATGTGTTTTGTTCATATGTGAGTTGTCTTATTTTGTGGCATGCGTTTTTTTCTTGAATGAGTTGCCTTAAATTGTGGCATGTTTTTTCATATGTGAGTTGTCTTATATTGTGTTTTTTTCCTTATGAGAGTCGTCTTATATTGTGGCATGTTTTTTTTCATATGTGAGTTGTCCTATAGTGTGCCATGTTTTTTTTTCTCATATTTGAGTTGTCTTAAAGTGTGGCATGTGTTTTTTCATATGTGAGTTGTCTTATAGTGTGGCATGTGTGGTTTTCATATGTGAGTTGTCTGATATTTTGGCATGTGATTTGTTATATGTGAGTTGTCTGATATTGTGGCATGTGTTTGTCTTTCATATGTCAGTTGTCTTGTATTGTGGCATGTGTTTTTTTCTTGTGTGAGTTGCCTTAAATTGTGGCATGTGTTTTTTCATGTGAGTTGTCTCATATTGTGGCATGTCCCCCTTTAAATATGTGAGTTGTCTTTTATTGCGGCATGTGTTTTGTCATATGTGATTTGCCTGATATTGTGGCATGTGTTGTTTTTTCATCTGTGAGTTGTCTTATATTGCAACATGATTGCAACATGTGTTGTTTCTTATGTGAGTTGCCTTATTTTGTGGCATGTTTTCTTGTTTTTTTTTCATATGTGTTTTTTCATATGTGAGTTGTTTGATATTGTGGCATGTGTTTTTCATATGTGAGTTGTTTTATAGTGTGGCATGTTTTTTTCCATATGTCAGTTGTCTTGTATTGTGGCATGTGTTTTTTTCTTGTGTGAGTTGCCTTAAATTGTGGCATGTGTTTTTTCATGTGAGTTGTCTCATATTGTGGCATGTCCCCCTTTAAATATGTGAGTTGTCTTATAGTGTGGCATGTGTTTTTCATATGTGAGTTGTCTTATAGTGTGGCATGTGTTGTTTTCATATGTGAGTTGTTTGATATTTTGGCATGTGATTTGTCATATGTGAGTTGTCTGATATTGTGGCATGTTTTTTTTTCATATGTGAGTTGTCTTATATTGTGCCATGTGTTTTTTGTTTTTCATATGTGAGTTGTCTTATAGTGTGGCATGTGTGTTTTCCATATGTGAGTTGTCTTATTTTGTGGCATGTGTTTTTTTCGAAACCAGTATGTGAGTTGCCTTTTATTGCGGCATGTGTTTTGTCATATGTGAGTTGCCTGATATTGTGGCATGTTTGTTTTTTCATATGTGAGTTGTCTTATATTGCAACATGATTGCAACATGTGTTGTTTCATATGTGAGTTGTCTTATATTGTGGAATGTTTTTTGTTTTTTTCATATGTTTTTTTCATATGTGAGTTGTCTGATATTGTGGCATGTGTTTTTCATATGTGAGTTGTCTTATAGTGTGGCATGTTTTTGTTTTTTCATATGTCAGTTGTCTTGTATTGTGGCATGTGTTTTTTTCTCGTATGAGTTGCCTTAAATTGTGGCATGTGTTTTTTCATATGTGAGTTGTCTCATATTGTGGCATGTCCCCCTTTATATATGTGAGTTGTCTTATAGTGTGGCATGTGTTTTTCCATATGTGAGTTGTCTTATATTGTGGCATGTGTTGTTTTCATATGTGAGTTGTCTGATATTTTGGCATGTGTTTTTTTCATATTTGAGTTGTCTGATATTGTGGCATGTTTTTTTTTCATATGTGAGTTGTCCTATATTGTGCTATGTGTTTTTTTTTCATATGTGAGTTGTCTTATATTGTGGTATCTGTTTGTTCATATATAGTTGTCTTATGTTGTAGTTTTTTCATATGTGAGTTGTCTCATATTGTGGCATGTGTTGTTCATCTGTGAGTTGTCCTTTATTGCGGCATGTTTTTTTTCATATCTAAATCTAAGTATATCTGATTTGTGTGTATGACAGGCATGCAAAGAGCCATCCCCGTTGTTTTGATATAGAAACAACCCCATTGAAACTAATTTCATTTTCTGAAAATAATGTATAAACCTAATTTGCCAATACTTTTCTCCTGTGATATTTAGCCACTATCAGTAATCATAGGGTTTATCGCATGATGAATGGGTTGAAGGGAAATGGTACATAAAAAGTCACTGTTGTTTTCTCCCTAAACAAACTCACATGTGTTTAACCCCATTTTGTTCCTACATTGTTCCTTTAACTCAACAGACAAAGCATGTCCATTCACAGTACCAAAGTCAGTCGCCATCCATTGCCAAGGCTGTCCACTTTGGTGAGTGCTGCAGAACCTGGAGAAGCTAAGACCTTCTTCTTGAAGATGCAAGGAGACTATTACCGTCCCCTGGACCGAGATGGGGACGATGCTGATGCATGTTGTTTTTTTTATTGATTGTAAAACAAGAGCAGGTTCAATAGGAGGTATATGTTTTACCATATTTCTACTGTATGTTTTTTAATGTTTATAGAAATATATTCGTATATATTTATTGATGACACATATATATATATATATATGTTTGTAGAAATATATATTAATGCATATTAATTCATATATATATGGATATTATTTGTGCATATTAATTAATAAATATTAATGCATATTAATGCATATTAATACATATTAATGCATATTAATGCATATTAATGCATATTAATGCATATTAATGCATACATATGTGTTTATATGTCATACACGTGCTTATTGGCTGTTGTATGCGTATATGTATTACTGTATGCAGATACTTGGGCACCGCTAGTGGCCACTGATGACATTCAAACATCGGTTTGGGCAACCCGCATGTTTAAGAAGAAAAACATGTGCCAATCGTCAATGGTCATGCGGTATAGTTGTATATATGTGTATATATATATATGTAAATATAAAGTATACATATATATAGATAGATAGATAGATAGATAGATAGATAGATAGACAAGCAGATTCTAACCAGAGGAGTTTCCACTGCCGGGTTCAATTGCCTTATTGAGTCCTTGCCATTGATCTTGGGACCAACTGTAACGGGTACAGTGCAGAAATCATGTTATAGAAATCAACGTCCCAAATTGGGAGCTGAGAAACCACCAAACCGTGCACCTCTAAAGAACTTCATGTCGATTGCCGTTATGTCCTTCAGTTTGGTTTCAGCATGTTACAACATTTTCTGGACGTTCCTGAAGTCCAGATAATTATTAGTTTGGATATGTTTGGATATCCTTTGGTAATGTAACATAGCTATGGAAAGTCATCATTTTGAAAATTGTCAATCATCCATCAATGGACCAGCTTCATCCATTTTCCATAGGATTTCTTGATTTACTAATGCTAATTATTATAATTATGTGGCTGGTGGCTTCAATTCCCCTATGTTAAAAATAGATGTTCCAGATACCTTCTGGTAAATTAACATAGACCCCGAAAATCGCCAATGTTTAGTGGAAACTAATCTTCCAACCCCTATCTGCCAGGGTCGATGTTAATTTACTGGAGGGTAGCCATTTAAAAAATTACTATAGAGGGTAGTCAAGCCCCACCCCGCTGAGGTTACCTGGCTGAATGGACCACAGGACCCGCCAAGAGCGAAGTTGCAGGGCAGGCGCCCTTTTTTTTGCGCGGCTCCAGGGGCGGAGTTCAGAGTTGAACCATGTTGAACCATGTTGAACCGTTGAACCCTGGATATCATCAGAAAAGCTCGATTTTCTTTGATTGTACAAGGATATAACATCATAATATGATATTAATCATATTAATTGATATTATATACTCATGATTGCCCATATGATATTACCCATGATATAAGGATATAAGTAGGGTGAAAGCCGTCGGAATTGATCCAACCAGAAATGCCTGGTATCATGAGTGGAGCTGCCATGTCCCCAATTGGGACTTTTTGTTCGGGTATATAACATACCCTCCGGTAAATGAACATAGACCCTGAAAATAGCCTAGTTTTAATGGAAACTAATCTTCCAACCCTATCTGCCAGGGTCTATGTTAATTTGCCAGAGGGTATCCCGTTGAATTTATTTGGGATAATTAAACGACTGACCCTGTTAGGCTACTGGGACGGTTTGTGGCGATTTACCATGTTGATTGACGGACGATCCAATTTGGGTGGGGGAAGTTTGATTCTTGACATGATTAATATGTCCATTATTGAGAGAGACTTCTTGAAACACAAGTCATTTCGTGCTTTGCTGCATAAGTCATATCAATGGGAATGTACTCCGGCCCTATATTTTGTAATGTTAATTCAGTACGCCCACGGTATCCCTTGGTAATAAAAATAAAAGCATGTCGGTGAATCCTCCTTATGTTCAATCTTAACTCATCCTAAGTTGCAGGAAAAACTGAGCCATTCCTGAGCATGTTTTTGCTCGGCCGGCACGGTGCCGCAGGCAATGGAAGTCTACAAGTCAGGCGCTGGACATGCTTGGAACAGGGGTCAAAAGAATTCAAAACAGATCCCAGATGCTCATAGATGCTCCATGTATGATATATTTACCATTGTTTGGCTACATTTGGGTGAGTTTTGGGGTCATACTGCTGATAAGTATTCCGATTCCAGACATGGAGCATATGGGGGTGTGATTGAAACGTATCTGAATAGATATTAGATTCGTCAGCTGCAGCCACGACCTGCAGCCATGCTGTATGAGGAGTCTTGTTTGCAGGGAAGATTAGCAGCAAACCCCTTGAATTACTGTATATCTGGTTGGTGGTTTGGAACGTGCTTTATTTTCCCCAATAGCTGGGACGATGATCCAAACTGACTGATATTTTTTCAGGGGGGTTGAAACCACCAACTAGATATTGTGATTGGAAGAACCTGGTTTTTCATTCTTTTCCTGTAAGTTTTCCTTCCAATCCATTGATCCATTGGCAAATGTTGCTGCCACAGGCATGGGTGAGGCAATGTCGCTACCCACCGCGCATCCTGTCACCTGGCTAGTGAGGCAGTGCTTGCCATACACAACCCCCTCCCACACACACACACAAACGTTAAAAACATACACACCGTTTATATGCATATTTTATATCATTATACATTTATCTATGCAATTATTTATTTATATATATATATACATACAGATTACATTTATGTCATACACGTGTCATACACACACCGTTTTATTTATAGTTTTTTGGCTTTTGACATGCCGGCTCTACTGTTTCACTGATCGCGATTCATGTGAAATGTGTTGTTGTGTTCGGTGACCATGCTGAGGACACCTCATGCATCAGCGTGCGCCTATATAAATGCGCCCCTACACATTTCAGTCCATTTGAGTGTTACGGCAGCGTCACCTTGAGGCGTACTATATATATATATAGAGATATATTAACCCATTAGCTTGAGAGAACATTAAATGATGCTCATTGAAATTTGTCATTAACCCAAAGCCTTGGTGCAATCCTAGGTGCGACTGGGTTTGGCCCTCAACTTCTCAGTCTTCCTGCATGAGGTGTTGAAGGACAGTGCACGCTTTCACCAGGGATCCTGGTGGTCAGTTCCGGGGATTCCACCAACCCTATATATATATACACGTATATATACATATTATATGTTTTCCCATGCATATACACATACATACATCTACACACACATATATATATATATATATACAGATGGCTACAGAGTGTTGTAGATTGGGGATTCAACCAGCAAAAATCAGGGTAACCAGAATGATCCATGATGGTGACCTCACCATTAGCAAGTTTTTTTGTTTCGGGCCTATGAATTGAACCAACGTCCTCACGATAAGGGTGAATCTCAACCATTGGCTTGCATGGCAGCTTGAACTTCATGACGAAAATTGCAAGGTTTGATAGCAAGGTGGACCCCCAAATGATCCCAAATGATAAGTAGGTAACTTGCTTTGCCTAAACATGCTGTTTCACACTATTGTACGCTTTTGTTGGCCACAAGACTCCATCAACCACCATTTTTCATAATTTTTCTTGTTTCAACCTGTATGTTCGATGATAAAACAATCATGTTGGATAGTTTTTCTACGTTTTTCTCCATATTTCACCACCATTTTAAGCGAGGCGCAGCCCGGCCTCCAGCTGCCTCCAGCTGCCTCCAGGACACCGAGCATGCAGTGGCCACGGCCACGGACGCACTGAACGCGGCCAGCGCGGGCATTGAGGATATCCCAGAGGAGTCGCGCAACGATGCTTCGAGGGCAAGGTTTGTGGCCCAATGATGTTTATGGGATGGAAAACCAAGAAAAACGGTGATTTAATGGGCTTTGATGCTGATGAAAAATGGTGACTTCGTAGGATTTAAGCGTCAGAAAAATGGTGACTGATTGGGATTCAAGCTGGTGACTCATATCATGGGATTTAATAGTGATATTGGATACAATGGTGTAAATATTCATTATATGTTTTTGGTTGGCCGCCAAGTCTGATTAAGTATCTACTCCATATTACAACTTACTAATACTTATTTCGTTTAAACACACTTCAGTGGGCCATGGAGTTCGTCAACTGGCCAATCCCATTGCCCATCTCTTCGCAGTGGCTGCGGTTTTTCGCCCCTGTTGGTTGATGATGTTTGTGTGTTTTTTCTTCGCCCAATATCTTGGGGATTATTTGGGAATCCTTATTATAGGCATCCTTATTAACCAATTAGTATATAGGGACAGAAGCTTTCGAACACTTGCTCAGATGTCCTGTTCCCATCGGTTGATTGGCTCGGAGTGAATCGACTGTCATGTTCCCACCAACAATGAGGATTCTAGACCGCCAAAATTTGATGTTGACCAGCAACAGCCAGACTTGGGATTAGCATGGATGAGCAACATTTTATGATTTTACTCTATCCATTATGGTCATATAGTGTTTTGATGAACTTTGGGGTTGCTTTCCCGTAACAGGCATGGGATGATCCCCAATGACAAGTGCTTGTTTTGAGGGCAAAACCACCAATCAGAATTGCTGTTACTATCCTGTGCTTGGGGGAAGCTAAGGAGATATGAGTATCCATATTTCCTTCTTTTTTCATGGGGAGCCAAGGTACTACTAATAGTTTCCCAACCACACAATATATTTGGTAACTGGTGAACACACTAATAGTCACGATCCCCAATTCATACAGTAACAGCCCTTGGAATTAACATTTACCTTCGAGATGATGTTAAATTTGGGTACTGGGGATGATTCATAGAAGAAATCCGTGCAAATTCATGCTTTGTGCAGCGGGCATCATCCCTAACTGCTTATTGTCAGGTTTGTAAATTTCCACAATTTGCTTAGGTGGCTTTGGGTGGTTGGGGATGGTAATGAGCCCGGGCACATTTTTTTCGTGGTTTGTCCAGAAACTAGGTGCAACTTCTCCAAAACTTGCCTTTTTGTTTGTTCTTTGAATGGACAACAAAATGATCATAAAATGATAGTTGGTCTTGGTTGGTAATTTTGGTTGGAAGAAAACTCATACTTCCTTTTATTTTCTTCCATAATTAAAATGCTTCCCAGGAAGTACTGTTTGGTTGGTGTCCATTTTTCTTTGACCCGCCGCATGGCCAACTTTCGATGTACTAGATGGCGATATTTATTTGCTAGATGGCAACCTAAAATTGAGCGCATTGCATTGTGTATATTGGATCGGTCGGCAACCAAATCTTCCTTTTTTGGAGGCTTGTTTGATCAAATTGATCCTTTTTTGTTTTTGAAGATGATCCAACAACTTCCGGTCCAATCACTGCTTGGCCCACAAGCATACGGCGAGCGGCATGGGCTGTTGTGACCACAAGTCAGGTTGAATTCCACCATGACCCCATCCCAATCAATCCATACAATTGTATGTATACAGCATATCATTATATCTATATCGAATATATTTATAACACACACGCACAGAGAGAGAGAGAGAGAGAGATATATATATATATATGGTGATAGTGAAAATTATATAAGCACGTGCACCCCATCCTTTTTCATATTTGCCACGGCTCACCGCATCTGAGGATTCCATCATCACCATGCAGCTTCTCAATGATAATCTAATGCTTTGGTCATCGCAGTGAGCGCACAAATTCAGCGCTCCCCCTATAGGCCTGGTGTCCCGACCCCTTTCGGTACAGAGTCGCGACAGTGTGACAGTGCCGTGGCGGGTGGCGCACCATGTAGTGATCGGTCAATTTGCATGGCAATTTCGCGTAGAGCTTCGATTCCGACTCGTGAGGGTTCCAAGAAATGGGTCGCCAGCGCAGGCTTGCCATTTGGGATTCAGGTGGGGTTTCCATGGTTTGCATCCACGCTTGAGGATGGCCTATATAATTTACAGCTCAGTCGTGAGATGCTGCTTGATCCCACCCAATGAGATCCCAAAACGGTGGTAGACCTGATTCGTGTGTGACACCACCAGACCTGCAAGAGCAGTTTGTTTGACTCACAAAATTGGAGGCCCAACCTGAGATATCAAGATATCTTGTTTTCAGGTGGAGAGAGAATTGTTTTCACAATCCTGACCTGCCAGGTAAATCAAGGAGATCGACTGAGGCTGCATCAGCAGATTCTCCTTCCAGTGCCTTTGAATGAAACGCATGCCTCTAGAATGATGGGAGAAGCTTCACGAAGCCAAGAAGCGGTGGAAATCCATAGAGCCCAAAGATCTGTATTTTGCTGGGTTTTTTCGATCGCTGAAGCGGGACAAATAGCCCCAAGGGACAAATCTTATGGAAATGTGTGGAAAAAGTGCCGCCGAGCCTTTTTGATTGCACCTGAATCCAGCCACATGCACATGGTTCTTTCAAACCGCAGACCTAGCATGCAGCCTCGAGAACTATAGGTTCAGAACTGTGTTCAGAAGATTCCTGTATTTTCCTGTGTTGTTTGTTTCTAGTCCATGCTTTGCAGGCAATCTGTTTACTTTTGACTTGAAAACTACGACAAAACAAACATCGAAAGACGGGCGCTGCAAAATAAAATTAGAACCCCCCAAATTGATGATAATTGAACAAATTGGATGATATAGAAATAATTGCCATAAAATAATCCCCAAATAATTGCAATAAAATTAGATGATATAGAAATTGCCAAAAAATGGTGGTTCCATTGACCTCTCGTTTGTGTCTCACATCTTGGGCTGAGGCCGGCGATCGTACGCATGGCATTGAGGCACGCCGGATTTTTAATAACGACGACCTCGTTTTATGAGGTGACAACGTAAATCACGCGGTTATGATATGGGTAATATCAAGGATATCATAGCTAACACGAGCAACATCAGCAATATACTCAGTAATGTTCAGTTCCCTCCCAGCCACGTCAATCGCATATCCAGTGGAACGGAGGGACCTTTTTGGAGCTTTTTGGAGCTATGGGTCTCCAGTTTTTCCCTGTTATATCGAGAGATATATGGAGATACAAATGTGCAAACCACAGGGTAACTATCAAAAAAGGACAGGACAGGCTGATGAACTCTTGTTTTTTTTATCCGTTTGTTTTTTTGAGGGGATGAACATGATTGAACATCACAAAATCCATGTGAGAGTTGATGTATGCTGATGTCATGTATGAAAAGTACAAGCCTATGGCCTATGTTTGTGCTTTTAAAGATATTGATTTCATTTTTATGTTTGAATTTAGAGCATATATTTTATATCATATTGTATCCTATTCTGGTGTGCTCCTTTATTGAATGATGATGATCATGGTTATGATGGTGATGATGATGATGATGATGGTGGTGGTGGTGATGATGATGAATCCACTTGGCAAATATGTGTTGACATTGTTTTCATGGAAGATTCTGATGGTGCATCACCAACTCAGAAGTGACACCTGCTCAGTTACCCTCCAGTTTGCTAACATAACTATGGAACATCACAAATTTTAATAGCTATATATATATATTATAATATAAATATATTTGGCACACAGCATATTAAATCATTTGCACATGCCCATGAAATTAATAGCTATGTGAGAAATCATTGGGGGGTATCACTTTCAGTTTGGTGCCAGGAGTGGGCAGCATGCTGTGAGCCCTCTGGGCGGTCGATAAATGGATTTTAATTGGGAGATAGCGGGTTAAGAACCCACTAAGTAGTGGTTACCCCCGTCAGTCAGCATTTTGTTTGCCATCCGCATGGTCTTGGCCGCTTAACGAAAGAAATGACAGCACTGGCGGCCACTGGGCTCCTGAGCTCAAAGGCCCCTACAACCACCAAGCAGCAACTTCACTAGCCACAGATCATTCCAGTATGAGTTGCTACTTGCGCTTGGGGTTGCACCAAAATTGCACAGCCGTTGCTGGGCCCAGCGGCCCGGTGCAAGTTTTCCCCTGGTGGGCAGGCCTTGATGATGAAAGAGGGCGACGCTCACAAGCTAAAACCTGTGGCCGCTTGACATAAAGGGCTGCTGTTTCCAGTTTAGGACAGGATTTGTTGGAGATCCTTTCGCGAACAAGTCTGGAGGTGAAAAATAAAGACATTGTCCTATAGATGGTGCAATGTTTATGCGGCCTGAAGATGTTCCTACAGGTTCTACAGGTTCAAGTCAATCAAGTCAATCAATGGAAATGTCGTTCGTTTTTGTTGCGCATTGGAAATCTTGCTGGGCATTGGCCCATTGGCTCCGAGGAGAAGAGATGTCGTGCACTTTGGAACGTGATGATTGCACCCCTGCTCATGCAACTAGGCGTAGAAATTGCATCATTAAAGCTGGAATGATTGTACTGTATATCCGGGCATGGGAAAGATCACATCCTATTTGAACCCAGAAGAGAATGAAGATTTAATTTCTGAGAAGGCAGTTGCCAAATAAGTTTATAAAAAAAACTATGTTCTTTTGCTAATTACTGATTGCTGTAATGTTTGCATAGATTTGAGGTGGAGTGGGTGAGTGGGATGGCACTCTGTCATCGTGCCCCAATGATTGTGATGGGAACTTCACCAAGACACTGAGGCTGGCGCACCTAAATCGGCTTGAAAATCGTCAGCCCGACCTCTTGAAGTATTTGCTGGTACGCACTTTGCAGGGACGGTAGGGCTGCGGCTGAGCACTTGCTAGATCTTGGGACGTGTGTCCGTTGTTCGCACCCATGTTTTTGGACGTTTTTGGAAATGGGCTGAAACCATCACCAACCATAGTGTTTCTATGTGTTTCTATGGATAATACTTTTTTTATCACCTTTGAGGCAAAAGTTTTTGCTACGCGCACGGCGCAAAACAAAGCCGGGAGGATCATAAGGGATCATCTTGCAGCACTGGAGCGGCAGGGTTCTAACTGTTCTAACTCGTTCGTTAAGTGAAAGTGTAAGCCTCATCAAGTTGTACCAAGTCTAAAAGGCCAGCTTGGAGAAAGATGTGACCAGTGAAATTTGGGATCCGAGCTGGACCAGGTCTGAAAATTCACGAATAAAGAGATGTTTCCCGCCAAAACAGTACCATGTTCCAATACTGTACGGTAATTGAATACAAAATCAAGCTATAGCAAAAAAACAAGCTCGCATTGAGAAAGTCAAAGCAGTTCATATTGATCTTTCAACTAAAACCTTAAATGGTTACTTTTTTGGCAACCATTTTACGAATTTTGCTTGAAACCCATCCCCCGGGAAGCCGGGCATCGCCGGGGCGCCACAGCACTGTCTTCTTGGACATCGTGGCATGGTCTTCGGAGTGTTGGCCAGCGTGTCGCCGGTGGGGGCGGCCCAGATGGAAATCCCCGCCCTCCGGGCCCAGAGGGCTCAGTGGATGCCGTTCCGTTCACGGAAAGACAATATGAAAAAGTATCTTTGGGATCTCGGTATAGGGGGTAACTCATCTCAAAATTGAAAATCATCGGGGTATTAGGGGAACATTTTTTCTGGAAACTATTAAATGATGACTTTAAACTTCTAACCAACAATCTCATGTTTCGATCTGTTGGAACTTGGGGGTACAGTAATACCCATAAAATTTGGAAATAAAATTGATAAACCATCAAATTAGGTGGTGTCCTATTTTCAGAGAAACTCATAGTGACCCGTGACCCCAATGGATTCTCCAGAAATGGGTTCTCCAGAAAAGGTGATAAATTTGGATATTCAGAACACTTCAACGGTACAATTCGATGATATCATGATGATACAATGATTAAATCATGACACATGTGTCCAACCCAAAAGATGTTTATACATTCATTTGAAGTTTCAAGTCAGTCTATGTCTGGCCCGCATTGCCCGACAAACATGCAGCCAGTGGCAGCCAGTACTGTTGCAAAATGGGGGCTACCTCATGGCCTTCTGAAATCCCAGTATGTTGTACCTGTTGATATTCAACAGGCCTGAGTCATCATGGAAGATGTTTTTTCTTGTTTTTTCTTGTTCCAAAGGGTCATGGGTGGCAAAGATTTCAATAGGCAGGTGATGTTGCGATTCCATCTCAGGCGAAGCGAAACGCCACGCTCCCGGCGTGGGAAGAAGTGGCGAAGGTGGGAGGGTTGACCGAAAAAAAACACCAAAGATGATGGTTAGGGGATGTATATAAGGGGATTAAGGGGTAACTATCCCAAAATGTCCATTAGTATTTATACTATTTTACACTTATCAAAACTTTTTTCGGGTATTTTAAACATGATTTTGGAATCATCATCATATACCCAAAATTATGATTGCATTTGCAGTATCAACTTGTATGGAATAAGGACGATGAAATACACTCCAAGCTGTTCCATAAACACGTGGAAAGACATGTGCTGCTTCTCTGGGAATTGCTTTTGACACCTAGCTATGTGAAGATGCCGTAGATGCAGGCAGACTTGTTTTCCAAAGCATTTTCGCAGCATTTCCCCATGTCCCACATCCACAAGGCCTTAGAAAGCGGCTCCCTCTCGGAGCGCTTGGAGAACCTGCGCGTTTTGGGCTTTCGAGGGCCCAAGCCGCGCAAGACTTGCTGGGCTGGATCTGTGTTCCTTGGCTGTGTCACTGGGATGATCTAAATTTTGTTTCAACATCTCAACACAAAAAATGAGGCTCCCCACTTACTCACTCAACATGTTTGTTTTGCAGCTCCAACACCTTGAAAAAATCTACTGACGTATTCTTGCTGATTGGAATCTCAGTCAGCTGGCGTTTATCAGCTAAGCTCAGACATTTGCCGCTTGTTGTGACATGTTGCGACCAAGCTTAGAAGCACGGGGCTGGGGGCAGATTGTCATTTTATGGCTGTGGCTGTGGATGCCATTTTCAGATCCCTGGTTCAGATATGTTCAGATGATAGCAATCTTGTTTTTTTCTGCTGCCAGGCGGTGTCCTATTTTTAGGATCAATTCACTTGTCATTCTGGCATCCTTCCATCCTTCTTCCAGGGCTTAGATCAGCTGGATGGTCATGCTATCCTCATCCCAGACATGATCTTTTCGGTCTCCGGATCCTATAGCGGATTCCCAGGTGGGTGAAAGATGAATATCCACGGAATCCCGATTCGGCGCCATGGAAGGCAAGATTCACTGGGAGGGAATCAACCTTCGCTCCACAACTTGGAAGATGGTGGCTATAATGAGTTATAACAATAATCAAACGTGGCACATCCATGCAGATCATCAATATGAGGGATGTTCCATTGCCATGTTTGATTGCTAGAGGGCAATATGTTCTTCATTGTTGTTTGTTTTCCTCCTTTGGGGCTTCGAAGAGCGTCAACATCTTAGTTACATCCTAAAAGTTCCAGCGTTTTCCTCCGTTGTTCTGCGCGATTTCAGCACTGCACTGCGCGCTGCACGCGCTCACAGGCCTTCGAGTATGTTGATCGCGAGGACGCTGACGTCCTGGGGTGCCTTGGTGCCAGCAGTAGAATTGGCCTGAGGGAAAAGACACATACCATAAGAGTGTCAAAGCTTTTGAGTTGATGTTTTTGATCGGGGAATAAATCCTGGCTATGGTCAACTTTGAATTATGTGCATCTTTTTCCGGAGGATTAATGAAAATCGTTCCCTTCAACCAGCCTGGTACCAGGCAAGGGAAGCCGGGTATGAAGAACGAAGCCTTTCGTTGGAACCGCCTCTGGTGTTTGGAGAGCAATCTGCAGGTGGACACCAAGGAGCGGCTGAAGATGGAGGGGAAACCACTTTTTTGGGGCTGGGAGACTGCCGCTTCTTTGGGCCTTGGTCGTTGCAATGTATGAATTTGTTCAAGAACGATATGTATGGACTTTGTGGATATGTTCTATATGTTTCAACGGTTTCCACAGATTTTGATATTTTGAGCCGGAAAAATGATGATGCTGGTGCGCTGGTGGAAGCGCATTTGCCCCACGTTGTCCTTTGTCACCAAGTTCTCTTGAAAGCACTGTCACTGTCCAGCCTTTGGATCAACACAATCTGGCAGATTGATTGAACACGGACGTTCCGTGCCAAGGAAAATGAACATGAAGTTGTTCCTTGCCGTAACCCATCAGTGATCATCAGCTTCAGCTTCTTTGCCGTGCGGTTATCCAGTATTGCAAGCAATGGCGATGGGTATCACATATATCACATTGTCAACGCCTGGATTTTAGTAGTGATGCAGGCAATGCCGTGATCACATCCTTCAACTACGTTCGTTTCTTTAGTGTCGGCTACTTTGGTTGGAAAATCATCAAATTGAGGATCCGGTAATTTCAGTGATCCTTTCTCCATTTTATCCGTTTCCTGTGGCTTGGAAGGAGCGTGAGTGGGAGATGGGCTTCAAGAAGCGTGCGGAACAGTTCATTTGGGAGGCTGCGGTTCCAGGGCCATTCCTGCGGGCTGGCAGGGCTCAGTAGATCTTGGGAAGATAGGTAGACTGATGGTCGTTCATGGTCTTCTGTCGTCAGTTGAGGAATGTAGTGGTGTAATTTAATCATGTACATCGTGTTTCCAGCAATGTGTTCTTGCTGAGTATGCCAGGCTAGCCAAGCCATGCCTTTTGTGTTGGTGTTGCCATTGCTTGCTGCTGTTGCTGTCAACGATGATGATGATGGTGATGGTGATGGTGATGTTGATGTTGATGAGTATGATGAGTATGATGATGATGATGACGATGACGATGACAATTAGTTTTTATCATAACGATGATGAGGAGGAGGAGGAAGATGATGCTGTTGCTGCTGATGATGATGATAATGATGATGATGATGATGATGGTGGTGGTGGTGGTGATGGTGATGGTGATGTTGATGAGTATGATGAGTATGATTCTGATGATGACGATGACGATTACGATTATTTTTATCATAATGATTATGAGGAGGAGGAGGAAGAGGATGCTGCTGCTGCTGCTGCTGTTGCTGCTGCTGCTGATGATGATGATGATGATGACGCTGACGATGACGATGGCGATGACCGTGATGATGATGATGATGATGATGATGATGATGATGATGATGCTGATGATGCTCTTGATGATCATGGTTATCATGATGATCATGATTATCATGATGAACATGATGATGATGATGATGACGACGGCAATGATGATGATGATGATGATGATGATGATGATGATGATGATGACGATGGCAATGATGATGATGATGATGATGATGTTTTGGTGATGACTAACTATGATTCCAAATGATGATGAACAATGATGGTGGTGATGATGATGATGATTATTGTTATTATCGTAATGATTGTGATGATTCCACCGGTCCCACCTGCTGGCATTCGACAGCTTGCAGCTCGACTCGGGCGGTACCAGGAGTCTCCAGGCTTCAAGTGGGACGGAGGAGCTGGCAAGTTGCCCACGCCCAACATCCATGACAAGCGACCTGGCTCGCAGCCTGAAGAATCAAAGAATCAAGGGCACTCAGCTACCCCACTGGTTGGGTATGTTGGAGATTATTAACCAACAACCACGTTTAAAAGGGTGAATCTTACATAACCAGACTATCATTGGGGGATCACCGCAGTGCGGAGGGCTGGCTGAACAGCAATCAAAAACATGGACGCTGCTTTTTGGGGGGTGCCTTGGTTGTGGATGGGCTTCCGGCAAAACTGGATTTTCAATATGTTTGTCGCTACCGGCGCTGTTAACGGACCCGCAGTTTTTCCTGCTTTTTTTTGCTTCCGCATTGCCCGTCAGTTAGAAGTTGTGCGCGTCAGTTAGACGGTGCGCACGTCAGTTAGAAGTTGTGCGCGACGGATAGTCTGATTTTCTTGGGGAACTGGGTGGAGTGGGGGTGGGCAAGTGGGCCACAACTCTGTAACGCCTCACGCTCTTGATACTTCTCTGTAACATGTGTTTTGTCACTTGCCACATGCTCTTGATGCTTCGCTGTGACATGTCTCTTGTCACTTGCCACACACTCTTGATGCTACGCCGTATCACTTCCCTTCTCACTTACCACACGCTCTTGATGCTACGCTGTAACATGTCTCTTCTCACTTGCCACACGCTCTTGATGCATCTTGATGCTACACTGTGACATCTCTCTTGTCACTTGCCACAGGCTCTTGTTGCTACGCCGTAGCACTTCTCTTGTCACTTGCCACACGCTCTTGATGCCACGCTGTAACTGTAACATGTCTCTTGTCACTTGCCACACGCTCTTGACTCTTGATGCTACGGTGTAACATGTCTCTATACCAGATTGAGTTCACTCGCAAGACCAAAGTGAGAAAAAAATCGCATCAGTGGAACACAGTTGCTTGACCAGATCTGGCGCCAACTGAGCGCTTTGCGCCCTTCTCCCTGGGTAGCAAAGACAAGGTGACCAAAAAGGATTCTCAATGAATCCAACAGTATATGTGTGGTCCTTCGCCTATCGTTGTGGTTGGAAGTCTGAACAAACTGGCAGCTAAAGTTAACAAACGCAAACATTGAGACCCATGAAGAGAGAAAAGCAAGAGCACGAAACGCTGTGTGCAAACCCTGTTTTCCAAATCCCGGTTTGCAGAATATTTGTCCCAATAGAATTCAGTGGTCAATGAATAATTTCCTAGCGTAACGTGGGACGAAAACACCATTTCTACTTTAATTAATGCAAAACAACAAAATCGTGACCACAGTTCAGAGCACATCAAAAAAGAACGAATGAAATAAAAACAATAAAAAACAACGCGTCCGCTATCAGCGCCGGAACCTCCAAGTTGCACGCATGTTTTTTTTCAGAAATCAGCCGTGTGGATTGGAGGGTTCACTATCCAAATTCATCACGGTGTGTTACTTCATGGATGATGAACCATGGCAATCCCTTCCCCCTAAAAACCTCGCTAAGAACCTCTCATTGAGTATTCGATCTGTTCATCTATTATATCTATTCATTTTGGATCCCTCATTGGGAAAATTTCTGAAAATTTATGTTAGGGAAATTGGGCTAGTTCAAGGGTCTAAGTCTACCAACACCATGTCGCGTGCCCGCACGGCATTGTGATTATTGCGCCCAGGATTCAACTCACAAACCGGCTATTTGTGGATGAGGCTTGGGGAAAGCGGATGGTTTGCCTTGGTCCGACCTGACCCCCTGGTATTCTGAAGGAACACCTGGCATTCCCAAGGAATATAGCGGAATAAGACCTTAAATGATGTAGCCATGCTACTGGATGGGGTATGCCGGTATGCCCTCATTGCTCGTGCTACACTCCCGGATGTTTGATGCGTTTTGAGGCCTCCTTTTTGTATCAACAGAGGCTACAGCCCATTGGGTCGAAAGGGTTGCCGGGGTCGTAGGCATTAGCCCAGTGTGTCCCGATGACCACCCGCCTGAAACTGGTTGGTGAGAAGCTTCTCTGCCGCTTGGCTGGGAGGCTGACATGGGGTCATGGCTGCCAGTGCGTTTGAGATGTTGATGATGGTCAGCATGTTGATGGTCAGCATGTTGAGTAGTACTGTTTACTTTGCTAACTTACTAGTTTGTTTAGGAATATGATGGTGATGTCGATGATGATCCTTGTGATGGTGATTCAGCCAAGGTCCGTTGCTGATCTTTTCCGCGGAGAGTTTGAAGAAGACCAGCGTTGGCGCCTGGCTGACAGGAAACGACCCAGAGGAGCCGACCATGTATTTTACCTGGGGTCCCAAGAAACGAAACCAATCCTACTGTTCCAGCAAAATCAACGGGAATTTTGACGCTCGCTCATAGAGGAACCATTATTGTCATTATTGATGTTATTGATAATCGATCATATTGTGAAGACACGTTTGGGCGTTTGGGCTTTTGGACGTTTGGGCGCGGCGTGGCTCATGCCCAGTGTCATGCACACATACCAAGCGGGCCAGCACTTCTACCATTTGCATTGTGAACGAGTCCGCTCAGAACCTTGTTTGGCCTTCTGTTGTGTTTTATTTTCCTAACAGGGATGAAATTTGATGACAATCCCAGTTGATCACAGTTTATCCATGTTTAAAAGAACGCTGACTCGGCCACCAGGGTCCCATAGCATGTTGTAGTCCATTTGCGTTGAGTTCAATTCTTCAAAGATCACAAACAAAACGTCTGACGATACTTGAGCAGTCTGCGATGGTGATTGGGTTGGCTGGGGAATTGGCTGCTTGTATAAATTTTGATGACATAACTGATGATTTGCATATGGAAAATTTGGGGCCAAGTCTCTATTTCCACCATTGTGTCTTGTTGTTCGCATATGTATTCTTTGAAGCCTCATTTGGATTGGCTACTGTTTAAATTATATAAAATTCAATTGATATTTGCAAATCCATGTGTATGTATTATATTACATGGATGTTTGCAAATCCAGGTGTATGTTGGATATCTATCGATCTATTATGTGGCATGTTTTGGCCCTGATTTTGCCAAAAGTACCATGATGCTGAGTAAAATAGATGAGAGGGTGTGTATATGTATGTATATATATATATATATTCTGTAGGGCGGGAAATATGAAATCCCGCCAAATTTCAGCACTATATGTTTCAACAATGTTTTACATATGTGTTTTTAAAGGCATGTGTGCAGCTTATTCGCTCAACATAGGCATGTAAAAAGATAAATTTGCATATGTATTTGTTCTGAATTGCTTTAATGTAATATGCACATATGTATATGTATGTATATGTATATATGTAAACAAATGGATATATGCATATGTATATTTATTTTGCATATGTATACATTATATATATATATATATATATGCATACCTGGGGCCTAAATGTCCTTCAAATTTAGAGGCCGTATCAACTTTACATCCCTTCATTAAAAAACCTGTAAATTTACCAAACGGCCGTATTTCTGCAAAGGGGCGTATTCTTAACATAGTACTTGTTAAGAGGGTTCCCTCTTGGTCATTCTGGTGGTTTATCTGTGTACATGAATGTGGATTACATCCCTCATAAAACCATTTGTTGTGTGTTCCAAGAATTCCTTAATGATTCTATACCTTATAGGGTTTATCCCCTGAACTTGTGGGGCACCATCAGATGTGGCCCGAACCAATTCCTTGGCCAATGGCATGGGTCTGGAATCCGGAATATACCCATAAGAGTAACATAACAGAGGTAATGCCAGAACTTATCCCATTGGGCATGAACTATGAATCAGCTATAGGCCCAGCTACTGTATATTCCAAGATCTTTCCAGATCCCATGGCCCAGCCAACGGCAGAGCAATCTTTTTTCCCACGGTGGACAAGCTCTTGAGAGCACGTCTGGGGCCTCAGCTTTTGAGGCCAGCTCCGATGTTGGTGGAAGATAAGGGCAATGGGGTAAAGCCAATGTAACATGATTTTTAAGCCAAACCAAGTAAGTTTCCGGTACTTGAAACAATGGCTTATATCATCAAAGCAAACTTGTTCTAAATCAAACATCTATTGGGTCATGTCCATCTTTTGGGGCTCTTTAGAGATATATGTTGGGATATTTTTGCGGTTAGATCATTACAATTGGCCAGGGTTGCTTCAATTATCTTGGGGTTCTACTACAGTAGTACGGCAGGATGATAGAAATGTCTGTCAACAGAAGGTGCTGATAAACCAACTCACCCTGAAAGCTTGTATCGTATAGAAATTGCAAAAAATCAGTATATAAAGGGGTGCAAATTATGATAAGCCATCATCATTAATTAAAGGTTTGCATTTTTTGTCATTCCCATGGGGTTTACTACCAGCATGCGTAGGGTTTCTTGGCTCAAGAGTATTCAGTGTTGACACAGGGTGAACCATGGCGATATCCCTTGACGGTGTGGGTGCAGAGTGGGAAGCATCGGAGTATGTCAGGGAGTATGTAAGGATTAAGGGATCTCTTTTTGCCCCTGCTGCTAGATCCAATGATGTTGAGATCACGGTGAGCTGTGGTGAAAGGAATTTCCATGTCCTCGAGCCATTAGCCAAACGTCTTCTAGACAAGGATGGGAATGTGGGACAGCTCAGAATCCCAGCCATCAAAGCGCAGACTTTTTGCTGCATTTCTACATTTTGTTCAACATACTTTGGTTGAGCAGTTCAAGTTTTATTTGTTTCATTTGTTTGTATTGTTTTTTGTTTTGTTGTATGTTAACTGTTTTTGTGGGGCATCCCCTTTTACTGGCTAGGATGGTCAAGTTCTATGAGAAGATGATGGTGCCTCCCCCCACCGCCAAGTTGTTGAAGCTAGAGGCCAAATTGGCAAAGAAATTTACGGTGCTCATCAAACGGAAATTGCAAAGAGACCAACTTTGCCGATCCAAATTGTTTCGACGATTGATGGCTCTGGTATTTGATCCGTCTGGGCAGGAGAACCTGGGGAAATATTTTGCGATATGTTACAACATGCTACAATTCACAATGTGTTACGATATGTTACAACATGTTACAGCTCATTTTAAGGGATGAAAACAAAACACAAGTTTGTAGTTTAAAGTAAAATATGTTCACCTCATGTTTTTTCATCTCCCAAACCAAGACCCTTCCACTTTTCCAACAGGAACCTTTGCCAGACGTGGAGATGAACGACACTCAGGACGAGGAGGATGACGAGGAGATGGTGGTTGGGGATGAGGAATCAGATGATGATGATGATGATGACAGTGCTTTCCAACCCACAGGTGAGGTCCCAGACTCACAGGTTGATGGTGCTGATGCCCTTGGTTCACTATTGCCCGGTGATGTAGCCAAATCTTCACCGCACATGCATGATGATCCATTGCCAACATCGATTTTTGATGATGAGATCCCTTGTTCCCAGCCCGAAAGCCCTGAAGTGAACATGACTTTGGGAGATGAGAAGATGATGACAAGCGATGAAGGTGGAGTGATTGACAAGCACGCCATCGTCATGATCAGTGATGATGACACCACCCCCAAGAAAAGTGTGATTTCCGAACCCATGGACCCTGAAGCAGCTACCATCGCAAGCTATCAAGAGAAGCTCAAACAGCTCAAGGCTCAGCTAGCGCTCACAAAGAAGAAGAACTGTGCTGAGAAACTTATGCAATGACTATAGTTTGATGCATTTTTTTACATCAAAACATGTTATATAATAAATTTGTTTTTGGTCCCCACAACCTGCTTTTTTTTAAAAGTTTTACCACAACGTATATACTTGTTGGGAAACCTTGCGCAGATTTTGACAAAACACCGTGTTTACCTTTTTTGGCCACATAATCCCGCCCACTATACAAACAGCTGAGGAGAGCCAGGAACTCCTTGGACCAGGCCCAGGAAGTGCCGATTCCAGTCATTGAGAGCTTGGGCTTTGGTGGGGACAACCAGGAGACCCTACAGCTAGCACCAGGTGAACTAGATGACTTGGCCAAAGACTTTCAGAGCTTCCAGCTTGATGGTGAGAAGATGGATGACATTTCTCCTGCCCCTGCCCCCCCTGCCTTTTGGCTTTTTCTAAGTTTGCGTACCTGTTTGCAGTGACCACAAAGAAACACAAGCTGAAACAAAACATTTCTGGTAAAAGGCTAATTTACTGTTTTTGGTCATTCCCATTTCTTTGGCCCAGGTTCTGCGACGGGCTCAACTTGCACTCAAGTCAGCCGATGATGGAGATGATGGAAAAGGGGAGGGGGATGCCGGGCCAAGCAAGCCAGGTCCCAAAACCAAGGGGAAGGGAAAGGGGAAGGGAAAAGGAAGGGGGAAGGGAAAGGTGACAGGCAAGGCAGAAGGGAAGGCAAAAGGGAAGGCAAAGGCAAGGAGTAGGAAGTCCAAAAAAAATGATGAGTCCGAGGATGCTGAGATGAAAGCAAGTGTTGCCAACACTGAGGTTCCTGATGATAGCGCCCCTTCTGACCCCCCCGGCCTTGAGAACCCTGACAAGAGCAAAGGCCCTGAGAACCTTGACATGGTGGGGGAAAGTGAAAAGGTGGTAGAGCCAGAGAAGGAGGACAAGCCACCTGCCAAACCTAACAGCAAAAAACGTCAGGCTGCTGGGGGACACAAGGTTGCAGGAGGATCTGGGGGAAGCCAGCCAGATGAAGTCAAACCCAAGAAAAGAAAGGCAAACCCGGAGAATGCCGAACCTGCCCCCAAGAAGGCTGCAGCCAAAAAGAAAACTTGTGAGACCAGTGATGCCGACCAGACCGCCAAAAAGGCAAAGACCCAACCTGCTACTTTTGCCCGCCGAGCCCAGCCAACTACCAGTTTTGGCAAAGCCAGGTGGCTTGCTCTCAGAGATGTTTTCAATAACCGGATCCGTGCCTTCGTGAAGGCCCCCTCCAAGCATGAGGACTGTTTCCTCACTATTTGTGCATGCTTTCCTTTGCTTTCACATGTTCTATGTTTCTTACATTATGGGGGATAGTTTGCTGTGGCTCTATATATCAAGCATTTCTTTGCATGGGTTCCCTGGCATTTTTCCAACAAAAGCAATACTATATGCTTATGGTATCTTATGGTTTTGTTTCTCTTATCATAGCCCATCCCAATATATGAAGGAACTAGGTTAATTGGGGCAACCCTGGCCAGATTTATTTGTGGTGATTAGGAAATTCTGAAACCATGAAAACATGTATAGATTTCGAACATTGCAAATCTTGTTTTTCAAATCGAATATCCCAGCGTGAATCCATTGAACATAAATCCCTGTAGTACTATTATGTCACACCCGATGTATCGATCCCAATTATAAAAGATAACCCTCTAAATTTATGACCATCCCCTGCCAGGATATCTTCTGGAAGTTTGCCGGCGACTGGTGGGCGAAGAAGCAGTATGAGATGGATGAATCCAACCTCCCAATGTTGTCCAGCGAGGCAGCAACTGAGTACTTGGCGAAGCTTGAGCGTGATGCGCCATAGGTCATAGGTCCAGCCTTCCACGGAGCTGTCGACTGCTGCTGTTTTTTTTTGGGCGAGTAATTCCAACAGATTATGTAAAAACCAAACCAATTTTGTTAGCAACTGGGTTTTAGAATCATATCTTATTATGTGTGGTAGTTTCAGACTGGCTGGATCTATCTGAACGTGATCGAAAAGATCTTTTGGCCCCTGAATGCGGCCGATAATTTCATCATTTGACTGTGGAGTGCATACCATTCCACATGAAAGAAAGTCTGGGGATCGACAATAGGGTTCCGAAGCTCTCGCAGCGGATATCATGATATTGGGGGATGCTGGTTGGACAACCGAAAACCACAAGCTTCTTTTGGCATTTGAAAATGAATTAGTTGGCTTTTGCTGTATTCATTTGTGCTCATCGCCAGCTACTCCGCTGAACCATGCGCCGTTGTTGCCAAGCTTTTGGAAAAGGTGCTGGAACGGTCATAGTTGTGCCACACTGCACACACACATACACTATTTTCACAAAGATGCACAAAGTAATGCACAATTGTTTTCTCATTCATCAATCTTTATCACCAAGAAATCTGGCATTTGGATCCTGAGACTATGGGGAATAGGTGGAACATGTTGGGGCAATCAATCAAGTTGGATCTGAAACTTGCCAAAAGGTTTACGTGAAACCATACATGAAAGTATTGGTATCCTATTTCCACTGTAGTGAAAACCACCTATTTTGATCAATGTTATATAATGTGGTTATGATCCATATATATGTGCCCAACGCCAGCGCAACCCCGGGGCTACCCAATCCTGATGTCTCCTCTCACCAGCATGCTGCTGAGGTTGAACGCTGGTTGAACCACAGCCATGGATCCTCGGAACATCGGGATTGCTGACTTGGTTGGCCAAACTGGCTTTATTAAATAGTTTTCCCATGCAGTGATATCGTGTTTTCAAATTCGAATTGTATTTGAAAAACCATATCATTTATTTGCAGGAATTATTTGGGATGCATGGGGTTCATTTGGAATCAGGAGCTATTTGGGAATGTGTGGAATTCACTCGTGGGTTGGTCTAGCAGCACCCGCCCGATTTACAGCAAGGTTTTCATGCTCAGCTCAGAGGTGGCATTTTGATTAGGAACCCTTGCTGCCATGGATCCTACAAAGCGATGCAAGTTGAACACAGTTCTCCACAGAATGAAGATTCTTGGGGCACCCAAGGCCACTTTTTTTTGAAAACAACGTGGTTCCATACAATATCATGCATGCAATAAACCAACAATGGTTTCTCTGACATTCTTTCCCTGGATGAGGTGCTGATGGCATGCACTGTCCTGTTGGCTCTGAACAGTGGTCTATCAACTTTTACAGAGGCCAGCCGACATCGTTGGGGCCACTGCTCATCAAGTGTTGACAAATTTCTTAATCCAAAACCATCTTAGTTTCAAATCATACCCCATGACCTTGCGGGTGTAGTGTAAATGTCCATGTCCTTTACTCAAGGTACCCTGTGTGGTTGTAACCCTATATAACCCTGTGATACCAAAAAACGCGTAATGGTCAATTTAAAGGTTATATTTGGGGCATGTTTTGGCGGATTCAGTTGCTATACCCCACGACTTACAATATCAAAACTATCCAAATCAGCCCCGGCTCAGTCCTACGACTTTGCCGAGCTGTTCTGTGGACAGGCATGGGTAAGTCGGTGCATGAGGACAGCTGGGCATCGCACTGCTATGTTGGACATTTCCCTTGGGCGACCCAATGATGACCTCAAAAAGCAGGATGCGATGGACCTCCTATCTGACTCCGGCTTTGCGTTTTTTTGGGTATATATAATATGCGATTTTTCTTAGATTTAGCTGGGCCCCATTTTTAACATGAAATTGGGGATGCATAGCCCATCTGTGGTTTCACCTTTACACTTTGGCAATCAAAGGTTGGCGTTGCTAACTGTGCTCAACTGTCGAATGGATTCCTTTTTGGTGGTGATTGGCTTAATATGCAGCTCTTTTGTGACAATAAGTCAGGGCACACATTGTCGAGCACCATTTTTTCCCCTTGGCCGAGAAGGTGTCAAAATGGTATTTGAAGGAAACCAGTTGGCATCAAGGAGTCTCAGCCAAACCAGATGTAACCCGTAAAATCATAATGGAATGGGCCCTTAAAATGGTTATCCTAGTCGTGCAGGGATATATGGTACCATAGCCACATTCACTAAGGGTTAGAAACATATTATATTGGCTTATCAGTTATACTTCTCTCTCAGGGAATGTATCTGTTTGAAATGCCGCTATTTCCCCAAAAAATGTTTCAAGTATTTTCAAGTTATGATATGGCTTGTTTCCATCCGCAGCTCTGTGATCCGAGGACAGCATTGCTGATCTGGGCCATAGTCGCTATGGGGGGTTGTTTTGTGCTAGAGCAACCACGCAGCTCTCAACTGGGTTGGCATCCCAGAATCGTTGAGCTGTTCAGGGCTCTACCAAAGGTTGGGGTTGCACTGTAAAGCCTCGCCCTCACCAACAGGAATTTAACCACATATATTTAAATCCGATCTGGGATCAAGTTTTTATGGGTTTGATGCTCTGTTACAAGGTGGGTTGGGACATTGCAATCGGTAATAATGCCAAGTGAAAAGTGTAATCCATTCTTACAGCTCCATAAGCAAATTCCACCACGGACTAGTCTAAGTATCCCAAGTTCCTGGGGCAATTTAGGGTCATCATTTATTATATACATATGTTGGTTTGCCTTGCATCCCAAAACAGGGTGGCCCCAATATTGATGCGAGAATTACCTAACTCTTACAATGGCTATGCGTCTTAAATCTTAGGCCAAACATCTAAGCGCATTTCAAAAGTTATTTTCATCAATGTCCTTCCCAATTTCATAAAAGTTTCATAAAAGACTCCAAATGTCAACACTTCTGAGATGATACTTCTCCCCTGTTTCACAAAAGGGTGCTACTGTGTTTGGGGCCACAAAAGCATATCTATTATCATTTTCGGCATTTAGTACGCATGGGATTACAGTAAGTTGTTTTTTGCCCTGAAGGTCTTCCAAGCGGCATGGTGGATGGGATTGTACAAACATGTGTCGCCCAAACGGCATGTAGCATGGAGCAATGCCCCTACAGTACAATGCCTAGACCTCGGACACATGACTCGGGCAATGCAAAAAAAGGCTACTTCACAGCCAACCGCCCGTTCCTATCGCAATAAGCGGGGTGAAAAGAAATTTCATGGCACTCGCTTTTTGAAAGGAACACAGACATTTGACTTGAAACTTCAGGTCCCTTTCTGTTTGGTAGATATGAGTATTGATGTGTTGAGGGAAATAAACTACATATATATATATATTTATCTAGTTGGGTGTTTAAAGGAAGTTGCAGGTTCAAGACCAATGCTTCCAGCTCAGGACTTACCCACCACGCTTTGGACAACGCATTGCCCGGCTCTACAAGCGCTTTTGCACTAAGCGGGTGGCCCTCCCTGAGCCTTCTGGCCCTGTCGATGGTTACCAGATTTTTGAAAACTGCCAGTGGGATGACTGGTGGGATGATGCATGTATGAAAAGTGTTATCTATTATCTCCGAGCTTCTAAAGATTTGGAGCTTGGTGAGTGGAGGCCTTTATTCCCCACTGAACTTTAGTTTCATGCACTTGAAAGGTACCAAGGTGCCCCGGGGATAACAAGTTCTACTTACTAGCAATTTGATTTCTGATACCCATATTTATCCTTTTTTACAATGCTTCAGGGAAACAACCAAAGGGTGCCGTAATTAACCCCATGATCTGCCATAGGCGTCATGGTGAATGATAGCTTCTGGTTTCAGAGGTACATAGCGTGCATGACCCTTAGAAAAGTAGGTTGCTGAGAGGATTGATCTGACACACATTCTGTTGCATTCCGTTTAGCTCTTCATACATGTCTGGATGAGCCAGTTATGCCAAAATGTTGAAAACATATGATTTTTTGATATTTTAATACTCCATTTTTGGGTCGAAATGGGTGAAATTAGTGAATTTTTGATGATTTCTGGAAATACGTACTTTCTACGGGAAAAATACGTACCGGATACGTAACGGAATCCCAACCCGTAAAAGGGGCGTATTTTGCCCGTAAAGGGACGTAAAAACCCGTAAAATTTTACGTATTTTTCCCGTAATTCAGCTATTTGTGGATTTCTGGGTTTTGAGGAGATTTTGGGTGGTTTTAGCTCAAAAATCCTGCCCTCACCTGCCATCACCAGGGTTCCAGGCTCAAACAGTCGTGGTGGAGGTGCCTGACAGCAATGGCGGGCAAATGCCCTCGGCAGATAGCTTCTAAAACCTTTAGTTGTAGTGAGTTGAAGGAAGGACATGAAGGGTTACTAGCCATCAAAAAGGAGGCAGAAAGTGAGGACGAACTCAAGAAGCAGATCAAGGACCGTATTCACATCTGTTTCCTTCATGTTGAAAGGATTACCTGCTATCACTGTTGGATTACTAGTGTTGAACGTGTTGAATGTATCTAAACTTGTCTTCCACCCGTTCAGGAATATGAAGCTGCCTTGAACCGAATGAAGAAGATGGCAGCAACGACTAGCCCATCATCAGAACCCCGAATCAATTTTATGATTGAGTTATACTGTACTGTATTCCTTTGTACATGGCCAAAGAGTTTACATGCACATGTGTGTTTAGCATGTGGAACGCTGGGGCAATCCAAGGAAGCTTCCATTGCTGACCAGGATACGCAACCGGTCTCTTGGCACATAGTCACTGGATGTTTCAGGTGGGAACACACATGTTATCATCCTAAATTACTCAGTCAAACCTGTTCATCAATACCTAAGGCAACTCCAGAAGAGTTGAAACAGGCCCGTTCAAAAGCGAAAGCAAAACCGAAGCCAGCAGCTGCAAAGAGCAAGCCCAGAGCGCCCCCATCACCACAGCCATCGCCCCCAGCAAAGGGGACTCCAAACCCAGCACCCACCAAGCGTGTGAGGGGCAAGCAGCATGAGCCAGATGATCATGACACAGCATCATCAGGGTCCGGACAACGTGACCAAGCACAAATGATTCAAGACTTGATGGAGGCATTGCTAGCACATGCTAAACATGCATGCATGTAGTTATTTCCATAATTTGCTGCATGTTGGGGGTTCAAGTTCGGTTCATTTTTTTTTATTAAAAAACATGAACCCAAATTTCCAAGTCAACCCCCCCTGTGGTGTTGGTACTTTATACAACGACATATATTCAAATATATCCAAAGTATACCTGGCCCCCTCTATACCTGCCAACCTTCTGTCTCTAGTGATCACATATTTTCCCCCCAACCGCTAGGCCAACAAGCGAATGCAGGAGCAAATGGACGTTTTGATGGCTGGCGGGAAGGGTAAGAGTGCTAGTGCTTTTCAGACACCACCCCCAACTGTGAATGGGCCAACTCCCAAGAGCAAGTCGAAGGAGACAGAGGTTCCAAAAGGGGCTAGTGGTGTCAAGGTTGACCTGAAGAAAAGACTTGACCCCAACGAAGTTGCACGCACCCAGGGCAAAGATCCACCCGCTACTGAAGCAGCCAAACTGGCAAGGCTTCGACGTTTGTGCGAAAAGAAACCTTCGGGGAAATGCAATGTCCCGGAAGAGTTACACAAGCGGTGGTTGCATGGCTCTTTGCAAGACAGGGAGGCTCTAGTTGAAGAACTGGAGGCAGCACACTGGTCGAAGGACCATTTGTTCGAAAAAAACAAGTTCCAGTCAGTTTACCAAAGCATGTTACTTTGGAATGGTACTTATGTTTTTTCCCTAATCATTCTGGATTCTCCCAGGGGTGTTTCAAATTGTTTTGGCATGTTTCTTCCAGGACTTGTTCGTCTCCCGGGTTACGAAGACCATCACCAAGACCAACAAGTTGACTCGCAAGAAGAAGAGGGGTTGGTTCACAAAAGAGACCATGAATACCGTACTCAAGTGGAGCTCGTTTCTAGCCTTAAATCTGAAAACAATCATAAATAGTCAAGTGAATATGCAAATATCAAAATACCAGTTCACATTGCTTGTGTTTGTGATTACCTCAAACCTCCAAAACATAACATATAGCACAGGTATCCCAACATATTCCACTTCCATCCCCATGCCTGCCCAGCCAAGGACGTACATCAAGAGTGTGGTGGCGTACTGCGAGAAACCTGGCAACGAGCGCTTGGTGAAGACCCTAACTTGCAAATAAGTTGTGGCAATTACAATGCATATATAAGATCGTATGAAAACAAATATATATGTAGTAATGCCACCAAATCTTGGAATAATATATCACTTTGTGAGACAGGCCTCTTTTGGAGAATTCAACTTTGCGATATCGCTGCCAGAAATAATCCCAATGTTTCACTCATATGTTTGGATGTGTTTCCCTTATGCATTGTTTTATTGACAGCCCAGATTCAAGGAAGGACCGCTACAACAAAAAGATCCACAAATACTATGTGGTCTATGGAGAGGAAGATGATGAGCTGAGTGAGGATGAGGAGAAGAATGAAACACGTGACCATGAGGTCTGGGGTAGGTTCATGTTGTTCCCATGGTTTCCCATCTCCCTTCATGCCTCCTCAGCAGAAGTCGCCAGCTGAACGGCCAAGTTCCGCCAAACTCATCCACTGCCTCAGGTGGGCGAAGATGTGACCTTCAAAAGGTTGGGTGCAGTGACGGAGGGTTCAGAGTCTGAGGAAGACCTGGATGAGGATGAAAAGAAAGCTGAACAAATCAACACGGCCAAGAAGGAGAATGTTATTGGTTTGAACTGAATGTGGAATCAAAAACTGTCGTGCCAATGGTGTGTGTTTACCAGTCTCGTTGATATATTCCCGTATGTCGGCTTCAAACAGCACATCATCATATCTGCCATTTTTTCAACCAACTTAGTTCAATTTACAATCCCAATGGCTTTGTAGGAGTATCTGAAGTTCTGCACCTTCACAGCAAGCTTGCTTAAGAGAGGTGAGAAACTTGCTGACTTGATCGGGATGTTGGAGGCTGCAGTGGGGGACAAGGAACCCGAAAAAGCTCGTGTAGCGAAGCCCCTCAGTGGCAGAGCCCTGCCCCATCAATCCAATATATAGTCCTCTTATGTTTAAAAAAATATGCAGGCAATGGTTGTTACAGTGAAACCCCCCCATTTTTGCATATAGATTTTATCCAAGGTCGGTGTCCAACTTGGAAGCCGCCATCTCCACTTTGGAGACTGAGTTTGAAGCCTGTGAAGTGGTCAAGGTTGATACTTCGGCCTTGCAATCGGGCAAATGTGCCGATGAGACGGTGTTACTCGTCCAACTCAAATTCAAAAGGTTCACCATTGGTGGGTATATGAATTTTTCCCATGTGCCCTTCACAGTGTGTACCATGTAAACTGGGGTTGTTCAAACTAGTTCTCAATTCATCTCAGCTCATTCTCTTTGAGGCTGCTGAAGAAAATCCAGGACCAAATGCGATCTACTACGCTCAAGTGCCTTGTCGTCAATCATCACCTTCCCACTGCATTTCCAAAGGTTCCTCAGACGGCCGGCCATGGCTATCAGGTGCAGCAAGGTGACCACAGCTGAGTTGGCCGCAAAGACATTTAGCTGCAACAACTAATTCCGAGAAAATCTCATGTATCAAATGATGTTACAGCAAACAGCCATGGTAATTGGATGTAATTGGGATATCGGGCATTGATGCAATCCTCTGTATTTCTAATCCCCCACTAAACCCCCACTAATCCCCCACTACCATTCAATTTGTTCAGGAATGTCCACAAGAACCTGACCAAGAACGAGGGCTGATGCAATACAATGTATTGTGTCGAAACTCTTGGGATTGGCTTGCAGTGTCATTCGAACGACGCTCAGTTTTTGACACGCGTGTGTGCGTGTGCGTGTGTGTTTGGTTTGCAAGGGTATGACCCTTTAGGGCAAACCGCACTTCTGGGTTTTCCTGTGCCAAGTGTGCACAATTTGAAAAAATGTTGTTTGATTCCCAACATGTGCGGAACATGTGTTGGCATGGCAATGAGTCTTACGGTCTTACAGTAGCTTAGGAACACTGTGTTCGTGCTACAGGTTGACAAAAGAAGCGGAAAAACACAGCCTGTGCTTTTCTCAAACCCTTTTTATCAAGTTTTGAACATGTGCCTGCATAGTTGGATATAGTTGGATTGTGCCCATAATACCTTCAACCTGAACCCTGTGAGGTGTCCCCCTCACCTAGCTGAGCGACCCAACTCCATGCGATGCCAGGTCATAGAGGACAAAATGATTTGGATGAAGTCCTGATGCGGTGTGCCAAACTCGTGGGCAATGGCGTTGGGGACCCCAACTGGGCATTCCAGGAACAAGCGCTCACATTGATTCCAACCAGGATTGCTCATGATCAATCTATTTTCCAACTCGTCCTTTTGGCTCTTTGAAAGTATTGTGGATTCAACTGTTGGAAAGTGACATCAACAGGCACACCAGCAGGCATTGAAACAATCTATATAAATGTTTCTGAGTTTAAGTGGTGTAAATCATGGTATCTACAGTAGGGGTTCTTGAAAACATATGGAGGCCCATGCCCCATTCAACAAATCATAGATAGCATGGTAAAACTTATCCCATGTTCTGACCATTCCATGAAGTGTCCCTCATGGCAATGGATGATGACTTGCTTGAAAGTTTGCTGTCCTATGAGTGCCCCTTTACCGGTGCCAAGCGGGTTGCTGGACTTGGCACTGTTGAAACGGAACATGGGAAGTGTCATGGCTGTAGTGGTTGAGAGATGTTCAGAGCATACCATTCAAATTTCCAACATTCAATAAATGCAGTCTTTTTGTCCATGGAACCGAGGAGATTGAAACCTACCTGTGAGACTGGTAGTATGCTACCTCCATCAACTCCACCTCCAGTGCTATCAATCAGACCCCATATTGATGATCCCTTGGGTGCTGCAGAGAACCCGTTCTTTGACTGAATGTGGCATACTTCCAAAAGCGTTTTTGTTCAACAATCATGTAACCACATCCCCACAATGGTGTTAAACAAATCTTTCAAGATTGCGCTCCCATATTTTGCTAAGGACAAACACTGGTGATGAAAGTGGCTACATGGAGTACTTCTCCCGTGATTTAATTACCGGGGATTCTGGGGAAGCAAGCGCCCGGGTGAAGGGTCCTGCCAGATCGTCCAAGATGGCCGCTTGGCGCATGGCAATCCATGTAACGAAGTGAGTCCCTCCTTTGGTTTCTTATATCATATATCCTTATATATATCATCAGTTTTGGGGATCTTGCATACTGCAAAAATACAGTAGTAAGACTTGAAACCCTTTTGTGAACAAACCTCATTTAAATGTTTTACCCAAAGACTTTTGGTAACAACCCTTTTGTCCACAAAGGATTTGGCTAAGCTTGCCGATGACTTTGATGCTTCAACCTTTGACTGGGAGACTGTACGGCCTTTTGGCCTCCTGAGCCATTGCGTGCGGACTGGCGCATCTAAGATAACATGTGGAAAACTTTTGGCCCACTGCACCCACAAAGTGGATTGCTTCAGAAGCAAAATTGGAATCCGACTTTGTGTTTTCAAAATTGGGGTCACCCACAATCCGTTGCTGAGATACCAAAGTTACCATGAAAAAGGGTATACAGAGATGTGGCTTTTAGCTACATCTACAAGCATTGATTTGATTCATATGCTCGAAGCTGCTCTGATTTGCCAGTACTGCCTCCATGTGGGGTGCAGAAACAAAAAGGGAAGTGGTGGAGAGGGGTATCTAAATCGAGAGGATGTTCCTCCAGGACCGTACTATGCTTACATAGTAGGAGCCCGAGCAGACCAACACCGTTGGGTGGGGTGACTGTGTTGCTGGCCTTTGAGAAAAATGGTGCATGCACTTGCGTGCTCACTGCAATGACTGAGTTTCCATCCATTTTGCAGACTCTTATTGCTTTCAGGGATTTGTTTCATGTGAAAAGTTTTAGAAGTAGGTCAACCCACTTTCATTCCCTTTCTCCTCTCATTTCACAAGTTCCAGCCATTGGTTTTTCTGTCGGCCGAGGCCCCTTCCAAACACATCGTCGAGCTGGCGCAGGCAGAGGTCCGAAACAACCCACGTGCCACTTTGGGAATGAGAAAGTTAGCAGCTATTCGCTTGAAAGATGCTGAAAAAGGAGTCCACAAATTGTTGAAAGAAGAAGGATTTGAATGTACAGTGCCAGTGGGCAAGTTCACAGTGAGACCAGGGTTCACCATTCCGTACATCTTGCTGTCTTCATGGGTGAAGTACCTATTAGATTGTGGCCGACTTCCCAAACTTCTCGTTGGTGTACCTACATTTGCAAAGATGAGATTGGTGTTGAAGGAGTGGTGGGCTAGATTTCGTGTTTTGTATCCTGACCATGGGTACTTCGGTCATGCTGAACGTCATGGGATTCCTTTTGAAAACCTTGTTCCCTTCTTCTCCCATGCCGATGATGGGCGAAGCTACAAACACCTTGGCATTTGGATTCTTTCAAGTGCTGGTTGCATTGGGAGGGGGACGAGGATGCATGTTGATTCCAATCGCCACAGGCTGCCATTGCATGAAAATGCTATGGGTGCAAATTTCATGGGAAAGACTTGGACGACCCAGTTTATTTTCACCACGGTTCTCAAGACTGTTTACACACAGTATCCGAATATCTTGGACGAATTGACCAGCATCTATGCTGAAGATGTGAAGAAGCTCTTGTTTGAGGGTGTGCTTGCAGCCAATGGGCGGGATCGTGTTTACTTAGCCCACATGGGTTTCAAAGCTGATTTGCCAATGCTTCAAAAAATGGGCGGGTTCCATCGATGTTGGTCTCATGTCCCACGACAGTCCTCATCTAGAAAACCCAGTGAAGGATGTTGCCACCTGTGCCTTGGTGGAAGGGAAGGCAACCCAAGTTTTCCCTATGAAGATTTCCGACCAGATGCTGCTTGGACGGCGACCATCTACATGGAAGTGCCATGGGCTCCTGACTGTCCTCCAAAGATTTTTGAGGGCTTGCCATTGAGTCCTACTGACCAAATGGATTTCTTCAAGAGTGACTTTTGGCACAACTGGCATTTAGGGATGTCAAAACATTTTTTAGCTTCTGCACTGGTGGCGATCGTAGAATCCGACTTGGAGATCTTACCTAGAGGATCTGTTGAAAAGCGGTTTGAGTTTTTGACGGAGATGTATGTGAAGTTCCATCGTGATCGGAATGTTACACCATTCTTGGCTGAAATTTCTCGTGACAGCATGTCATTCCCTGCCAGCACAGCTGCACCAGTCGGACGGTGGTCCAAGGCTTTAGTCTCTACGGAACTTTCACTTTTCCTAGATTTTTTCTGTGAAAAGCACATTAGAGGAAAGGTGACTGAGGAGTCACATCCGCTCTTGCATGCCATTGTCACTCGATTCAAAGTTTCAAGTATATTGGCATTTGTTTTTTTTGCTGCCTCTAAGATCTCTAAGGGGTGTGGGGTGGATTCGTGTACATGCTTATCATTCAGTGTGCATACCAAGGCAGGTGCGACCAAGGCGATCAACATTGCGATCACTTTCATGTACCAAGCTGGCTTTTGGATTAGGGCTGCTGACGCGATGAGGCTGAGCGGCTTCCTTTACTTCTTTTTGGCCAAGTACACTGTTTGTGCCCGTTTGACATTGCAGCTCAGGCTGCGGCGTTTTGCAATGTTGCCTAAAGGGCATATGATTTCACATGAGGCAAAACGTTTGATGACTGAAAGCAAGAAAGGGGCCTGGGTGGTGAACACCATAGTGTTCACCAACCAGGTCCAGGAGGACTTCATAGGTCGTCCATCCAGATTAAGTAGACGAGTCAACATCAAATGTCTTCATTGGAATGTGCTTTGCAGAGCACTGATCATTTATCAGGATGAATTTTACAAATCAGACCATGATTTGCGGGGTCTTGATGCATACGGGGACTTGTGATGTAAGATTTTTTTTCAACTGAATCAGTTCAGAAGAGAAGCATTTGGATTTTTATGAGTGACACCCCATCCGTGTTGCATCTGCTCGGGCCCTGGACTCTTGGCAATAGAGTTTGAAGTGGGCTGGACAAAGAAAAGGCAAGGAAAATGGGCAGGGTGAGTGGAGAAGGAGCAACCCCCAAAATCCTGCAAAATCCAAAAAACCGTATTTTTAACAAAGGGGCGTATTTTGGCATTCATATATGAACCATGTACGAAATATGGTCCTTTCCTCAAAACAAGTGACCAAGCGGCACAAGGTATGTATATATATATATATATATGCATATGTATATATATATATATATAATGTATATGCATATATATATATATATGTTCGTGCGTGATTTGTATAAGATATCTGTTTATATATTTACATATTTATGCGTATTGATCTGATATTCAACCGGTACTGGACGCCAATTTCACGGCAGGAAGTGGACGCGGCCGAAAAGCTGGCCGTGCATCGGGTGGCTCGAACGGTGATTTATTTAACCACTGGGTAGGAAGGATGATTTAGGGTTTTCAGTTACTTAATGGATCCATAATATTCAAATGTTTTTTTTTGGATTTCATGTTATACAATGATTTTAATGATGATTAATTATAAATATGGATATCACCCGTATACTCCTTTATTAATCAGGATGTTTTGATCTAAGATTTATAGGTTGTTAGTAATCATTAGTAATTTAAACGGTGATTTATACATATATGGATATACTCTTCATTGATCAGCCTTTTATATTTGATGCGCGTGTGTTTGTTTACAGTCAAAGATGTGATAGAGTCAATTAGCCATTGGGTGGGGAAAGATCCCTCATTTATCAGGATATCAACCACCAAACATAAGATGATACAATTGATACATGAGTGTCGGTTTATGATTACAGGGGTTACCCCACCCTATAGATACACATACATCATACATACATCATTCCCATGAACTTGGGAATCCTCATTTTCCGACCAAATTGTTTGACAGTGCTCACGTGCTGGTTTTGCCCAGATAATTCAGGATTGGTTGGTGGTTGGGATTGAGATGTTGGATATCTCATTTTGCATTGTTTAAATAACGTGTTTAACCGATATGTTGTGAATGATGGAGTTGGAACCTGCATTGGATTATCCAAACCAAGGGGCTGGACAACATTGCTTGAATCATTATTTAAGCAATGGAAGAAATGCGTCACTACTGACCTAATTGGAACATATATGCTTGGAAATGCAGGGTAATGGTGTCAAACAATCGGCTGCCTAGGGGCCTAGCTGGTGTTAATCGCCAAAATTGGCCAGGATCCCGGAAGAGCAGCAAACCCAATATCCCACCCCCCCTGACAGCAAATACCCTCATGACTGACCCCCCAAAATTGAACAGAATCAACACATCAACACTAAAACCAGGGTTTATGGCGGGTATTGAATTGAATATTAGGAAAAACGCTGGAAGGCCTGATTATACCTTTGACCTTTGCTATTGCTGGTTGAGTCCATGGTGCAAACTGCAAACCGTGCATATTCCTAGTTGTGGTCGGGATGCACAATATGCTGATGATTATATCCATCCTTTTGGGGGGGTTGATACTTAGATGGGCCCATGGAGTTAATTTACTAGTTTGAAAATTGATTTTAATTGGAATATAGTGATATGATATAGTGGGTTAATAACCCGCCTATTTCCACCACTTCCTAACTAGTTAGCTAATCGGATTGCCCATCTAAGAAACTTCTTACCCATTGATACATTTCCTACGAGGGATCATATTGATTATGAGTTTTTTGGTGGAATTTTGGTCATGTTTTGCTATCAGAGTTCAACTTCCTGAAATCCAGAGAATTTACACCCCAAAAGATGAAGTTTTTGAGCCAGACCCAGTTGAGTTTCCAAGGGGAATCCCTGGTTGGAACGGTTGGATCGCCAGGATATGCTTCGCTACGTGGCGTCCCAGGTGATCCCCGGTTTTTTTTGGTTTGGGGGTGTCAGAGAAAGGTGGCCTTGAGTCACACATGCGATGGTTTTAGATATTTTATTATATATATATAATGCATACTATATTTCATTATATCATTATAATTCATTATATATGTTATATTCTAGACATCATATAGTTCATATTCTATATAGTGTTTCGAAGATCTGTGGGTGCAAGTTTTCTCCCTCTCAATTAAACGTGTCTATCTCAACTGTTTTGGTCTGCAACACTCTAAACCCCTTTTAACCGCTTCACTTCAACCCCCATCTGTTCTTTCATTTTTCTCCAAACTTGCTTCGGATGATTGAGTCAGCTGACATCCTGACCCGCAGAGTCGTACTCTTGCCCTGTTTTCCCATTCCACCAAAAAAAATGTTCAAATACTAAAGTGAAGCAGCCCCATGCAGCCCCCTGAACCTATATTTTCCCCAAGGGTAAGGTGCTTCCTCAGCCCAGGGTCCCTTCTCGGCTGGTTTTTTTTTTTTTATTTTCCATTTTTTTTGGCGAACTTCGGAGATAGCATGCACCCCTTGGGAAAGCACGAAGTGTCCGGGACCTGTACAAACCAATAAACATTGCAACGTTGCTTTCTCAATGGTACGTTGCCATCTCGTTTTTTTCCCAAAAGAAACGGACCAAAAACGGAGAAAACAAAAAGAAAAAACAGGGAAATCATCTTTTGCGTAGCCCGTTGTCCCAAGCAAGCACATTAGCCCTGACTGAGCAAGTGTCCCCGTAGCAAGCACGCTGCAGGATCGGTGCTTGTGTTTTTTCTCACACGCGGAGTCGTATTGTCAAGTCTTCCGAATTGGACCTCCCTAAGCTATTCTTCATTGTAAACAGTCAACATGGCTGGAAAAAATTGCCCTGGTTTGAGAAAAATGATCTCTCATCAAATTCAAGTTCAAATCATTGAGATAGTTACATTTATCCGGAAAACACGTTAAATTGAAAGAATGCGACTACAGCCATTTGAGTGTATATATTTTGAATGTATTTAATTGTATTATTATATATATATATATATTTGTATGTTACATATTACATTACATTTTACATTACATATTACATATTATTTAGATTATATGTATTTTATGTATGTATATAAATATAACATAAATAATATAACTATATATTAGAATCCTTAGTTGTGTTGTTTGGTTTCTTGCAAGAAAGATTTCTTATGTATATGTATGCGTGTGCTTAATGATGTTGGTCACTCCCGAGGAACTTACGCATGTTTCAAACTTAGACGTCCAGGTAGCCTGTGGAGGCGCTGAAGAGAAGGTCTGGCAGAAGCCTTTTCTGAAGGCCGGGAAGATTTCGTGGAGGTTTGGGGGGTAACCACAAGAACTTTTGGGAGTCACTTTCAGCTAGTATGATTTAGCTGTGTTGATTAGTTATCTAATATGATTTAGTTACAGTAGATTGATTGATTGGCAATTACTTGGAAAGTCAAGGGTAAAAGTTGCAAACTGCCATCCCTTGCCCACACGTTTGGCCGATTCTCCTGGATAGAGCCTTGCTGAATTTATCATGTTCATCCGTTTGTGGTCGTTTCTAGAGGGTGACGATTGATATGATTAAAGGTAAAACCCGGGTACCTAACTCTAGGTACCCTGCAAATAGCTGGCGAATGGATGGGTATTCCCCTAAATATGGTCATATATAATATCCTCTGGTAAATTAACATAGACCCCGAACATCACCAATTTTTAGAGGAAACTAATCTTCCAACCCCTTTCTACCAGGGTCTATGTTCATTTACGGGAGGTGTTGGCCCATCCCCATCGAAGTTTTGAAGAGCAGGCCCATGCTACGCCATGATGGCGCGGCAGGTCTGGGAGGAAACGAAAGAGAAGGTCGCCGTGGCGCTTCACGCCCAGCAAAGTGAAGGTGCCTGATCTGTCAGATGGGGCCACTGAGCCCTACCAAGATTGAATCCTGTAGGTTCACTGCAAACCAAAAAATGACAGAAATCGGGTAAGATAAAGTTAAAGGTCAATTGCCTGGACCAACTTTTGAAATATTAGATAGTAGTATACATCTAAGATGACCTAGTGCCCTGGGTTGAGGATGTTTTTATCGTTTGTCTTGTCCATACGTTAAAATAGATTTGAACCTCCGGCAGGGGTTGGGAGAGAGGCTAAAAATGATAGAAAATTGGCATGTAACACATTGATTTAATATTCTTTATACCTCAACAAGCAGGAAAAAATCTGAAAACAAAACCCAATGGTTCAGTAAAAAACCTTTCACAAGCGCGGCGTCTTCTACGATGAATATGATGTACAGCCCGGGTGTATAAGAATCGGAATGTTCCCAGCACAGGTCCATCAACTTTTGAATGCAACATGTTGAGGAATTCCATCCTTAATGGAGGAAGCTTCATTGAAGGATTCTATTTGTTTGGATATGTTCATAGGGTGCTAAGGATTATGATGGATTTGGGTTGGAAAATGTTGTCCTTCAGTTTGAAGCTGGGGGCCAAGTATAATCCAGTCCCCTCATGTCAGCACTAGTGGATTTGTTTGAACCATTTTTCTACATGTTTGTTTAATGCCGAGGCTTGGACACTACCAGAAGAAACCATAAGTGTCCAACGCAAAATCCCAAACTTCACAATTCCTCAAACATCTTTAAAAATTGAGCATATACAATCTTTGGATAGAGGCCCTAATGGAACCAGTGGTGTGGCTGGTCAATGTGAAGCCTAAATGACCAAACGTATCAAACACATCCCATCCTTTAGTGAAGGTGCCTCCATGAATGACGGAATCCCTCAAGATCAGACCCCAAGTAGTCCTGGAAAAAACGGACTGTCTATGGATGCCTTTTTTTTCCAAGGAGTGAACCTCCTGGTCCAAAGGGAGATTTTATGGGGCAGGGATTGATGTGGTAAGGCCAAATGCCATAAGCCATGCCTGATTTACCTGATTCCACAGTGTGATGCAAATGAGATCAACCATACTGCTTTAAAGTGTAAATCTGTTCTTTTTTTGGCCGGGTTGACGACAGTGTTAAGTTGCTAAGTTGGGGTTGTCCAGACCGAGACGGTATATCAAAACCAAAGAAGTGTTTTGGGAGTGCTCCAAGAGTCGTAAAACACATATAAGTGTTTTGGCCCAAAATTAGGTGAACAAAAACACTTGTTGATGCTGCAGCCTCTGCAGTGGGTTTAAGATGGTTTAAGATATCCCTCAGCTGCATGTTTAGTTCAATACTGGATACATGCCACTGAAGGCAGCTGACTTTACTGACCTCAATATGATTTGTAAATACATGTGAATACCATGTGGTATCAGGAAGTTCCACCGTACAATAACTAATTAGAAATTTTTGGTTGGATATGAAAAGCTGAGATTGTCAGTATAAGTATAAGCATCTCAATGGGATTTGATATTGATATGATATGATATTTTGGAAGCACATCCAGGTCACATGTTATCATTTTTGACGCTCGCTTGGTCTTTTCGCTCCTTGCGCAAACCTGGTGACATTTCAAAATTCATATTTTAATGAACACCGGGCTGACTGTAAAATAACTGACGAACATCCGATGAACTTTGGAGATAGGTACTGCGTGAAAACCAGGTGAATTTTCAAAACTTGGTGAAAACCTGGTGAAATTTCCAGACCTTGAAAACCAGGTGAATTTTCAAAACTTGGTGAAAACCTGGTGAAATTTCAAAACTTGGTGAAAACCTGGTGAACCTGGTGAATTTTCAAAACTTGGTGAAAACCTGGTGATTTTCAAAACTTGGTGAAAGCCTGGTGATTTCTTTGTTGTGAACACGAAGAAGTGTTTTACAGGTTCCAAATTCACCAAAAGAAGTGTTTTGAGCCTACTTTTTGGTGAAAATTATGTGTTTTCATGGTGAAAATGGATCGAAAATCTCATTGGACCAAAACCTGGTGAAAACTTGGTGAATTTTCAAAACCTGGTGAAAACTTGATGAATTTTCAAAACCAGGTGAAAACCTGGTGAAAACTTGGTGAAAACCTGGTGAAAACTCGGTGAAAACTTGGTGAAAACCTGGTGAAAACCTGGTGAAAACTTGGTGAAAACTTGGTGAAAACCTGGTGAAAACCTGGTGAAAACTTGGTGAAAACCTGGTGAAAACTTGGTGAAAACCTGGTGAAAACTTGGTGAAAGCTTGGTGAAAACTCGCTGAAAACTTGGTGAAAACCTGGTGAAAACATGGTGAAAACTTGGTGAAAACCTGGTGAAAACTCGGTGAAAACTTGGTGAAAACCTGGTGAATTTTGAAAACCTGGTGAAAACTCGGTGAAGACTTGGTGAAAACCTGGTGAATTTTCAAAACCTGGTGAAAACCTGGTGAAAACTTGGTGAAAACCTGGTCAAAAAAGCGGTCGAAATCTGTTTGAAAACCTAGTGCAGCCTGGTGAAAACTTTTCGAAAAAGCCTCGTGAAAACCTGGTGAAAACTTGATGAAAACCTTGTGAATTTTCACAACCTGGTGACAACCTGATGAAATGTCACAACCTTGGTAAAAACTTGATGGAATTTTAAAACTCAATGAAAAATTGCGGAGAAATTTTTGCTGACAAATCTCCAGGGGTGGCACAAGTAGGAAAAAAGGGCACGTCTAGATTGACACCCGCTGGATTTACTGGATTTCCAAGGATTTCCCAAACATGTGTTTTAGTCCTAGTCGGCAAGTTTCAAAACACTTGTTGCATCCTAGACCCTCGGGCACTGAGTCAAAACACATGTTGGGCCCTGCAGCTAACGACTTAGCAACTTAACAGACGACAGTACATAGTGGCTATAATATCATTAATGACTATTTAATGGACGCACGAATTGCCGTTACCTCAAGGGCTTTCAGTCATGATGTACACCAGCCAGTTGCTTGGAATACCAGTCCCTGGGGCTCACATGTACCGTTGGATCCGCAACTTTAAAACCATCACCGCTTTGCGGTTTGTCGATGTTAGTTGTTGGGTATGCCTTTTGGGACGGTTGATCATAGGCCCCACATAGTTGGTACATGTTGATACCTGGGGATGATTTATGATGACTTGGATCCCACATATCGCTAGAACAAAAATCCGTGTGACAGGGGGCAACGGGCGGATGTCACCGAGGAACTGCTTAAGGTGGACAATTTGGGTTGTAGCTTCCTGGTCGTTAAAAAAAGCATGTCTAACTAATTATTGAGAATAATCCCATCCCCCGAATATTGAACACCCCCTTAATGGTCCCAATTATGTGGAAATTCTCCACCTAGACCAGAGTTTTTAGGGGGAGGTTCATATTAGGGGGATGTGGTTAGTCAGAAATAAGTTCGCATGAATATAATGATATGCATGCGTGAAAGGTGTGATACTGAGCATCGCGGACACATGCAAAGACCAGTGTATCGAATGCCAAAAAAGGTGTAAGGCAGTTGCAGTTGCAGCCCTACCCACGTGCCACCGACAAGACGAATGCACCTTACTTGGTAAAGATCAATGTTGATCCTGCTTGGTAATACTATGCATATAATATATGGAATGTCAATCACTAGTTGCCAATGCAACTGCCCCAAGCACATCCACTGGAGGTGATTTTTGGTGACCTCAAACTACCCGGCGGGTTGTTTACCGAACCCGCGTTTTCAACGTTTGCAGTGTTCGTCATTGATTTCATACCACAAATCACAGTGGTTTTGCATCTCTCTCAAAGTTCAATTTCCTTAAAAAGTACGCGCGTACTTTTCACTGGATATGCAAAACACCTCAGCGGCACTATTTTTTTTCTGCACCAAGTGTTCTTCACATTTTCTGCAGTGAGCTTGGAGAGGTTTTTGTGGGAACTGTTTTCCCATATATGTGAGGAAGTGCAAGACGACATACAGTAGCGTAGCATCATGCATGTGAGGAAGTGCAAGACGGCATACAGTGGAGTTGCATCATGTATGTGAGGAAGTGCAATCTAGACGTACAGCAGCGTAGCATCATGTATGTGAGGAAGTGCAAGACGACGTACACTAGCGTAGCATCATGCATGTGGGGAATTGCAAAAAGCCGTACAGCAGCGTTGCATGATATATGTGAGGAAGTGCAAGACGACATACAGTGGAGTTGCATCATGTATGTGAGGAAGTGCAAGACGACGTACACTAGCGTAGCATCATGTATGTGAGGAAGTGCAAGACGACGTACACTAGCGCAGCATCATGCATGTGAGGAAGTGCAAGACGACGTACAATAACGTAGCATCATATATGTGAGGAAGTGCAAGACGACATACAGTGGAGTTGCATCATGTATGTGAGGAAGTGCAAGACGACGTACACTAGCGTAGGATCATATATGTGAGGAAGTGCAAGACGACATACAGTAGCGTAGCATCATATATGTGAGGAAGTGCAAGACGACATACAGTGGAGTTGCATCATGTATGTGAGGAAGTGCAATCTAGACGTACAGCAGCGTAGCATCATGTATGTGAGGAAGTGCAAGACGATGTACAGCAGCGTAGCATCATATATGTGAGGAAGTGCAATCTAGACGTACAGCAGCGTAGCATCATGTATGTGAGGAAGTGCAAGACGACATACAGTGGAGTTGCATCATGTATGTGAGGAAGTGCAAGACGATGTACACTAGCGTAGCATCATGTATGTGAGGAAGTGCAAGACGACGTACAATAACGTAGCATCATATATGTGAGGATGTGCAAGACGACATGCAGTGGAGTTGCATCATGTATGTGAGGCAGTGCAAATGAACGTTATTACCCCACCCCACCCCACCCCACCCCGTTAACCCCATGAAAGACATAGAAGCATGCAAAACGCTGGTTTGGTTTTCAACCCGTAGGCTCAAACTACAAAGCCTTGCAAGAAACGGTTACTGGTGTATAAATATATATATATATATAAATATAATCATATGTTTCAACCTTAAACGTTACTGGATTGCCACTTGCAATTGGTTGCATGTACATATACACACACATATATATATATATACATATGTATATATGCAGTGTTTGCGGGCATGCACATATATGATATTTGCCTATGAATATTATGATTTGTTATGCATACACATGTACAAAATATAAATATATAAATGCAATTCCATGAAACATATATTATACAGATGGGAGTCCGTTTTTGACATGTAAATATACATGTCAAGTATGGGGAGTGTGAAATTGACCATGCCATTCCCTGCCGCAGATCTGGTGTGGTTGACGCAGTCGGCAGAGGAAGTGCGATGGCAAGCGAATGAGTCGTGGAGCCCCAGGGGTGGTGTCACTGCTGGACAAAGCAGCGTTAGGTAATTAATGGGTAATAATATAGAGTGGCTAAAACGCACACACACACATAATCCAATGGGAATCAATCGGTAGCCTTAGGTATATATATATATATATAGTGGCTACTCAAACATATAGTAGCCAAAATACAGCCTTGATATATCAATAGTAGCCTTACAAACATTGCGTTTCAACCATCTAATATAATATGGTGGCTATTTTACTCGCAATCATGTGGTAGTGTAACAGTTTGCTATGTAAAATCGCCAGAGATACAATAGGTAAATCATCTACACATGGACCAATTTCCGTTGCTATGCTAAATTACCAGATGGCACATGTAAATACATGTCGCTTGTAGTGGTTTTTAACTTCGAGTAAATAAACAAAGCAATAGGTGGGTCCCACCCGTTGTAGATCATTTTTCCTATGGAAACTCATCAGTCTCATGCAAAATTTCCATACCGATGGCTTGTTTAACCAGATGTCTAGTTCTAATATGTGTTGAATGCAGTCTGCAGTAGTTTTTAAATCTGATTTCCTTTGCTGAAAAATGATGAAACATGCCTGGCTCGTTTGAGTGCATCAGCGGATTCAATCCCGCAATTGCTGAGGGGACCCTAATAGAGAGATTTCATGGGGTAATGCCAGCCTCCTTTTGATATACGTCAATCCTGGGTCAACGTGACATTTCAGTGAACAATGTCAGAGCTGAAACTCCAAGAAGTCAGTTGGGTATCATATTTACAGTACGTTCCAAGAGGGTAAGCAAAAAAAATTCGTTACTGCATTGGGATATTGGGGTCATCAAGATCAATATAGTGGTTTGGGTTGAAGGCCGAGCCGCCAAATAATTACCTACATACTTCCCACAATTTGGTAGCCGCATCACTATCAACATAGACCCTGCCAAATAATCCAAATAATGGTTTGGAGGACTGCTTTCCTCCAAAACTGATGATGCCCGGGGTCAAACTGGGAGGATGGTTTGTTTGAACTACTGCAACTACCTAGGAACTACCTTAGGACCTTTCGCAAGTCTATGGTCATCCCCCAAAGAAAGATAGATACATGAATGTTCATGTTGATTTTGGCAAAATCAAAAAACATGTTCATGATTTTCTTTACTTTCAATTTTCAATGTTCCTGGAGGTAACGCTAATGTTCACCACAATCCTCCGAGACCCTTCGCACATGTAGGTCGCAGGGCATTCGGCGTTCCGCCTTTGAACCCAAGGATGCTCCGCAGGACCAGGCTGCAGCGCGCCAGTACTAGAGGTTTTACCTTGGGAAAACCCAATTTTTGGGACGATTTAAAGCCCATACCAGTTTGTATTTATAGCGAGGTAGATAGAAAGATAGATAGATAGATACATACCCTCCGGTTTCATCAACAGTTCTTGGGGTGATTTTCCCTATAAACATCCATGTATAGTGGATTTCCCAACTTGCCATGGGATGGTTTACTAATGTTTATACCACCTGATGGTTTACTCCACCCTTTTGGTAACTGAATCTAACCATGGAACATGACAACCTGTAGATAATTGACTTGGTGTCTATAGATCGTTTTTGCATATGTTTGGTTATAAATGGCTGTATCTACTGTACCAACGAGCTAGTGTATGTTTTGCTTCCTCGCGGGGTATCAAAGGTTGGCAATGGTTTTGCCATCAAACCTGGCAATGGACAACCTCATTGGAGGTTCCCATCGCCAGGTGACATTCTGGAGGTTGCCAGAATGACACCTTTACATTTCGAGTGTTTTCTCAGTACAAAAGAGAAACACATGATTGTTTGAAAACCTGAAGTGTTAGCAATATTTAGCAATTCTCTATGGTACATTTGCAAATATAAATACATGTAGTATTGCTATCAATTTAACAAGCAAGCAACATGACTTCGAAAAGGAACAACGGAACGTCCCTACTTGCCATATCTTGACTTGTGACATGCTGCCACATCTGACTAGTTGCTTCTGTTTGGAAACACATTTCAAACTGCGTATAATTATATACTTGTTTGCCGGTACAGTTTAGAGGTCACACAAGGGTAAATTTTATGATGCACACATTGTCACATTTATATATTTTATTTATTTTTGCTTAAATATATTTATACAGTATTGCCTTTATAATCACATATATATTTTGAATTAATTATCTATATATTCTATCACATGAGTAACTGACAAAATTAGTGGAGGACTAAAGTAGAAGGGAGTGGCCTTGGGATCTTCAAATTTGTGTTAAAACCTCCACAACGTCCACAACCGCTGCTAGGGAACCACCCACTTTGGCCATGTCCATTGCGAGTAGTAAGTAATTTGTCCGCCACTCATATTATATTATATTTAATTTATATGTATATCTATTTGTATGGAGATATTATCTATATATATATATATTATGTATGCCATGTATACACCATTTCATATCATGTTCCACGTCGGTGTCAGATCAGTACCTGGCCGTTTCAGGCAGAGCTGTTGCCCGAAGACGAGATCCGGTGGTTCAAGCGCAGGCTGGGTGTAATCCCTTCCTTATGTTTAAACAGCCTCAAGAAATCATGGTTTAGTACTGGATTTACACTTATTTGGTACCAGAAAAGAGGGTGTTTAACATTTGGGGGATAGATTATTGTTTAATAATGGCTGGTCTTAATCAAGAATAGTCTAACGTTGGGCGGTGGTTAAGATTGCCCAGACAAGCTGGTTGTTGCTGGTAGTATTGGGGAGAGGGTCTGCTGACTGGGGGGCATTGGTTGAATGAAAAAAAAGTACCGCAGGGATGGTTTTTGAAAAAACATGATGGACTACTCTGAGTAAGGAACGATAAACAATGGAAATTCCAACCCCGCTGGCGATATTTGGTGGGATGGGTCAAGACGTTGGATTTTTCTGCACGTTTCGGGCGGGATGAATGCCACTAATTATAAGCGTTTGCCGATGTAAAACCACGGGGTCCAGGGGGTAATTCGCCTGCTGGGGAGCGTTGGAAGTTGAACTCTGAAGAGAACTCCCACAGAAGAGTGGAAGTGATTTCCCGGATCTTCTAGCTTGGACCTGCATTTTTCAACCAGTCATTTGTTGTTCTGGCTTTCCAGCTCGAGCCCAGCACACTTGAGGATTTTTTTACAACCGGTTTTCGTTCATGTGAATTTCCCGTTTGATCGTCCATTTTCGGGGTTCCATCGGCCAGGCAATCCACACAGGCCTTGGGAAAGTGGTGCCAGAAATGAGAAGCAGGTTTTTAGACAACGAAAAAGGCTGATGGACCCCATGTGATACTTGAGATTCAATAGCTCGAACTCCGAAAACCCATGATTCAGCAACGCTGACGATGATAATGATGACGATGATGATCAAAATATATGTGATGCCGTTGCGGCACTGAAAAATCGATCACCTTCAAGGGTCCCAGTTGATGAAGTCGTTCTTGCTTGCAACATGAAAAATGGACTAATAATCCAATAGAATGTGATCTATAGCCAACAATGCCACTAAATATTGGTTGGTTGAACTCCACACGTTTGTTGATTCAAACCCCATTTAATGTTGTTGAAAATTCTACACTATATGTAAGACATGCATAGCTTATGTATCTATGTGCGTGTGGTTGACCTGTAAGAATTGATAATTCGATATAATTCGGTTGTTTGGTTGGACACATTTGTTGCTGCTTCCTTTTTGCCATTTCTAGATGATTCCCCAGTCCCCATTGCACGGTGAAACACGATTTGATGGTAGACCAGGTTTCGTTCGAAGACACATCAATAAATCAAAGGAGAAAAACATGGTTTGGATTAATTTGGCTTGTTAGACGGCTGAAATCTTCATATTTTGTTGAACCTGCCAAAAAACACCTATATAACTATAAACACATGTTCTTTTTGTTTAAATTCATTTTTTGTTGATCTTCCCCAAATATCCAAATATCTACTAGCTGATTGACATACCTTTTTTTTTGAAGCACTGTTTTGTGTCGCACAGATTTTGGTATAAAGTCCTCATGTTCAAGCTTGTGTTTGTCTGCTAAAATCCAAAGAGATTGCCCCTACTTGCTTGGTTCTCTCTTAAACTAACAGTCCGATGCGGTGTTTTACCCAGCAAATTTGTAATGCGGGTAAAACTAAACAATACTAAACCACCCATTTGGGAATGGTTTATGCCACCTATTTATTGTGAGTTGGAGGATGGTTTATTATTGTTTTAACCACATTTGACATTTTCCGAACTGGGAAACCACCAGGCCTATGTGCAGCTGCGGCTCTGTGGTGCCATCGGCTGTGCCAAGGAGGGGGTTCCTAGCCAAGCTATCTACAAATAAATACCATTAGAATGAACCATTGATTTGATATGTGTGTAGCTACCTGTTTAAATTATTTTAATGTGTTTCCTTCAATGCTGTCAATGGACCTATTCCTTATTCTTTTTCTGTATGTTGATACGATTATCTGTTCATTTATGTAAATACATGCTAAACAATCAGGCAAGTCAATCACCACATACCAGATCGTTCTTTGTGGACTCGATTAGAGGGCACTTAGACCAAAAAAAAAACATTCCACTTATGGACTCTTGCTGGGCTAAGTGGCCTCTTTGATATTTCTCTAAGTGGCCTCTTTGGGGGTATGATGATGGTAGATGATGGTATGATAGGGCTCCGATACAGGCACCGCACAGGATATCGCTTCTGCCACAGCACCTTGGGGCTCAGATGTAGGTGCTGATGTCATGGGTCATGGATCAACTCAACCCAGGTGGTATTTGGAATAAAAAGAACAACTGCAGGATAAGGGTCAAAGGTCATATCACGTGGATTTTTTTTAAAAAAAAAAACTGATTTTTGGGTTGTTGGCGCAAGTTGGCGCTGGCCATGGCAGCGGTGAAAGATATCGATGACGATATCAAGATCAAGAACCTATCCCATGCTGGGAAGTATCTTGATTCAAACTATTTCATTTTGCTGTGTGATGTTGGATATTCATATTATATAGATCGAAAGGTTTAACAACATACGACGTATATTGGACACTTAGGACACTGTAATGGCAACATATAATAATCTATATTATGGCACCACAGTTCTGTCCTCCCGTCTCAGGACCCTACGGAAATGTATGGTAGAGGTAATGGATCCTGACCTGATCCGGGAGGAGTGTCAAATGATCCCGGGCGGCGACATCCGGCAGAGAGGCAATGGGTGGATTCGCGATGCTTGGGGAAAAGCAGGCATCCAGAGGATCCCCAGAGAACATGAGTTTGCAAAAATCATTGCAAACCTAGTTCACCACTACAAACTGTGTGCCCAAGCTGTATTTGTTTGGTTCGTTCCTTTGGGTTTTCACCAACACAATATATCATTTTTTGCTGGAGTCACACTGAATTCAGGAAAAAAACGCACAGAATGTTCTGGGATCCACAATTGAATTATTAAAATATTAACAACTAAGGTCCTGGAATGGATGAGAAGGAGCGTAAGGATTGGATTATAGTCCAAGCACCTTGACCAATCATATTTCTAAGCTGTTAGTCTTGGAGCAAGTGATATTCATTTTCCGGACTTAGGCAGCTAGATGCCACAGAGTGGTGAAGAGACACAAGAAGTTGGGCTATCGGTCGTCGGATTCAAAGTCATCAATTTCCAGCACAAAGGGTTCAGGGAGCCTGGTCTTATTTACGCTGAGCTGTGGGCTGTGGGTGTGTTTCATATCATGTATACTGAGTAGGTCATGGTTTCAATGTAATTTTATCAAATCGTCAGCCCAGGTCTGCAATCGATATGGCTGATACACTACCCATGCCCGAGCTCTCCAATGATGATATGATTCTTGTTATAAAAAAATATTGAATTTATCCCTTCGATTCACCTGTCCAAACTGTAAGGAAAAACTGTGGGGCAATACCCGAAGAACATCTTGGGATTGGATCTGAAGCCTCTGAGTCGGAGGATGAAACTTCTGATGAGGAGGTCGCATGATACAGTATATGCATTTTGTATGGTATTTATGATAATGCTTCACCCCCATATATGTGGCATTGCACTCGTTAGACTTATTAATGTAGCACATCACTTTATTGCAGGTGCATGTATATAACACTACACTAGTAACATTACACTTGCTCATGTATGTACCTGGTTTTTAATCTACAATTTTCCTTTTGAACATCTAGGTAATGCGTATGTGCAGGTCGAAGTTGAAGAAGGCAAAGACAAAAAAATGACACTACCAAAGGAAGGCCAGCAGGTAGAGGAGTCTCAGGCTGAGGAGTCTTTGAGTGACACGTCAAGTGAAGGTGGCAAAGAGGAAGGACAACAGGTTATTGTCCAGCCGTTGGGTGTTATGATGGAAGGTGAAAACAAAAACAAGACAGCAACAACAGCAGCACCAGCAGCAGCAGCAGCACCTGATCAAAGTCAGCACAAAGATGACTGTGATGGGTCGTCAAGTGACGATAGTGACACAACAAGTGAAGGCAGCACTGAGGATGAAAAAGAAACAGGCACAGCAGCAAACCCCACACAGGCAGACAAAAGTGAGAAGGAAGATGAGACCCAGGAGTCCTCAGAAGATGACAGTGACACCGCAAGTGATGGGCATGAAGGGAATGAACAGCCGGTTCTGGCAGAGGCGACAGGTATTTCAGGTGACAATGCCTCAGAGGATGATGACCAAGAATCAGTACGTCAGGAAAATGAGCCAAGCGAAGGAGAGAAGGAAGACAAAGCTGGGGCAGATTCTGTTTCAGATTCAGAGGCATCAGAACCCACATGCCAAAAAGAACTTGCGGTTGAAAAACAATATGAACAACCCTCACCAGTCGACCTGCTGTCAAAATTCAACAGCACAGAGACCAAGCCTGATAGCGATGGCAATGACACTAGCAGTGATGATAGCAGCACAGAAAGCAACAGCAGTGATGGCAACAGCAATGATGACAACACAAGGCCATCAGCAACTCACCATGACAACACTGCTGAAGGAGCACAAGATGTTGAAATGGTTGCCGATGCAACTTCTTCTGACTCTTCGGATGATGTGGATATGACAAGTGAGCAAAAAACAAAGGAAGAGCAGAGCCAAGAAACCATGACAAGCAAGGTCGATGCTGAGCCAGAGACATGCCAAGCAAGTTCAGACGAAAGCAGCACTGACAGCATGGCATCAGCAGACATGAACAACACACATGAAAAACATCAAGCAAAGGCAGCAGGAAGACCATCTGCAGCTGCAGTGGGATTCAGCACACAACACCTGACAGACCAGGAGATTCAAAACAAACTGAATGGAGTTGCAGGGGACAAGATGCCAAGACCAAAGCGCAAAATTATTAAAAGAAAAGCTACTGCAGGGAAGAAAGGTCGTAAACTTTACAAACCACAGGTGGATGAAGAAGAAAGTTCATCTGCTGCAGAGCCACCAACTCTACCCAGGTCAAAGTCGTCAGATTCAACGTCACCAAGTTCGTCGTCATCATCGACATCATCCAGCTCAAACAGTGACAACGACAAGACTGGTGAGGCATGGGAAAGGGGGATGCACATGCTGAAGATGGCCAAACAATGCTGCTCACCCTGTAAGATTCGTGAAGAATATCCTCGAACAAATTTGAAGAGATGGTCTACCACTGGACAGAAATACCCCATTTACCCAGAAGAACTTTCAAGTCGTCAAGCCCGAGAGATGGCAATCAAAAGGCTTGAGGCAAAGAAACAGCTTGAGTTAAAGGACTGTATCAAAATTCCCGAAGCAGCAGTTGAAAAGACTTGGACTTCAGTGAAGGCTCCGCATGAGGCTGGTGACCTACCTGTACCCACGCATCGTCGGAGAACAAAGTCCTTCAGCTACTTGGTTCAAATCCCGGAGTTTTAAGGTGGAACATAATGCATGACCTTTGATAATAATATATCGGTGTGTTGGTCAAGTGCATGTGTGTCTATTCTCTCTGATGTTCCCTTGTTGAGACATATGTTGATTGCCCCAGCAGCATTGGCCCCAGGAAGTCCAGTGAAAAAAGAGGAACCGGACAAAGACAAATCTATCGAGCCCAAGGACAAGGTTGGGTTATGTTATGTTGGGTTTACCTGTTGTGGTCGCACTGCAATATGTTAGTCAGTGGATTCCCTGGGTCAGGTTTATCAGGTTTTAGCTGATACAAAAAATTGCACGTTGGCATAAAGGAAACATGTATTAAGCCCTGCCCCCTGGATCAGGTGGAGGAGAAGAAGCCAAAGAAGTCAAAGGAGGATGAATCACTTCTGACAAGACGAACAAAGGAGGACTTCGTGATGTCAGCTTTTCAGGTTGCAATTCACAAAGTGCAGCAGCGTGCTTTGGAAAAGGCATCATGCACAGTCCCCACTCCTGATCAGCAGTTGGAGATCTTGCGTCAGAAACAAGGGAGGAAACAAAGAGCGAAACTCGTTTGAAAACAGTCTACATTTCAAACATGTTTTGTGTTTGACATGGATCTAGATGAAGACATTAGCTAAGGAAATACGAAGTTGTACATCTTGAGCAAAATCGACAGGACCATTGGACCATCGAGACGAGGCGCCGTATGTCAGGCAAGTTGAAAGACACCACCTACAAGGTGTTCATATCACCGGACAACACAAAATACTATAGTTTGAAGAAGGCCATGGAGAGTGGGTTCTCGAATGATGAACCCACAAACACGAAGGGTTCAGTTCCAAAGAAAAAACCCAAAGCCAAGGCGGCGGGGAAGTGTAAGACTAAGAAGTAGGAGGGCCAGGTCAACCTGAAACATTGGGCCTCAAGAAACACGTTCGAGTTTTTGTTTGATTCGGTCTCCAAAAAGTGGGGTGTGATCTGTATGCAGCACTGTGGTATGTGTTCACACAGCAGTAGCATAGTCTATGTGGTGTCTTACCTGGTTCAAAACTATAACCCAGCAAATTGCTTTGCCACTACGCTGCATACATGTGATCGGGTTTTGCCCTGACAAAATCTTGTCACTGGGCTTCTTGAGAAATACAATGTGTCTAAGATATTGAAAAATTGATCGACCAGCTGATTCATCATAGACAGTTACAAGTCACATGCACGATGTCAACTTCCACAATGCATAGATGAGCATGTGCATGCATGCACCCCATTGCTAGTTTATTCTGTTGGCATTTCTGCTACCAGTAGCTATGAGAGAGCTATTGAAGTTCCGTAGATCTTTGGGATGAGGGCCAGCAATTTGCTCCCTACATTGGCATTTCTTTCGCAAGTGCCTATTCCATCAAAGCCGAATCAATTTGTTACTTGGCAACAACCCAGGGGGGGCATGTTTACTTTACCACCCTACACGGGGTGCAATTTTTCTCCAGGCCCTTAGTGGCGCACCTTGTCCTGCTGGCCCAGGTTGAACTATGTGCTGGAGATGCTGCTGTTTCCTCGGCACTTCGCGATTGTGGATTTTCCGGGAAGGAATTTGATGTGGCATGGCCAGGTTTACTTTAGATTCAGTATGGAGACAGGGGGCCCAACATTATACACTGATGTTTAAGATCCGTGTTAAATACCAAGGTTGCCTGTTGGAAAAAGGTTCAAACATATTATATATAGCTTATGCTGGGAAGAATGCCAAATACTAAATTATATATGGTGCAAATCCGCTGGCATCTGAGGTGATCTACAGCAAGAACCACAACATCATGCGCACTGTGGGATTCATTGCTATGCTTGCAGCTGCACCTTGTTGGCAGTTATGCTACACCCAAATTAAGATACGCATATGCCATATATTTTTCACTGCAACCAAAAAAAGAAACAACTGATCAACTAATAGGTCTTGTCATTAGGATCCCCATGTCACACCTGGCATCCCATGTGCTATGAATAACTTCATTTGCGGCAGGTTCGAAATATGAAGCCGGGGTCATTGATTATTGCTGCTCCACCATGTGCATCTTGGATATGGCTGTGTCTCGACTTCAGGATTTGGGTTTTCCATGGTATTCCATTATCAAGATACTTTCACTCACTCATGTTCAGTGTCTAATTTTAGAAATGGCTTTTTTTGTTTTCTGATTTAAGGTCACGAAGCCAAAGTGGTAGGTCATGGACAAACCCAGCTGGTAATTTCCACAAGACTACCATCGCACTGCAGAACATCCTCATTCGGCGACTGCTATACATGTTACTTGGGAAGAAAATAAAATGGAATTTGATCATTTCATTTGATTTAGAATATGTTTTCAAAGATGTGACCTTGTACAACTGAGACTCTTTTATGCCTGGAAACGTGGTATACATTGGATCATAGAGCAGCCAATGTCCTCGGATGCTTGTCCTTAAGATATGATGCACCAGCAAACTGTGCAAACTGTGAAGTCCCTAGGCTGGGTTCCTTGAGTCTCAAAATTTCCTAGGTCCTTTGGCAGTATTTGCCGATGAAACGATTTCTTATCCTCACGAGGGCCATGCGGGTGTCATTCCCTATGGGTTCGTTTGGATCCCCCACATTGAAGATGACTGTGTGCCTGGGACCCATTTTTTTTAATATATATACTCTGTCAATTGTCTTACCCATTTGGGGGGTTCCTACTGTGGGGGTACTACCAATACATTATTTTAATTGAGGTACTTCTGTTTCATGAACCATATTTAATTTGCCAGTTCTTATCCAGCTAACACAAGGTGCTACGGAACGATTCCGAACCTACGAGCACTCCGGCGTCCTCTGGATATCGGCAAACTGAGGCTTCAACTCGAAAGTCAGTGGCTTCTCTTGTAGTGGAGACTGGGTTGGCCTCGGGCTGTTGGTCGTAACTGTTCGCCTATAATATATCAGATATATTGTCGTATATATTGCGATAACGCGACTTGCGCGGAAACACGCGCACACACACATGCACACACTAGACCAGAACAAGATCACTGATTACTGATTAAGTGATTTGTTGGGAACTGAATCCCATAACCCTTAACCAAACCAGAATATGCACACGAGCCTGCACTGTGATGATATGTGATGATGGTGGATGGTGTTTGTAGTGATGTTGATGGTGATGATGATGGTGGTGATGATGACATGTGATCTGTGGTACATGGTTTTTATTCGACATTGTGATCACCATTTGCAGTGATGCGATGTGATGTGATGATTGTGATGGTGATGCTGAAGATGATGATGCTGGTACGGATGATGATGAGCAGGACTAAGTTGATGTTGACTTTGATCATGGTGATTATGTTTTGATTTTTGCATGCATTACATCTTACACTGCCTTGGCTATGATATTCACACCTTGTCATGGGAATGTTGTCCCGACATTCCCGACTTCCAGTGCCAATGTTTTGACTCTGCACCATTGCAATGGTGTTCTCTTTTGGAGCGTCGCTGCTCAAAGGAAAAAAACCACGCTCGCGTTATAGATCACATCTATCATGATTATACGTCTGTCCATATAAAATATATAGGAATAATACTATAGCACAACACAAGCACAGATACGTCCGCTGCATGTATCTTATATCATAATTTGGGGTTTTTCCCTTGAACAACTCGTCGCCATTTGGGTACCTTAGGAGTGCTGGGGAATTTTGACTTGGGTGCACTAAAATTCAAATCATAATGGGCCATGGTTTGGTTTCCCAAAGATATTAACGATCCATTTGGTTAAAGTATTTATGTTTTTTAAATAAACGTTTTTGTTTTCCCAAATTATAGTTGGCCCCATTGATACAAAAGATAAATAAATCGAGGCCCTAAAGAATTGTAATATTTATATATTATAATGGGTACATGGGATCACCAGAGAATATTGTTCATCCAAAGAATCAACTTGGGCCCAGGCAAAAAAAAAGATCTCGTCAAAAAGACAATATCAAAAGGAGGCAAAAAACAGGTCACGGGGATATCTAAAGCTCTGAAGGAGAGCGCCAGTTATCCCCCGGGTTTTGGATATGCATTGGCTGCTTTGATGGAGCCACAAGGGTCAAAAGCTACCTTTCAGGACAGGGCAGGGTTGGATTCGAAAATCATGTCCTACTTCAGATATGGCAAGCCACATTCAATCATCCCCATATTGCCAAACAAGGGTTGGTAAACAAAATCTGGGATTGGGTTGACCACATCATATAATTATATCGTTGATTTTGTTTTTCGACAGCTGCTATGTAAATATTTTGTTGGGGGAATGCAATTTCTTTGGTGCAATTTTGAACACATATAATCCATCTCAACTTGACAGGGCCCCCTTGCCAGCAGTAGACGTTTTGCTGCCTCCACAAGCACTGGTGTAGGTAGTGGTTGCCCCATGCAGGACTTTCTTATCACAGCTGATGACCCCAATGATGATGACTGGGGTGCTTTGGACGATCTAATTCTTCCCAATGGCCGAAAAAATGCCCATTGGCGAAAGCTGAAGTAGCAGAAGTAGCTTCACTGACGCTGATGTAAAAAAAGTAGTTTGTATACACTGGCTGCAGCTTTAAGGTTTCCCTGACTGTGACAATTTTTATACTAGTCAAAAAGTAAATGGCTAATCAGCTACACCATATGCACTTCAGTAAGGAATCACAGCTTATCTTTGCAGCCAACTCTGCTCTCTGAAAACATAGGCCCCAGCTAGGATACACATCCGTTTCTCTCATGAATGTCATGAGCCGTGCTGATTACATTGCCCTTTTGGAAGACGTTGCTGGGCACAAGATCTGCGCATCGTGCTGGGCGAATATGTTTGAACCGTGGTTGGACAGGCTCGGGGATTTCCAATACATATTAGATTATGTTTTGATTCCCTTAATTCCCATATATATAGTCAGTTAGTAGGTATGGTCAGCTCCCCTGTTCAGGCATAGTTATGGCAATCTCCTGGCCACTAGCTTTGACTGCCGCTGTGAAGATTCAGTGATGGGCAATGATGAAACTAGCAGTGGCAGTGATGATTCTAGCATGGCCAGCGCTGATAGTAGCAGTTCTTCTGATGCTGCAATGACCTCTGGATCTTCTGAGACTACTGCTTCTTATACCGAAGAACAGTGATCCAGATTAGAGAGCGGTAGTTACAATTCATAATCTTACTGCATGTGTGAACTCCACACATGGCTGTTGTTGGGGAAACAAAATGCCACCGATCCCCCATTGGATCTGATCCGAGCTCGCCTGGCCACAGGTTGGAGAAAAGGTTTCGATCGTCTTTTTCCTGCGTGTCAATGCGTGTCACGGGCGTGTCAGGGGGCCCTTTTTGATATCGAGAAAGTGCCCACTTAGCAAGTGGAAAGTGGTCACTTAGCAAGTGGAAAGTGGTCACTTAGCAATTTACGGTATAATCGCAGATGTGCGTGTCAACGCGTGTCACGGGCGTGTCACAAACAGGTCACTTAGGCTCAGAGCCCTGTGAAGTTTCACCAACCTAGAATCTCTGGGTCGAGGCTTGTGGAAGGCAGGGTTCACAAAAAAGAGTATTTTTTGGGAAAACAACCATTTGGCCCATTAAATTATGTTCTCAAATGCCTACTGGGATTGGCAGGCGATGGTCACAGCTACAGACGCCACTCCAAAGAGTGGCACAGGGAGTCTGTCTAAGAGGGAACAGAAAAAGGCAAAGCAAAATCAAAACCAAGAGGTTGAAGCTGAGGTCAAGGTGCGAGAAAAAGACAAGAAGGAGAAAAAGGATAAGAAAGACAAGAAGCATGCCAAGGAGCAGGAGGACAAGGCAGACCAGACGATGGCATCGGCAGAACGTGCACCACAGACGGGCATCGTGCCCACACCCAAGGTGAGAGCAGCAGCTGAGCCCTCAAACGAGGTGAAGGCACCAGAGAAGAAAGACAAGAAGGAGAAAAAGGATAAGAAAGACAAGAAGGATGCCAAGGAGCAGGAGGACAAGGCAGACCAGACCATGGCACCGGCAGAAAGTGCACCACAGAAGGGCATCGTGCCCACACCCAAGGTGAGAGCAGCAGCTGAGCCCTCAAACGAGGTGAAGGCACCAGAGAAGAAAGACAAGAAGGAGAAAAAGGATAAGAAAGACAAGAAGGATGCCAAGGAGCAGGAGGACAAGGCAGACCAGACCATGGCACCGGCAGAAAGTGCACCACAGAAGGGCATCGTGCCCACACCCAAGGTGAGAGCAGCAGCTGAGCCCTCAAGCGAGGTGAAGGCACCAGAGAAGAAAGACAAGAAGGAGAAAAAGGATAAGAAAGACAAGAAGCATGCCAAGGAGCAGGAGGACGAGGCAGACCAGACGATGGCATCGGCAAAAGGTTCACCACAGACGGGCATTGTGCCCACACCCAAGGTGAGAGCAGCAGCTGAGCCCTCAAACGAGGTGAAGGCACCAGAGAAGAAAGACAAGAAGGAGAAAAAGGATAAGAAAGACAAGAAGGATGCCAAGGAGCAGGAGGACGAGGCAGACCAGACGATGGCATCAGCAGAAGGTGCACCACAGACGGGCATCGTGCCCACACCCAAGGTGAGAGCAGCAGCTGAGCCCTCAAGCGAGGTGAAGGCACCAGAGAAGAAAGACAAGAAGGAGAAAAAGGATAAGAAAGGCAAGAAGGATGCCAAGGAGCAGGAGGACAAGGCAGACCAAACGATGGCATCGGCAGAAGGTGCACCAGAGACCAGTGGAGTGGCACAACCAAAAGCAGCAGCAGCAGCAGCACCAGCAGCAGCTGAGCCCTCGAGCGAGATGAAGGCATCAGAGAAGAAAGAAAAGAAGAGCAAAAAGAGCAAGAAAGAAAAGAAGGTAGAGGCATCCAATGATGCAGCTGGTCAGGAAGAAAACACAACAGGGAAAGCAAAGGAAGCACTGCAAACAGTGCCTGAGGTCACAGAGCAGGTACCAGAAAAAAATGATGGGAAGAGACACATGGCTGAGACAGAGCACACAGCAATGAAGAGGAAAAAAATTGAGAAGGTGTCAAGGAAAGCAAATGCTGGCACAGGTGAGTCGCCAGAAAAGAAAAGGTTCAAGCCAGTTCGTGTTGAGGCAGAGTCTGGGAGTGATGTTGAGAAGGAGTGGGTGCTTGGGGGGGGGCGGGACAGGGTTAGTTGAGAAAACATAGCACCCATCAGGCCAGTCTTCCAGTTCATAAAAAAAAAAATGTCAGTCTAGCTAGGCCCTAGCTGGCTTGCCGAGAGGAGCCCAGACCCATTGCTACGCCTATGCAGAAGATTGAGCCCACACGGACCATGGAAAGCTTAGACCTGTTTCGGTCTTTGTCGGATTCACAGCTTATGAGCCCAGCCAGTATTACTGGCACTGTGAGTGGATCCTCAGCAGCGGCAGGGACACCTGCTGAGGCCCCTTTATGCACAAAAGATATATATTTTGTTATTTGATAAATACTTGGTTCCAACACCACTGCTCTTTCTTTCTGGTGGGTCAATAATATTTTGAAGCTATATTACAATCCCCATACCCCTTTGTTTATATTTTGTCATATGATGAACACTTGGTTCCAACACACCACTGGTCAATAACATCCCAAGCTATATTTCAGTCCCCATACCCCTTTGTCTTCAGGCCGGTCTCTGCCCATGACAACAGGTTTCGGAACCTCGTGCCAAAAATGGTGGTGTTGCTCGCAGAACTGCCCTGACAGAAGCCGAGAAGGAATCCATCGAAAACATGAGTCAGCCAGCAGATATGGAAGAGTCGGCTACTCATATTATATTAACTGTCAATGGGCCCCACAAAATATATTGGGTCAAAAATGCCATGGGTATCTTGGGTACTAATTGATGAGTTATATGACTATATATATGGTTGACATTTTGGGGGAATGATCTATATGTATGATTGACATGTTGGGGGAACAATGCTATTTTCGTGAAAATTTGAGAAATGATGTTGACATATCATATGGGGGAAAGTCTTGCTCACCCACAGAAGCCACTGAGGAGCGTAAGAGGCAATACTCGGCTTTGCGCCGAGCTGTGAACCGGAGCTGCAACCCTGCTTTGGTCATGAAGATGCAGAATTGCAGTGACACAGAGAGGTGCGTAATTTGTTTCATCAGAACATTTGAAAGATACCACCATTATCCAATGCTACCCCTGTACACGAAACACAAGTTTCTGCACCTTGTCAGGTTTAGCATGTTGAAAACATGGCTCGTTAATGACAGCTTGGATTCGATCCATGTTGAAGAGCGATATGTGAAGATGGTTGAAGAAACTAGTTTGCACAAAACAACTTGGTATATTCAGGAATGTGTCATTGGCCAAGTATGTTTGCTAGATGTCATATCCCTCAAGATCTTAACTCAGAGCCAGCTAAGGAAAGCCGCACTGACCGCTATATCACCATGACACTTTTCCAGCTTGAAAAAAAATACGGAACTTCGAGTGAGGCCCAAAAGTTCATTGCTGATTTGATCAAAGGTACTTTGGCTTCAGTGTGCAAGTATTGTCCTGAATCTAGGCCTATTTTTTTTCAAGGGTTTCAACCATATCCCTGTAGCACCTTCCCATGTCCATCTGCCTCGGTCTCGAGTTGCTTCTGGTTTCTCGGTTCTCTTTGTTTTGCCTGCCACGCTGAGGCCAGACGGGTACTCCACACCCACAATCCGACAACCCCAAAGCTAAGATGTACAAGGTCCTTGCGGAGATAGTAGAGGAGAAGGGTGAGAAAACCCGGGGTGAGTCAAATTATGCTGTGGGTGGGCGAGTGAGATCGGAGGCTGCCAAGAAAGCTGTTGCCAAGGCAATTGCCAAAAATGTGAACGATCTTGACAATATGGGGTTGGTAGACCTCAAGACTGGGGCTATCAAGTCCAAGCGAAAGGGCAAGTCAAAGGAGAAGTCCCCTGAAGAAATGGCTCTCAAAGATGTGAAAGCATATGTCGCCAAGTTCCTAGCCCTGCACCCACATGTTTTTGTTATTCCACACATATCCATACAGCTAGCTGGAATTCAAATTGTAGTGAACTTAATATTTTCACATCCCAGGTTGAAGAAAGCTATCAATGAGCTTGAGTCCAAGATCGTTGAGATGGGCGAATTACAGATCCCAAACAGTTCTGAACTGGTTCCCTGACTTATTCGTATTAACTTATGAAACATTGGTAAAGCAGATCAGTGCCAATTTTCCCTGCCAACAATAGAAACATAAAAGCCTAGGTGAAAGCGTTGGAGTCGCACTCGAGCACCATTCGCGAACACTTTGGGGACGCGAGTGATAAAAGTTCACTGCCACCCAGCTCAGTGATCGCAGAAGAATTGGTTATGTTACTTAGCTTGTTTATGGTTGTGCCCCTGGGGTTACCGAAATCTAGATTTCCATGATCTTCTTCCATAAAAGATCTTTCTAGACTTCTCGTTCTTCTGCGCTGATTCCACGTTTCCCCAATGCCCCAGAAAGTGAAAGCTATCTTGGACCCCCCATATCTTAACCCAACAAGTTATTCCCTCAGGTGGCTGGAAGATGAGAAGGCTTGGTTCGCCCCCATCGAGAATGACATCAAAGATGCCAAGCGCCGCATCAACTTGAAGAAGGGTTCCAAGCCTCGTAAGGCTCCAGCTGAAGCTACAGGGCCTGAGCACAGCGCTTCTGAAGATGAAGCGTCAGAGTAGTTGGTGCACCCACTTAAGTCAGATTGGGAATCATGTGGTTCATACTTTGGAAAACCCACATTTCAAAAAAAATAGATAATTCGATTTTGTAAACACAATTGCTATGGTGTATACTGTCCATTTTGGTTGGGAAGAGTATATGGTTTTCCCACTGATCCCCCATGACATAATAGTCTTCTCTAACGGACCTTGGGGATTATTGTGATGTTAAGTGGGTGTACCCACTTATATTCCGATGAGGTTGGGCCCAACAATTGGCCCATTTTGGGGGGACAGGCAAGTCTTAGAGCCTGAGGTCAGGTTGTCCTAAACATTCTATTTTTTTCGTGGAAGTTACTGATGGGACCTCGGGAATGGCTTGAGTCATCAATATCCAACACAGGGGCAGCTTTTGAGGTTAAAAAATGCATGAGTGCTGCTTTGTTCAACGTGCAACACTTTCTTCAGAACATTCCTTTGGATGTAGGTATTGATTTGTTACCTCCTGTCACTGGTGCCCGCAGCAAGCCTTAGGTAGCGGGTATCTTGGTCTGGAAGTAGGCTCCTGGTGTGCCAGCATTGGTTCCAACACATGTTGAGACAACCAATAAGTATGGGTCAACCTTCATGGTTTAACAACTCCAAGATATCCCCAACAATTATATGAGTCACCCTTCATAGTAGTTTAACAATCCAATATATCCCAATACAGTACTACTTTTTAAACATAACATTTTGATATGAAATATGTTGCGAGCCATGTCGATGCGATGGACTTGGTTGAAGACTTCCTCGAACTTGGTAAAGAGGTGCCTTATCTGACTAGTTTTGACAACTTTCAAAATCAATATGTTTCACTTATGGGTTCATCCTATGAACGCACTGCATGATAACCAAGGTTAGTCTTACAACACTGGTTGCCATGCTGGAAGCTGTCTCCAGACGATTTCCCCAACGGTTGCAATCGAATCTTGGTGGTACATGGGGTAGGTACTCAAAACACCTAGTATATAATCCTCTTACCCTAGATCCTTTCACCCACTCTCTGGCTCTCTCGCTCTCCCCAAGGAAAGGCTTGAAAGATTTGGTTGGCCTTCGGAAGGCAACTGATACAGTGAAGAATCCAAATGCCCCTAGGTTGTTCTGGAGGTGGATGGAACGCCAAGAGTGGAGATCCATGCTCCCCCAAATTTGGTCAAGATTTGGATTGCAAACATTTAGTGAAAACGAAACAGCATACTGTACATGGCAAACACATGCAAACACCCTTGTGATATCCAGAGATGAGCCAAACCAAGACCAAAAAAAAACTAATGCCAACAGCTTACCAAGGATAGATGTAGTGAAAGTTGATCATCGACTGGATCCGAAATATGTACTATCCACCATGCCGATGTTCCTCCCTTTGAGATGCTTCTTGGCTATGGTCAAACAACTCATTTGGGAACTCCCCCTCACTGCCCAAAGGTTTGCATCACTATATGCATATGACAAGAAGATCTTCCAGAAGAGATTCTTGGGTGAGCAGGGAGTAGCTTGGCTTCAACATGCCACACATATTCATGCATGCTATGCACATGTGCTTACCATATGGCATGTGTTGACTTATTTTGTTATGTTATTCTTGGGACGGTCACAGGAGCTGGAGCAATTCTGGGAACGAAATCGGGATACTCGATTTTTCCGAAATCATCCTGTCCTCTCACGAGAAGAATTTTGGCTGCGTATCAGTTGTTGCAGTTTTTTCATCAATAAATGCTAGCGCTAGGTCAAATGTATTTGCAACAGTACCTGAGGACGTTGACCTCACGAAAACCATAGGGCTTGTCATCCACGCTGATGACGCAGACTCACACCGACGACGTTCGTTTTGTGTGATGACTATGTCATCTGTTACAGTGGGCCAGATGTCTCCTTGGGATGCACGTATGCTGGTGTATGTGACTGACAACCAGCACTGTGTTGATGAGACGTGGGACACTTTGGACACATGGGTTTCCTGGAGTCTCACAGAGCTAGCTGAGGGCAAATGGTTCGCCAATGACCCATGGGGCCGACCGTTGAAATGCCGTGAGGGGAAAGCTGGCCAACCCATAGCAGAAAACTATCGAGGTGTGTTGGTACTGCACAAAGGTGATGCCAAGTATATGCAGCGAGCTTACCACACTCACAACAGTTGGGTGAGCGAAAGGGTGTGTTGGCTGTGTCATGCTACAAAATCTGGAAGTATGGCTTACACACTGCATGGTCCACATGCCCCACATCGGTCGACCATTGTTTCTTGCTTGTGATTGTTTCCGATGTTCTTTTTCCATGTTTTGGCGTTTGAATTTGAACCTGACTCTGGGGTGTTTGTATGTTTGTGCTAGTGGGGTTCCCTATTGCCTGCACTCAGGTATCAACCGAGGAATTCATTGTCCATGGCTGTCGCAACAATGCCTGGTGTCGAATGCCCGGATGGGATATCAGCATCCTGGGACTGGACTACCTCCATATAATGGATTTGGGTTTGGCTCCAGAAATTGGGGCATCAGCCCCTTGCATGAATACACTAGTGTACATGTGTGCAGTGGGCATCGATGGTTTTGTTCATGGGGGATGTTTGGTTTGTCGTGCTTCTGAATAGTAAGGCGCTTGTGGAACTATGTGAGGATGACATTGTTTGGAAGGGTGACTGGGTCGAATGTGTGCTGCATAGATTTTAGCTTATAACCATATAATATGTGAGATGTACCTGCATGCCTCCAGGTGACAACATCGACGAGCGACTCCGTGCTGCTCATGTGGAATTTGTAGCCCAGTGTCGGGCAAGCAAGATCCGCTGCTTTGCTGGTTTTTGAGCGTCACTAATGTTGGACCAATGGGATTGTGGGCATGGCCCCTTGTGTTCAAACAACTCAGGAAACCGTGGATCTGTCTATTCACTGATCCTTGGGCTTTATGTGCAAGACAACCAATGAAAAGATGTGAGCCTTTGCAATTCACTATAGCATTGACTTTTTTGCCTTTCCTAGGAAGCACTTGAACTGTGTGGGTGGCAAGTCGTTCCCGAGTGTGGCACAGAAGCATTTCAATGCGGCTGCCAGGGGCTAAGGGTTTGGTTCAAAGCTCTGCAAATGGATTCGATTATTGTTTTTCATGCATGCATGCATGTGATATGTTAAGCTTTGTTGTGACCCCATTTACGATGATGAGGAAGCAGTTGTCCTTATCAAATGGCTGATGGGCATTTGCTTGGGGGTTGCTATGGAACATCCGGATGATGAACATGCCCAGTTTCTTGTCGATATTTTTTCAAAATTACCAAGATTTGTGTTTGCCTCTATGGGAAGGGTAGCCTTAAACTTTGTCATACAATGTGGCTAAGGATGCGAGCGGCGGTGTTTGTGAACATGGTGCTCATACGGCAGGCAATGCATGGTTGTAAGACCATCATGCCCGAGAACAAGCTTCGGGACCTTCAAGTGTCTTGAACTGGTTTTAGTGATGCGTGGTGTGGTGGTGGGAAATTTTGTGTGTTCAGTTTGCTGTCATGGTTTATGATACCTCAGGCAGCGAATTTCATCTTCCATATATCCCTGAACTGGATGGCATCATACTCCATACAGAGACGTGAGCTGCTGTGGAAAATCCGTCCAAAGCTACATCAGCTTTTTGACTGCACCTACATAATCATGGCATGGGTATAGTGTTCACACAGTAAGATGGCCACTACTGTCATGCTCGGCTTAGGCTTGACCATGTGGTCATGGACCAAGCACAAAGATGCAACCCTTTATGGGTTGCGTGCTACGCAGACGAAGATTATGTAGGAAAAATTAAAAAAATGGCAGTTCTTGCAGTGCCAACTGGACTTGAAATGCAAGTTTTGCAGAGATACTGCGCCTTTGTTTGCACAAGGTGGCGTCGCCAAGTGCTTACCAATTAAAATTATGGCCATGGTGTATGTGTGTGCCATACAAAATGTATGATTTTCACGCACGCCCATGTTTCTTGAACCTCCCTGGGACTCCTCCGTCAAGATGGAGACAAAGAGCAACAGCCACCAGAGCGCAGCCGCAGCAGAGAAGGGTGAAGGGTTAGTGGGTATGAATCTATTTGTTGGCCAACTGGTCTACCCCATATATTCTCCAAGCATTTGGGTTACTTGTTACCTCAGATTGATTAAAACCTTGGAACTTAGACCCGGGAGATCTAAGGGGTGTAAAGTGACCATTTTGACAGCATAAGTGACCCTTTGATAAGTTGCTAAGTGGACACTTTGATCACGTTTTTAGAAGTATCCACTTAAGTGACCTGTTTACTGGGAAACATCAAAGTGGGCACAGGGAGTGTGCTGGTATGTATATATATATATAGTTATATAATATATACATTTAACTGCATTTATATTACCACTAGCGTGAGCACACATGTTATTAGTAATTAGCAATTAGTCTCTATTTCGAGGGGTTTGCCCAATTACATAGTCAGCAGTGTCTATTGCTCCAGGGTTGACATGAGAAAGGACCTAAAGGTCCATATAGAAACCCTTACTCGAGAGGTCTGGTGAACTACATATACCGATAACGCAAGAGCAATGTATATGCCACAAGCGGAACTTAGAATGTGGTTTTGGAAACCGCCGCACCACCGGATGAGCCAAAACTCACGTTTTGGGCACCTTGCACTTTTGAAATAATATTCCCACCATGCTATGTGTGAACAGTTTGACGCTTAGAATGATGCAAAAACATCGAACTATCTAAAGCATCCTACACAACAACATCTTTTGCTCATCACCGCGTACTCGTGACCCTTCTCACGAGTCACTTTCAGCAGTATTCAACTGGATGTGCATTCCAGTTGGTACCCTCTGGTAAACTAACATATACTATATACTAAGATAAGTATGAAAATTCACTATAAATGGTGGTTGTCCATAGTTATGTTCAATTACCAGAGGGTAACAATATCAACGCTTTTTTTCGCCAGATTATACAACCCAATGACAACCCGGCGATGACTTGGAGATGTTTTTATTACCATGTGACCATTGGTATTGCCATTCATCATAAACGTACCACAACACCAATTGTATTGACAATGATTGGTTAAAAAAAAAAGTAATTACCAATATAATGGATGTTATGTTGCCAATTAGTAAGTTTATGTTTATTTATGTTTGAATGCTTTGATCTAATAATCAATAATCAAACAGGTTTAGCAATATTGCCATCGTATACTATACTCTACTTTGGTTTATGTAATCTAGGTTGACAAATATGATCATTGATGAATTAAACTATCAATTATCAGGTTTCATGGTACTTGGTGCTTTATTCCACTTACTATATGTAGGTTATAAGCCTAGTTATAAGTGGATGAACCATGCTTATTCCACTTCTGACCAGGGATAGGTTACCTACTTCGGAATTGTTGGGATGGGATTGCCGTAGGATTTCTTGGCAATGGCGGCCTCCATCAGCCGCACGCAGCCAAGGTGGATCCATGGAAAAACCTGATGTTCCACCATTTTGAATGGGTGAATCATGGTGAATCAACGAACTATGCATGGCCATGTTCAATAGCTATGTTAAATTACCAGAGGGTAACCCAACTTTTTTTATTTATATATATATATACATGGGGTAAGCCACTTGGGGGGCTTACTAGAAACCATCCTTGCATGGGCCATGGTTTGTGAGTTGACTTAACTATAGTTAGAAATGAGTTGTACTTACTTGGGGACAGTACGTGGCTTATACATCACCCAGTTACGCCCGGATCACCTGGAATCGCGTTTTTCCCATGGTCCATCAGGCTAGGGGGGATTGTTAGACAAAACTGCGGTTTGTTGGGTATTTGACCATTTAACAAAAAAAAATGGGAAAAGGACAGAGAGTGTGAACACTGCTCATTTGGGGTCTCGTTTTTTATTACTACAATCCAATCAAATTCGTGTTTTTTTTTTTTTTCGAAGCTAGATATTCAAAAGACTCGTAGATCTACTGCCCAGGTTCTGACAAGTCAATCTCACAGTATAAGTCCTGGCCGATAAATTCTGATGACTACCCCCAAGAGTGCTTGTGTTCATTAGTGATCATTAGTGCCTTCCAAAAAAATCCGCCAGTGGTATCTTAATCCAGGCTTGACATAAATTATGCATGTCTAATGCCGTTCTGAAATCCCAGTCCCTTGCTTACCACCCATTCAAACCCCCCACGTTTGTTGGATAGATGTGTGAACTTTGGGATCACATTTACTAGTAGGTGCTTGTTGTTTTGGTCTTTTGATTATGAACAGGGATTGGATGATTCATGAACCTTCGCATCAAAACCAACCAGGGACTTGTGAATCATCAGGGCATCTATATGTGTCAATCCCTTCAGATTTTGGAGAGGATTCACAGAAGGCGTCCAAGCTATGGACCTTCAGCTCATGAACAAACAACTCTAGTTCCAAAACTTGGGATTCATGACCATCTCTTTCAAGGATGGTCCAGCAGTTAAAGTCCATTGGTTTAAGCCATGAACACATTAATGAACACTGCATGGTTATCCCATCACCATAAACTCTGCATAGTTTAGACATGTTTAAACTCAATAGTCTGTCAATAGTTACCAATTTCACCTCAGAAATCTCAAGAAACTCTACATGAGTATACTATTCCCATCCCAGTTCGCCCATTTCTTTGCCTTAGAAAACGTAGCCGACCTAGCTCCAGGAATTTCGCGCCGGCCTTTTGGATGGCCAGCTACGGCTTGCTCCTCTGGGGTCGGGCAAGGCAGCTGAGACCCAGCCTGGTGCGGGATCCCACGGGGATCCCACGATCTGACTGGAGGGCTGCGCCGCGCAATCCCATTGGGGCTACCCCAAGCTCGCTTGGATGGTTGAATTCATGGAAGATCCTTTGAAATACCACCCAAAATTGATGGTTTATAATTTTATAATGGAAGATCCTTTGAAAATGGATGATTTGGGGCTACTATTTCAGGAAACCTCCATTTTTTTGAAGAGTTGGGGGACACAATAAGCCCACTTGTAACATCTTGTAACTGGGGCGCCACTTTGTATGATCATGACTTCATGATGTTTCAACGACATGTTGAAGCACTACTTGGGATGCACTCGATGCAAATGGATGGAAACTAGAAATCCTGGGGAGCAGAGATGAAATTGGTTCGCCAGTTTGCCACCTTGGCTGGCTGGTGGTTTTCAAGTACTACCAAATGTGGATGGATCAGAACCTATCATTTTGATTTTGATATAAGAGGGGTTAAATAAGAAAGATAAACATCTCTTTGCCAGCTATATTTTGATGTTCACCAGGCTTTCAGGGTTTACCCTTAAGGCTCTTAACCAAATCATTCAACCACTAGGAGATCGCACTGCGCAAGCGGCTGATTCGCGCCAAATTCCCGGTGGAGGCGCGCCCTTGGAATAGTTGGGGTAGCCATATGTTTCTATTATTTGGCAGAAATATGGTATAGAACTCATTATCTCTCTCCATATATAGTTATAGTTATTATATAACTATAGTTGCCATCAACTATTTATTGGGGCAAATATGTTTGACCATTTTGTCCGTTTGCGGCAGTCGTGACTGTTAGGAAGAGGAGGAAGAGTCTGAGGAAGAGGATGAGGACGACCTCAGCGATTTGGAGGCCGGGCAGTTCGACAACAGCTTAGTCTGCCATGTATAGGCAAACATTGTGATTTCCCATGGTTATGTTATTTTACCAGAGGGTAGATAGAAATCAAACGTTTGATCGTTGAAGAATCACTTAAATCCCCCATGTTGGGTGATTAAATTTTCATTTCGAGACAAACCCCATAGAAATTGGTTGCTCAGGTCCCATTCCTGGGCACTTACGGTTTACCCAGTGATGATTTGATCCCCATTCCTCGGATGCCCTGTTGATGCGTCCCCAAGGGCCCAGCTTCAGGATGAAGATCCAGAGGAAGAGGAGGAGAAGCCCGTGCCGCAGTTCGCGATCTACGGGCCACATCTCGTTCCGTTGGCGGAGGCTGTTACTAGCGGAGATGGAAGTGCAGGATAAGGATGATGAGGATGGTGAGAATGATGAGGATGATGAAGACGATGAGGATGATGAGGATCATGAGGACAATGAGGATGAGGGTAATTAGAATGATGAGGATGATGAAGACGATGATGGCAATGATGATTTGTCATTATGTTGATTATGATGAGGAGTTGTTTGTCAGGTTCAGAGTTGTTCGATGTAGGTATCCTTTGTTCAACTCAAATCATTATTTGAAGTTGATTCATCGGATGTCGTCATAGTCACCCCTGCAGACTTCACAGGTGCTCCGTTTGGAGTGGTCCAAGGGCCCTGCGGGTGCGCCGCCGGGAAGCCTATCCTCCCTGCAGCTGAAATGCATCACTTAAGGTCAAGGTATGTCAAGGTCTCTATCCATCTAGAAACCATTTTCTTGGTCGAAATGTTGGTTTTCCACTGCCGCTTGTTCATGCGAGGGTAGCCATTTCGGATACACGTGCTTCATCAGATACCGCATGGGTGGCCTAGGTCCCAACGTGTGAGTGTGGCTCCTGGTGAAGAGCCACTACCTGCAGGTCCAGCATGGAAGCCTAGGGCCAGAACGGGTTAATGTGGTCAAGCCATTCATCACCAAGATCACCATTTTATGGATGCTAGCCATCCCCAGTCATGGTCGGTTTATGGCCAGGGTTTGAGAATCCCAAGGAAGTTGGAAACAGGTGGTTTTTCCACCAGGAAAAACCAGTGTCTGCTTGGTGATTTCCCCTAAATCCTATAGTTGTTTTATCCAAAAACAGAATGGGCTGATGATCCAACATCACTTTAAAATTCTTCAGGGTTGAGTTGTTCAAGCCCCGAGTGCCGTGACCCTCGCTGGCTTAGGTCAACATGTTGAGGACTGAAATTGTCTGTGGGGCTCCTCAAGCTGCAAGGACCGGAGAGGTGCACACACACAACCTGATGGGTCATGGAGTTGAGTCATTATGGATAAAACCTGATTGTCAAACGCATTTCAAAATCATGTCTATTTCAGAATCAGATCTAAGTATACAGACAAATATTCGGATCAAGTGTTTTCAACACATGAAAGACACCATTTCAAAAAAGCCAAGAACAACAATATGAGTCATATGAGATTCATACGGTATTTATGGTTCATTACTCAGGGTTTTCGGGCCATTTCGGGCCTTACTGACTGTTGGCGAAGCCTGGCAGATGAACGGTGGCGAAGCCGAGGCAAAAATGTGGAATCCCTACTGGCGGCATACGAAGTGCTGACGGAAGATGCGGAAGAGGTCAAGGGTAGACGGCATTTTCTAGAGGGGATATGATGGTAAATGGTGATTTAATGGTGATTTAATGGTGATTTAATGATGGTAAATGGTGATTTAATGGTGGTTTCATCCTGATTTAATGGGGATTAATTGGGATTTAATGGTGATGTGATGTGATGATCAACCAGTGGATTTAATGATTGGGTGACCCTCAGCTTCAGGGCCAGGGCCTGATGGAACTGTCCCTCTGATGGAACGCCGCATCCGCGCCATGATGGCCATGGTATCGGCAGGATGACATCCCCGCAAAGTCCAAGGAGGTCATGGACCTGGAAGAGGTCTCGGAAAATCGGGAGGCGAGTCGAGGGCGTCTCAGGTCTCAGCATCGATGGGGATCGAAGCAAAGTTTGTCATGGGGATTGTGTGTCAAGAATTTTGATATTGATATGTTTGGAATATGACATGTTTACATACCATCTCATAAATATCCCACATCCCCTGATTTATCAAACCATCAAATCTTGGATTTCTTGAGCAACTTGATATAAGATGTCGGATAGGCATAGCAAGGCAAGAATCTAGACATGATACGTTCGGGAATATATGCCATGGTTAATTAATTGGTTTTGTTTTATTGGGAAACCAATCTAATAAGTTAGTGTAATGTACCATCCAAATCCATCAAACATCTAACCAATTTGAGATGATGTGTTTGGGGTTGTATACCGAGTTGCGGATCTATAGATTAAGACATGGTATAAAACCACACACCACACATTTGTAGGTATGTATTGTATCAATGGTGATATATTGGGATAGTTTGTCGGACAAGGAGATATTATATGATATTATATTATGATATTATATGGTATGCCGCATGGCCATTGAATACTAGGGAACGTGATGATTAGCCACACATCCCATCATTGCTGCGTGTACATTGGATTCTGAGGTACTGTAGCCCTATATTCAGACAAACCCAATTTCAATTTTATCACATTCCGTTTGAATATCACACATATATATATATAATATTATATAATACACATATATATATATATAATATTTATTTCAATATATAACATATGTGTATACATTGTTCTTCTGGACCAAAAACAAAAAAACACTATTCTACTTCTACTTGAAAGATCTAATGACAAGTTTTAAAAAAAAAAGGTGTCTTTCCTTTTTTGTTGGATCATTTTGGTTCAATTTCAGCTAAGAGGCTGGACAATTTACCCTGTCAGGACGAAGATGAAGAGGAAGAGGAGGTTGATCAGACGGCAGATGTCGAAGAGATAGAGCCCGACGACGAAGAACCTTGGGCTCCAAATGGGGGTTTCCAAAAATGGGGATAATTGAATAGCTTGATAGTTTATAATGGAACATCCTATTGAAATAGGTGATTTGGAGGTACACCCCATTTCAGAAACCTCCAAATGGCTCCAAGATCAACCGCTTCTGAAACAGGTGGCTTCCTGTTTCTGAAAATCTTGTCTACCCTCCGGTAATCAAACGTGGAGAATCCACCATTTATAGATGGTGTTCCGTTTAAACCTTCATTTCTAGGGGGTTTTCCAGCCACATTGGATGACCAGAGGGTCCGGAGGTACATTCTATTTGCCGCCCCGTGATGATCCTAGTTGACAGTGGAGACGGGTTGGAGAACTATCATAGTTTAAAGAAGATCATACCTTAAATTGGTTCAATAGATAAATCATGATAAATCATCTATGTTCATCTAATTCTCCACGGCTATGTTATATTACCGGCGGGTAGTCAGACGAATTCGACTTTGGCCCGTCGTTTCTGGCAGACGGTCCACCTACCCAACGCTGACCTACTGTGGAATCCCAGCTCGTAGTCAATGTAGAGTGCCAGAACAGTTAGACTGCTTAGACTTAGACGTTCCATGAAATGGGTGTTCAACCGCTAACAGTTTCTGAAGCTGAATGACTTTTTGCTCTAACTATGACAATCTATGACAGCTGTAACTGCTGTCGGCTCCAGGAAGACTTCTTCCTGCCAGAAGATGAGGCGTCCGTTCGAGCGCCCAAGGCCGCGGTCGAGACTCTCCAGGTGAAACATGGTGAAACGGTCGAGAAATGGGGCCATCATGGGCCATCTCTTGTTACCATTTATTACCCATATTTTTTCCGGATTTCCCTGATCAATTTCAGAAAAGCACACCTTTCACTATGCCTTTCATTGCATTTCATTTGGTTTTGCGCGGGAAAAACAACTAGACAATACTAGACACCCCTAAATCCACTAGTTCATCATCAGTTTCCCTTTTAAATGGCCATTTCGTGCTATTTGATGGGTAATTATACCGGTATACCCTAGGCCGCCCAAAACTCCTGGTGGATCATCGCCCCATCCCACACCTCCCTGGATCAATCTGGATCGATCTGAGGCCCCTTCAGAGTTGTCCCTGTTTTCCCGTGCGGAGTTGCATGTGCAGCGTGCAGCACTGAGAGGGCTTGGCTGAAGATACATGCCGTGCCGAATCGTGCCGAAAGCCACGGGAAGTAACATGCGAGAACCACAGATGTTAGATGATTTTGGTTGTGTATATGTTGTGTATATGTCGTCATTTCTATGGCTGGCAGGACAATGCCGCATTTGTAGATGACTGATGATTGACCTACTGCTCCGATTTTATTGAACTTATTTATAAATTATTAAGTAGTGCTGTTGAGGCTAAAGCCCAGTGGAATATCACTGATTTGATGATTTGTAGCCACAGTTACAGGATCCAGCTGAACACTCAATCCTCACCAGCCAGTCACTTCAGGCCGCGCACCCCTGGGACTTCCGGCGAAGCTTCGCTTGGCAGGGCAGCCGAGCTTTGTCTCGTGCCCCATGGCCGTGTTGCCCCATGGCCCTTGTGGAATAAACAACTAAATTCATTGGATTTTGATGGATTCTGAGGGTCCAGATTTTGATATGTTGAGGCAACTCAATAGATGTAAGCAGGATATCTTGAAACTCACAGTTTATGTAAAATTATGTGAATATGTGCAAGTATATTCACACACATATATATATATATAATTATATATATACGTGTTTGGCGACCAACAAGGATCAGCACATACGGCAAGTTTCCCCGAACGGATGGCATCGGATGCGGACATGAATAACTGTTGTGACGGGTTTTGATTCACAGGAAACAGCTGAGTCATTGCCAAGACCAGCATTGCAGATTACCCTCTGGCAAACTAACATAGCTATGGGAAATCACAATTTTTAATGGGAACCTCACTATAAATGGCCATTTTCAACCAGAGGGTAATTCCTTGAGATTTGAACTTTGAACCACTTCGAATCACACTTGGTATGTAGTGGGGTTTGTTGATGTATTAGGCTCACTTTTTTGCCGATGTCACGTACAGGACCTACAGTCTGAATGGGAACCCCTTTCCAAACCATCCTCAGCTCAGATGTCGTCTCCAAAGCGCCGAAGAGTGAACCTTTCCTTTGCTGCAAATTTCCAACTCAAGTTCAGATACGTGAATATATATATATATATAATTTGAAAGATATTAAATATATATATATATATGTATATATATATATATGTATATATATAATATTATATATATATGTGTGTATAATATCCCTTGATATCTCCCAATTCTCAGGGCTGAATTTTTAGCCCTTTCACAATCGCCACATGGGTTGGCTGCCATGAACTATAGATATACCATCAGGCTTATGAATGGGATATTTCTGGAATTTCACAATCAAAATTGTGGAGATATTTATTGGGATACCCTTTGGTAATTTGACAGTCAGCTATGGAAAATCAGCATTTGAGCCAGCACCATCAGCTAGACATGGGCCATTTTGTATGTCACTATGTCAAATCACCAAAGGGTGCAGACTTTCCATAATTTTTCTCGTCAAAATTGCCACCATTTTATGGTGGGATCTTTCCAGGTCAAGGTGTTCAATGGCTTTCACCCGGACAATGCCAACAAGATCTTTCCGCAGGCGAAGTTTTTCTGAATTTCCTGAGGTTGCTGGGTTTTTTTGGGGAGCAAAATCATACAAACACATACAAGACCAACAACACTGATGAATAAAGACAATGAACATGTATAGATAAGAATGTGTTTTGATTCGTCATACATACAGATATACATGTATATTCATGTATGTATATATATATATATGTGTGTGTGTGTGATTCCTATTGATTCCTAAGGTCAACCGTCACGGTAACAAAGCCCCCCGATGCTCGATGCCTGGCCACTGAAGAGTTGTTGAAAACGTCGACAGGCCGCAGGCATCTTACTCCTCATGCACGTTTCGGCCCGGAAGAGCCAGACAGCGCACAAGGGAAATGGAGAAAAGGCCGGAGCTGAGAAAAATTAGGGGGATTTGCATGGGCGGATTCCTCCAGAAATGACTCTATTTGTGAGAAAATCATGGATTTGTTGCAAATGGTGAATGGATTCATCATGTTTAGATAGCTGTGGCTGATTCAAATGTGATCTGAATATTGATCCCATTGGCTGATCGCTGGAAACTCTCCAACGTTAGCAACAAATCATGCATTGAACCGCCAACTATTTGATTTCATTCCTCAATGACTTCTCAAGGAATACAGAAAAAAATGAATTCCGTAGTCAAATCGATCATGTTGATTCCAGCTTGGGGGGTACGCCCTACGAAAGTGCTTCGGCTTCGCGTTTCGATAATAGTTACTCATCCCCGCTAACTCTATATATATATAATTATATATATACAAATTTAAGTGTCTAACTTTTGTATCAGATGTATTTTCCCATGATACTGTGGATGTTTTTTCTTTTTAAATCCTGCACTAAAAATAATTGGTAACTCTTTTTGTTTAGCTATGTCACTAACACTGTAAATATATCATGGGATTACAATGGGATAATCTGCCCATCTACTAATCATAGAATTGGATGATGGGAAAATTGAAACCGGAAAGCCCGATCAGGGATGTCCACATCCCTTATAACCGTATGTTCCTGGTCACCTTGGGCGCTTGATCAATTTGATGGTCAAAACACCCATGGGTTTCCCCAGCGGCTTGGCTCAGGAGTCGGATTGGGCCGAGCCATTGGTGGATCCCACGGACCTGGTCCAGCAGCTGGTGGAGGTGCTTGGCTTTGACGTTATTTTTTTCGTGGAAAACATGGAGAAATCCCTGGAAATTACTATTGTTATATGTATATATATCTATATATATATAATGTTTATTTGGTGAAATTTGATGGATATAAAGATGTATACTTGTTGATTGTTCATGTATATTACTAAGATCAATGATTTTTTTTTCATGGAACAAGTCCTATTTGGATCAATGATTAGTGAAACGTGGGAAACCCTGGCTGCCAGAAAGAACTACCATGACTGGGGATGTTTTTTTTTTTCTCCCCCACCCATGAAAATGGTGATGACTTGGCTTCATTGGGTTTACCACATTATTGTTTTGTTAAATCATTATACATGTATATATATATATAGTGTTTTCTATTGGACATGATTTGACTCTTACATTTTGGGCCCAACAATTCTGGATATTTAATGACCTATATATTGTTTGTAATATGTTGATGGACAATTTCAAGAGTAATGATTGCTCCAGACCATAGTTGGAGAAAGTGTAATTTTACCTCTGTACTCAGCCAATCTTCCCCCCTTGTATCTGGGATATGGGAAGCAACAGCCTGATTGTTTGACTGAACTTAAAAACAGTTCATTACATTTGGCAGCAACAATTTGAATGACAATGATGACATCTAAAAAATGACATCTACCGACAAAACCTGACAGTAGCGAAGCAAATCTAGGACATCATCATCTTACATGTATGTATATATATATATACTGTATATACTGTATAAATAATATACAATGTGTATATATATATATATATATTACGCATATGTATATATATATATATATCTATCTATCTATATCTATCTATTTACATGCGGTAAAAATGGTTTATATATTATATATATATTGTTTGAATTCTATTCCAAATTGTCATGTAGTTGAGCGATCTTCTCAATGTCACCTGTTTCTGGACAGCTCGAGCATAGGTGGAACTTTTGCTGGACTCTACTGTGGAGGTGCTGGTTGGATGGGAAACCACGCCGACATCAATGGAATTTCCATCCAGGTAAGCGTTGAGGGTATAGAGCAAGGTGTGATTCCAGAAGACTTTGGAATTCAAGGGCTAGAGCAGGAGCAGGAGTAGCTGCCATTCACTGTGATTTATGTGATTTATAATATAATTGTGATTTGAGTATGGTAACAGACATTTACACGAAGCATTAGCTACTGGTTTCGCCGGCCTGGGATTTGCCTATATCGTGCCACCCAGATCACCAGCACTTCACCATTCCAAGAAGCGGTTTTTCAGGGAACATTTCGTGTAAATCAGCCAGGCCCGGTGGCTCACCAACTTCACCAAATTGGAGCCTCCATGGCGGCAGACTTGGGGGGTTTGATGGGTTGCCGCAGATGTTGACCAACTTCTGACCTAGTTTTGCGAGTTGATGTCAGATATTGACCCCCAGGGCTTTTTGCAGCACTTGCAGTCGGATTTTCCGTGAGTATTCAAGTTTCATGATACGTCCAATGTTTCCACCACAAAAGTCAGTCAAAATACTGAGAAAAAACAGCCTAACAAAATGTCGCATATCCACCCTCATTCAAAGATATCCAAAGATCAAAGCAATCTTTGCACATCGAAAGTAAGTCCATGTTCTAAGTTCCACACATTGTTTCGCACGCGATTCCAAAATTTAGCAGCCTTGCTGCCATGGCGCTAGACGCGCTTCGGAACGATGGGCCACTGCCATTGCTGGATCTGAAAACGGGAGATTTGATGCTCAGCAGCGAGCCTTTAAGATTCTTGGCGTCGGGGGAAGGGTGTCCTGGCTGGGGCTCTTCACATTTAGCCCTGTAAAAATAATCCATATACAAAAGCTTTGGAAATTCATAGGTTTCCTAGGAAATCAATGGACATCATTTGCAAATGATGATAATGATCTCTTTTCATTTGTTTTTCCATCTATAATATGCATAATATATGATTTCTTAATATATTTATATATAATATATACTGTAATTTATAATGCATATATATATATATATATGTGCGTGTGTTTACTGGAGGGCGCATAGATTTCGTTACAGTTTTTCATTGGTTTCACAGCCTTCGGGGGCAGGGCGGTGAGTTCACAGAGCTCACGGCACTCTATCAGATCCGATATAGGAATTGATAGGAATTGCTTATCAGTGTGATAAACCAAACAGCATCCAGAAATAGCAGAAATAGATGGAGAAGATTGGAGAAGTAATTTGATGCTGATTTACTTTTCCCATTGCCCCGATGTTGCCGAGATCCCTTGAACTGTTTCATCCGGTGCTGTTTGTGCATGAAGGCGGGCTGGTAAACTGGCTGGCTAGGCACTTGAAAGACCACCAATTGTTTGAAAGAAAAAGAACTGTGGTTAAGAGGGAGCTGTTCGGAGGTACTCGTATTCATATTCTCTAAATAGGGAGCCACTCGTTCGCCACTCGTTCCAAGAGTTTCCCAAGCTTGATAGAAGTGCCAAGTTAGCACCTCCATTTGGGGATTATCGTTGACAGAGACATGGGACCCGGGCGAAAATCGGCATGCTCAAAGCACCATAATAGGGCCTTTTGGAGTTCCGTTGAAAGGCCAGCACAGAGTTTATTCCACCAATTCTACTGGTTAAATGCTGATGATTGCATGATCCCTTCAGTCTTCAACGCTGTTCCGCTAAACATAGTCTAAACTCAAAAGATTTGAAGGCCTACCGTAGGACCCTAGGACCCAGTCATGCCCAGTCACTATGTCATCTATATCACCAGTCTTTGCAAGGCCTACAGCCCTACCTGTTCGACCAACAATTGACCCAACACGCTTGGGAGCTGAGCAGGTGCACCATATCGGCTTGGTGATAAGGCCTCAGGATTTTGATTCCCAGTCGCATGCTCCTTGGTGGCAGGGCTATACAAGGCATGTTTTTTTGTTGCATAGATCACCTTCTTTGTCTTGCTCGCTCTGCACATGCACACACACACACACATATATATATATACATATACACACATGTATGTATATATATATATATTTATAATATGTTATATATAATATGTTATATTTACTTATTGATTTATTTATTTGTTTTTTATATGCATATGTATTCACATATGTATATGCATATATTTTTTATGATTTAATTACATGCCCATACACACACATATATATATATATATGTACATAGGCATATATATATATATATATGTACGTGTATACATATATATATATATATATGATGTCATGTGCATTACATTAGTAGAGGGAGCATGCCTCTGTATGTAGACAGGTGCAGCCCTGTTTCAGGTTATTTTCCCGTCACCCGTATTGCAACTAGTGTTTGCAAGGTAGCTTCCTATCTTTTTGCAGCACACGGATTGGACCAAAAAAAGGATACGCCGAAATGCACGAGTTAAACAATATTTTCCTTACTTAAATTGTATCCAACACAAATAGACATGCCATTTTCATACAAGCCCAAGTATGTTTCTTGGAACCATGACTAATGGTTTACAGAACAACTTCAGTCCCGAGACCAGGCACGAGATTTTTGGGGAAAATGCTGGGATGTTCCGATTGCAGTTTGCCTGAGAAAGACTACATGTTTGTACCTAAATAAATGTATTCACCTTGCAGATATCATTGGATTAAAATAAAAAAAAAAACGTGACCTACATTCTATTGATATTGACTCATTGACCTTTATTCACAAGAGATATCAATAGAATGATACCAGCAATTCTATCGACTCATTTTTTTAACACTGGGATCTTCCAATTGCCAGCAATAGGTCTGAGGGTCAGCTGTGAGGTCAGACAAGCCCACCCAGAAATGGACAACTCGAAAATGTCCCGCGGCATGACACAAAGGGTGTCCATGTGTAAACTAACGTAACTATGGAAAATCGTCATTTTTTATGGGTAAATCCACTATAAATCACCATTTTCAATAGCTATGTAGCAAATTACCAGAGGGTACACATATCTACACACGGGATCAAAGGATCTATGGCTGGGTCACTTTGTGATTTTCCGAATTCAGTTGGGGATGGGTCGGATGGGTCCCAATCGACCAAGGTCTCTCTTTTAATAGCCTTTGCTTATTGAAAATAACGAAGCCATGGCCCATAGAAATAGATGATTTGTGATTTATCAATATTTATCATTTATCTTTACAGCCACGCACTTAGTTTGTTTCTTTGGTGGATTGATACATGTCTTGTATGATATAATAGATTGACGTGGCAACCTTCCACTTTGAAATTGAACTATTTGATTTGTTTTCATATTTGCTAATCTACCATATTGCTTGGTTCTTCTGTTTATTTTGTGCTCCTGGCCAAACCATCGATTTTGTATTTTTTTTCCTCAAAACCAATCCATCCATTCATGGAGGACATAGGCATGGGCACCTTTTCTGGCGTGACGAAGCCAGGTATGTGCTGCATTTCCTGCATTCTGGACTGAGACTCGAAGAAAAAATCAAGTTGGTCCTGGACGTCGCTGATGCCCATTCTGCCAACTAACTCTAATGTCATGGTCCAAAAAATTGTGTGGAAATTCCTTACTAAACCATGGTCTCTGGGGTGTTTGATTTGAATGGGAAGGGATTATATAATGAGTTGAAGCGGCTTTATCACCAATCATATATATATATATATATTTATATTTACACATAAATATAATATATATATATATATTTGTGTAAGGCAACATTAACTCACTTAGGACTTGGTCCTCGGACATGTATTGATGAACCAATCGGGAATGTCACATCCTTTTTTTCACCCAGTGCCAGTGGCTCATCCCTCATCCCAGTATCTAAAAACTCCAGGGATTACCCATAAGGATCACCATTGGGGCTGGGTCATTGTATCTCTATGTTTACCAAAGTGACCACCCAACCGACCCCTGGAGTTGCCAAGGAAACTCTGGGATTTGGAGCGCTACATCCATCGAAGCCCGGCTTCGTTTCACATCAACAATTGTGGGTTTGACCAGCAAAAATTGGGGGTTATTCAAGCAATGACGTGGACATGAGTTTGTCTGAAAATTGGGTTTTTTAGCACCCAAAAAAATCACGATTTAATAGAAAAACGGATCATACCCAGAGAATTTCGGGGTACTATATTTACATCGTCCTAGCCCTGTTTTGAAATCGGAGGGGGGGACTCATTTTGCAATTGTTTTTTTTTTTGGTATGTTGGTCCGACTTGCTGATTTTCACTGATTTTCAACTACATCTCCGTTTCCTTCCCTCTCGTGTCCTCTCCTTCCACTCCTCTGAGCCTCTCCCCCCAAACCTCCAAAAATCACCACAAATGGACGGGCAGCGCCTCGCTTAAAACCAGTTGTTTTATGCAAGGCAGTCAGTTGCGCTGTTTGGGAAGGTTTGGAAGGGAGAAGAGAGGAAATTATTGAAAAGTAGCCGGTGCTCATCACACTCTAGAAGCGATAGGTTTCTGCAGGCATAGGTTTCAGATGAAAAGCAGTGGCCGACATGCATGGTTTACTGATTAATTAATTAATTAATCAATTAATTAATTAATTAATGGATGATTGTCTATTGCCCAAAAGAAGCTGATAGTCGTCCGCCCATGAGTATTTGACTCAAATCCATGATGCGATAAGGCCTTTCCAGTAGAACGTCAAATATGGTCAGCCTTCAACACTCATCAAACCAACTCTGAAACTCTGCTAAACCACTTTATTTTCCATAGCAGGAGTCACCTGACACATGAAAAAACAAAGTCACTGTGGGAAGAACGCAAAGGTAATACATCATGTAGTTTGTAGTGATAAAGATGCATGTCCAATGTCCAAGTTGTTTTTGTATTCAACAGGGTGCCATGGTTTTGATCTTGATCCACACCTGTGCCAATATTGCAACATTTGGGATCGGCTCTTATTATCGATATACCAACCGCAAAATCGTATGGATTGTTAAATTTTGTTAAATTCTTGGCAATTTGACAGAACAAACTTTTGACGTACATTGGTACCTTCTTCTTTTGTTTTATCCATATTTGTGTGAGTCACGATCAACATGGTTGAAGACCATTGTAGCATTACAGAAGCACTTTTGTCAGAGATGTACACGAAACACTGTAAAGCGCTTGGGTTTCATGCAAACGCGATAATTGCACAAAGCACTAGAAACCGATATGGCCCCCCCAAAAGCGATAACCATGATGATAGATGTCAAGGACTTTGACGGGATCTCATTACGGGTGTCTTCACTCCCGTGACCCTTCAGGAGTGCATCAGGGTTGTGGACCTGGAAGTGTTTATGTTCGACAGCTGCAGTGGTCCGAAGGGGAGTCCCTGGGTCGGGATTGTGGCAGGATGAAGCCATCCTGAACTCCTGAAATTCCACGTCGGCCATTTTTGTTGGTGGCCCTTCTGCCAGAGGGTAGTTCCAAAGGACATACAACAAAAAAAAACTTTAACAGCACGTTTACGACCCAAAGGTAGTTGGCTTGGAATCCATGCAGAATCCATTCATTTTTGGTTTAACTTGGTTTGGCAAGCCCGGTAAGTCTCCAATTTGTTCCCAGCCCCTGCGAAATCCCTTAACCAAGGCGCCGGACCTTTCAGGGACACATAGATTGCACTTTCGAGGCCGGGTCAGGTTGCAGCGGTTCACCTGTGCCCATCATGTTCCATCCATATATTTTTTTTGCATGTTGGTGTTTTAGTGTTTTATTTATACTTTATGTCCGCTCGTTTTTGTTTTTAGTGATCCACAATTTGACCTTTTTGTTTTTTGGAGCATCCCCATTGTTGGCCACCATCCCTACAACCCGGACCCTTCGCAATTGGATGCGCTAATGGTAGTGAGCTGTGATTTGCTCATTCCGCTGCATAAATTATGTGATGTGGGGTTACGGGGTTTGTTTGGAAATCGGTGCCTGAGAATCTAGTGAATCGGTTAAGCATCGATTCCGTACAAGGATTGCTCTTTGAGGGCCCCATTTTCACACCCAGCATGCTGTGAATATGTTCCCGGTTGATCGGTCACCCATGGTCGACCAACTTCCCTGATTTGCGTTGCCAGGAGTTCAAGGGCAGGAAATTCGAGATGCTTTGGATGCAATCATTGTGAGACAACAGGGAAACCACCTAGAGATGTGCACTTTAAATCACTTTAATGCAGGTTCAGTTTGTTGCCAGAAAATGGGGATATGTTGGCCTAACCACAGCCAATTGGCCACGACCAGGGTGCAAAAATCTGAGCCGGTGCTCAAGCCTTGGGTGCTTTGTGCCAGCAGCTGCTAGCTTTTGCCAGCACAATGATGTAATGTCTGTGAATTGTAGTGATTTAGCGGGTGCTTTCGAACACTTCAACGACTTAAGTCGCCCCCACTCAAGCGTCGGATTGCAGATGAGTATGTTTAAGAATTGGGCATGAAAACTGATTGTTTGTTTTGAATATATATATATATATATATAATTATATGTAATATATATATATATATGTAATATATATAATATATATATATATATATATTACATATGATTATATATATATAATTCTTTCTATTATATATATATTATTTCCCTACTGCAACTGTATTTTTTTGGGGGTGCACCCATCTTTAGACACTCCAGCATCCGGAAACCAGCTATGCTGGAGGGGTTATAGATTTCTTGCTGGTGCCATATTTGCGCTGATGATCCTGCTAAGCGGCCGGTATTCCCAAGTTATGAGTCATGTGAATGAACATTTTTCACCACACTTGTTGGCTGTATCATATCAGTTATATTAGTCATATATGATAGTGTGGCATGTGGGTAGAATGATTGAGATACCATGTGCGTATATGATATATGCACATGAGTTCTCAATCATTCTACCCACATGCCACACTATTATTTTTATGTGCCTTAGCTTGCATCAAGACCCCCAATGTTGGTGTTGGTTCACATGCTGTTCCCAGTTGTTGCTGACAGGAATATTTAGAGGAAACTCATCTATGTGAGGGAGAATGACGGATGACGTCTTGCAGATTTACCTTTAAACATCTTTAAAAAAACATCCATTCAACGTTGTGTCTGTTGTTATACCGGCCCGTTTTGTATGACTTGGACGACTTGCACCCGCCCATCTTTTTCTCAGATCCAGGAAATCCTTTTATGCTTCGACTTCCATGGCCTTTTGTGACGCTGCTACCTGGCAGAATGGGGCAGAGATTACATGATATTACCATAAGTTAATGCGTGTGATTATCGGTATGGACGATGTGGGAGGGTAAGTGAAGGTTGATATACCTTAACCATCCTTAAGCATCCTTAAACATCCTTAATCAAGCCATTTAGTCCCCAAGTGTGAAGATCGTTGCCTCGTCGAAGCTGCCTGGCCAGTTGGAAGTTTGCGGCATTGGCCAAAGCCAAGAGGACGTGACCAACGTTGATGTGGAGCGCTCTGAGCGCCGATGTCCTGGTTGTAACATGGTCATGGACTAGGTCACTAGGTGTGGTGTGTTGCTGATCGTTTGGAGATTGGGTGGCCTTTATATTTCCATGGGATGGGGAAGTCACCAAACTTCTACTTCAAGATGACTTGATAGTGGAATCAAAGCAAATTTGCATAGGAAAAGCATCTAGAACCTGTGGATGATGTGATCAAGGCGTTGTAGTGAGTTTCCATCCATGGGATGGCCAGTCATCAATCAATCCATGGATAGGATTTTTGCATAGCCATTCTATTGTAAGAAAAAACATATGCTATGGATGACAACTCAACAAACCATCATCTACCATCTACCATCATCTATCTCCAGTCCACTATTGATTTCCGAAAAATGGGGTTCTCATCAATAGGATGACGAGAAATATCCCTATTGATATTGTGCACGTGTGAGTTCCCCCATCTACCATTATCTATCCCCAGGATGTGTCCAGCCTCTTCTGTTCCGAGTTCGTAGCGGAGGTCTTGCAGCGAGGAGCGACGCATTTCTTCTGGGTTTGCTTCAGGGTGATTTTGTATTTTTACCAAGATGAACTCCAGAAACTTTGGGAATCTCTTGGAGATATATAGGTTCTTAGATATGTTGCTGTGCTTTGCTGTTGTTTGGTTTTTTTCTTTTAAGGCTGCTAAGAATCCAGTGTTGCGATATCCCTTTCTGGTCTCTGATCTTGCTTTTCTTGCATCCCGAACTCAAATAAAAATAAAATAAGATGTCAAATTCCCAACATCTCCGTTTCAACGGGGATTGAAATTTCCAAGCCATTCATATCCCATGAATCCCGCAGATTTGATGTTTAGACCACTCTGTTTCACCATTTCCAACTATTAACTCCCAGGTCTTCCTCGACGAAGTTCAATTTTGTTGTTAGTAATGACAAGGTAAATCCATTTTCTTTGGAAGCATCCTTGTTTTGCAGGGTTTATGATTACTGTGCTGGTGGCTCTGAACCTTCATGGCTCTTCAAATACCCAAAGCGTGAAAAGTCCTGAAAAGCCCGTGAAATCACCCTGCAAAGCCTGTGAGAAGACTGTGAAAAGCCAGTGAAAACCAATGAATAATTTTACTGTCAATCTGTCACTTACTTGTGCTGAACTTGACTGGAATGTGCTACTTGCCGGTAAAATCCTAAAAATACAACGGGTCAAATACCGGTTTTCAGTGAAAACATGGTTTTATTCAAATGACAACACAGTTAAACTTCGTCTTTGGACGGACGGGGTATCTCAAAGAACCCAATGAAAAGGCTGTGGTCGCAACCCCAGGAGGGGTCCTGCCCAAGACCAGGGCCTCTTCAGAGAGATTTGGCCGCAGATTTTAGAGGCTGCAAACCCACAGACAAATGAGAGAATTGGGTTTTTGGAACATTATGAATTGCTGGAATTGTTGCAATGTTTGGGTTTCCAGATCAAATTTTCGTGGAAATTATCCGGAAAGGAATGTTGGCAAAGCATTATTGCAGCGCCTAGGTGTCAATGTCAAATCAAGCATGGCAGTGTGACTAAGACTTAACTTTGAATTCAAATTTCTGACACTAGGTTCTAGTTGCCCCGCTACGACTTTTTTTGTTGCAAAGATAGTTTGCCAGAGATGTTTCTGCCGCAACCCCAGGTTCGTACCCATGGATTTCTGGAGCAGCGATGGGCAGCATGTGGAACAGACCAGCTTGCTTGGCGGAGTAGCTCTTGCTCCAGCACGTCTGATTCAGACTGTCACCTTGTGAAAGCAGCTCTATATAGATGATTGATAATTGATTTAGATGATTGTTCTTGCAGCGTATGAAGCATCATTCAACCAATTTCACACAGTTTGGGACACAGTGCTTCATCATCCTGGGCTGCTTACCGCAGCTGTTGATTCGATTTATCAAGCAGTTGCAATTGCAGGGCACGAGTCGCGCTGCCTGGCACCTCCACCAGTGAACTGATGTGAAACGCACAAAGTTTGCAAAAGGCTTAGGTCCCTGGAGACTGGTGATGAAGTTTTCCAGTCTGCCTGCGGTTGCCTAATCTGCATGGCTGTGTGTTGATGAAGGCATTGGATGCCGGATGGAAAAAGACAATGATCGTGTAATCGTGTTCCTCCGATTTGGCTGGTGGTCGCTGTGTTTTGGTAAGACAGCCCTCAGCGGACTAACCTGGTTCTTTTTGCTACTTTGGTGGCTCAAGCACCAACTAGCGCTGTCTGAAGTGCTCAGAGGTGGTTGATGTTTTAGCACATTCCACGCCACCAGCCCCACCTCTGGTTGCAATGCTTGAGATCCCAATTGGGTGTTGAGTGCCTCGGCCTATCGAGGTATTTCCATGTCCTGATAGTCTGGCGGCGTGCCATGGAATGAAGCGGAAACGTGCGACGGAGACATGGGAACGGCAGGCAAGAGGGGCAGGGACCAACCCCCCTCCATCGGGGTGGTTGGCTGATGTTGGCTGAATCCCTTGATTAAAGCATCATGTAGCATGTTCTAAGTAGGTTTGAGTTTAGGGCTACGCGGCTACCCATATTGGGCACCCTCCTTGTGGTCAAAACGCGTTCCTGGCTGGTGGTTACCTTACTATTCTACATGTGCCATCCCCGAACGTGATATGATTGTCTCATTTCATTTTTCAATATGTTTCATATGTTTGGGTCCAGGTTCTTAGGAGGCATCCAGTAGACGTTTACACAATGATGATTGCTTTAAGTCAGACCTGTTTCTTCTTGTTTCTTTTTAATGTAGTTGCGTCCGTGCCACACATAGTAGGAACGCATAAATTGAGAATATTGCCATATATTCCCATTCAGAATCTCAAAAGATGCAGGTCCAGACACTTCTCCGTGACACCTTAGACCCTGCACCTGGCGGCAGGGTCTCCGCGGCGTGCGCTATTTCGTGCTGGACGAAGCAGATCGGATGCTGGACATGGGCTTCATGCCGCAGGTCAGAGTGGCTGGGCAATTTGGCACCTCTAGGGGCACGTTGTGCGGCGTTTTCCATGGGGCCAAGGGTGGGAATAACTATCCATTAGCCAACCATTTTATATAGTGTACAGTGCCGTTTTGACTCATAGTCTGATCAATGGCGCATTTTTTTGGTTGAGGGATGATATCCATGTAATAGGGATTGATCTAGCCATGATGAGGATTCACATACTACCATCATTTAATCACGGCACACATACTTGAGCTGTAACCCCCGGAAGATAGAAATCAAATTAATTCCCATTAGTTTGCCAGTTTCAAGTTTCAACTTTCAAGTAGGATTGTTCTTTTTCATATTTTTTCATCCAAAAGGGGCCTGCCTTGGACTTTCCAGAGCTTTCCAAGGAGATCGTCGGCTTGATGCCGCCCAGGGAGTGGCGTCAGAATCTGCTCTTTTCGGCCACCTGGCCCTCAGCGGTTCATAGCCTCGCAGGCCCACGGGACGAAACCGGTGGGACGTTGGATGGGACGTGAAGGGAGCCGGAGCTGCTGATTACTGGTGGGTGATTGAATCATATAAATTCATATATATATATATTATATAACATATAAATCTGGATATTATATACTTATATATATATAAAATCATATAATATCATATATATATATAGATATATGTGTGTATAATATTATATAGTGAGTATATGTATCTCGGATATACGTGTATATATATATATAAATCACCTGGTTGGTGGTTTTAAACATTGTCATGTTTCAACCATAGAAGTGATCCCCAGGGGAGTTGGTTTCCCAGCAACCAGGAGGGATCCATTTCCTCCCAAAAAAAGAAAGGGGAAGCCAAGGAGCCACAGCAATATGTGATGCTTCATTGTTGGAAACCATTTCTTAGATGTCCAAGCGAAATCAAGTTATGACATTATTGGATATCTAAGAAGTGGACATCTAATATCTTACCATTTTGTTTCTTGTTTCTTACCATCGTAGACATCTTACACTCAGGTTATTGAGATTAGGTATGAAAACAATCCAGGATAGATGATGGGTGATGGGCCTGTTGGATGGCAAACTCGCCAGTGGAGAATCACCGAATCGCCAACCAACACAAGAAGAACCAGCAATAAGAGCGGGGGTACAAGTAACCGGGGTCCAGCCCATTGAAGGCACATGATAGCCTTCAGGGGGAAAATAGGATCTGTTATTTGAATTTAATTGATCTATATACAATTACCATCCGAACCAAGGACTACAAATTTGCAGTACTTTGATGAAAAGACAATCTTTTGAGCATGTTTCAATAAAAGGTTGTCTTTCTCCCCAAAGTTCATTTGTTCTTGCAAATTGCTGAAAACCCCTACTCTTCATGGTTTTGGAAGGGATCTTAAAAGATATACTTAGATAGTTTTGATATATATTTATCCTGATGCATTCTTATTTGCCACGCCATTTTGTATCTATTATGTGTCCTCATTTTTGAACAGTCCCATCCAGGATGCCCACAACATTACAGTACTGTATATATGGTGCCAAGAAACGAGGAAACAACCCCGGCGATTAGTCATTACAATTTTCATCGTGTTCATGGTGCCCAGATAGTTAGTTGTATTTTCTGGGACTTGTAGAAAAAAAATCGTAGTAATCCGTAGAAATCCCATAGAAACCCGTAGTGCAATTGGAAAAAGATCCGTTTTGGAAAAAGTGTGCCTTTTGCTAACCCGTAGAAAACCCGTATTTTAGCGGTGGAAGCCCGTAAAAATCCGTCCGAAACAATCGTTTTTGATGTCCTGGAATAATGTGCTCCCGTATGTTTCTTAAGCCTTCTGAGCATGTCTAATAGCTTCAAATTCGATGGTCTCAATTGATGAAACACTCCTGACGATGTCAAGGTAAAACAAAGAAGTGGATTGTATCCTGTCAAAGTTCCATAAATGTCTCTTCAGGATGTTCACAGCTTTTGGATGGTATGATGATAGAATTAACTATTTGGCACAGTCTTGGAAATAGCTGATTTCCAACAGTTCAACTTTTTTGGAGAAAAAACAACAGGTGTTTCCTAGGTGTATGCATGTTCAAGGGTTGTTGGATCCCATGATATATACAGTGTGTGTACATTATAAATCATAATAACAATAGTAATAATACTAATTATATATTTGTAGATATTGTATATATATATATATATTAGATATTGTATATATATATATATATTAGATATTGTATATATATATACTAGATATTGTATATATATATATCGTTTTATATATTATTACAATAATGTATTCTTATGTGTCAGAAGATTTCTACACATGTTATTGTCTAAACCTGAGATGACAGGCGAGATTTTGGGCAAGTCCGGCATCCCAGGCCTAAGATCTTTGGAGGTTTCCATCATGGGGGTACCCCAATAGCTGGATTGTTTTTTGATGAGAAAATCCTAGAAAATCCATGGTTTACAAGGGAAAATCCTAGAACATCCGTGGTTTACAAGGGAAAATCTTAGAAAATCCATCTATAATTGGATGATGATTTGGGGTTAGCCTCAGTTAGCCCCATGGATTGGAAATAATATGCCAGAATCATGTGAATGCAGCAGTTGTAGTCTTGGAGGTTTCCAAAGGGTTGCGTTTCAGTGCGCAAATATCCTCAGAACTCAGTTTTAGGTTGGAGCACTGACATGCTCTGCTGAGAGGGGGGGTGCGCTGTCAAGCTTTCATAGTGGGGGAGCTCGACAGTCATGATATGTCTTGAGCAGAATGAGAAGAGCTGTGCTGTGATGCGAAATCTGCGCAAGAGACGCAAGAGACGTTTCTATGGGACTTGATATCGGCCTTCCAGCCACAGCATGTCATGTCGCAGCATGTTGTAGCCAGCTGAGGACACCCGTTCGCATCCGCATTGCATCTTGGCGGCCGGAAAAAGGCATTGTATCATTTAGGTAGGATTCTTTGATATGTCAAGATGATAAGATGGAAAACCAGGTTTCTTCCAGATCTTTGTGACTTGCTGGCAGTTACCTGGTTTGTAGTGTTGACCATCTGTCTGTTTGGGTGTAATTCTGCACCCAGAGCTGCACGCAGATGGGTAGCTGGATAGTATCCATTTGAGACAGAAGCGACAGAAGCGTGTCATTGCTTGCAGGCATGTGACAGTATATGACAATTTAACAACCCCCAAAAAAGAATGAAACACATAGACATGTATGTAATAGGATTAATAGGTGTTGTTGAAATAGTGGAATTACATTTGCTATTGCTTGGTCTGTTTGGTAGTTACGTTGCTATCCTTACTTGGAGGAAGCTGCTGGGTTTTTCAGGATCAATCCGGAGACGATGAGCTCAGTGCCAACACGAGCGTGACGCAGATTGTGGAAATTCCACGTCCCTCGGCTGAAGCGCGTGCTCTCGAAACGGAAGAACAGTGGCAAAACAAAGGGCATCAAAAGGCACACATGACATATATATATATATTTATGTATTTATTAATGTTTATTTAATTATGTTTATTTATTATTTAATTATTTATTTATTATTTATTTATTATTTATTTATTATTTATTTATTAGTTATTTATTATTTATTTATTCTTTATTTATTTATTATTTATTTATTATTTATTTATTATTTATTTATTATTTATTTATTATTTATTTATTATTTATTTGTTATTGATTTATTATTTATTTATTTTATTTATATACAGTGCATTGACGCATGCATTTATTTATTTACTGTACTAATTATTCAGTTCGTTATATGTCAGGGAGGGTGTGCATTTGCATATGATCATCCAGTGTTCCGTTCATATTAAACACACCCAAGAAATAAATCATGTTTTAATATATGGTTGCATAGGGGGTTGAATGGATTTTTTTGGAATCATGGAATGGGGGTGTTTCATATTACGGGGGATGATATATTTAATGCACATTATGCCTATATTTGTCCTTGTGGCTTCCGAGGTGAGAAGAAGAAGCCCGCACGTCTCCTGGAGATTTTGAAGGAGCACGGGGAGAAGAAGACCCTGATTTTCGTCAACACCAAGAAAGGCGCGCCACGCGAATGTCAGACTTTGTCTTCAGCTTCTGAAGACACCCCGAAAGAAAGCGTATTAACATGGAGCCCAAAAAGGATCCAAAATAAAGATGGTATGCAACCTCCACTAGACGTATAGAAAATCAATTGCCATAGGAGGTCGCTATAGGCCATTTGCCATGCTTGCCAGGAGCTGCATCTCTAGCGGATGAGCTGCGCAGAGCCGGTGTGGTTTTTTGGACCAAGGTTGGGGAGTGGTCGTACGAGGTGGTGCCCAGTGAAAAGTTAGTTGGCCCATTCATGAATCATCACTCCTATAGTTATTTCATGGTATTTCATGTTCTTTTGTAGTTTCTGTATATATATATATATAGTTTTTCTGGATGCCCAAGTTGCAAAGTAGCCCCTGTCTGGCAGTGTACATAGCTGAAGCTTTGATGGGCAACCTTATCGCCTGACACTTTACGATGGTCTCAACTTTCTCAACCCAGCAATTCGTCAGTTGGATTGTCCATCCCAAAGTATGTCAAATTTTGGTCTTATGAACTAGCGGGGCAACCTTGTGACAATGGAATAAAAAACAATTTAGTGTTGTTCCGTTGCCCTGCATCCACTATATATATATTATTATTATTATTATTATATTTATATTTACATTTATATTTATATACGCGCTTTAACCATGCTAATGAAATGACAGTATCGCAGTATGGCTATTGAATCACGCGCTGCTGACAATCGCTCCTGAATGCATGATCAAGCACAGAATTCGGATTGGTGGCTTCAACCCCGCGCAATGATGAAAAAGTCAATTGGAAATCTTCCCTTTTCTGGGTGGGATTCATGATCTAGATCAAGGGGGGTGGGAAAAAATATGCATATCGTCAACAAAGGAAATTTAAATTGTGGTGATGTCCAGTATGGCAGTATGGATGTTTTTTGGGGATAGGTTCCACATTGAATTTCATGAACAGAAGCTTACAAGATCTTACAAGCCCCAAACTGTCGTGATCATTAGCGTTTCTTCCTCCTTGGGCAACCCAGCACCATGGAGATGGCAAGGTTCCTTGTGGCGAGATTCACGGCAACCTTACGCAGCAGGAGAGACAAAAAGCACTAGAAGACCCCCGGCAGAGATGGCAAAGTTTTCAGCTGGCTGATTCACTGTCCAATATTTCAATAAATCACCATTATTAACCACTATTAACCATTAATCACTATTCATAATCACTATTAATCACTATATATCACTATATCATTTCAATATTATCAATACATCCGTTTCCTCTTGGAAAAGAAAGAGCTTCGACACATTTCGCCTTTCCGCACTGGCTCCATGAAGAGCTTTATGCGCGCTGAGCAACTTGAGCTGTGGGGTAATCCTTGGAAACCCCGGCAAAAATGCACTGCTTGGCGGACGACTTGCGTAGTGATTTCAAATGGAACCCCTCGGCCAGTTCAGTGTTCCGGCCACTGCCTGGATCAAATGGGGATGGCTTAAAGTTTTCAGAGGACAGAAACCTGTTAGTTTACCATAAGATGCCCCAGGTTCAATTTAGTTACTGAAATTCCATTTGTGTTTTGACATTGTTTCATAAGATCATGTAAAATTTGCCGTTTTTTCTTGAACACAACAGTTTTTTTGAGTGGCCACAGATGGCTCCATCGGACGAGGATTTCACCAAGGGCTCCAGCAAGACACTGGTGGCCACAGATGTGGCCGCCAGGGGTTTGGACGTGGAAGATATCACACTGGTGGTGTGCTGCTTGGTAACCTTTCGGGTGGCACTTCAGGAGATTTTTTTTGGGCACCGGTTCTCAAATGCTAAAATCTGGTTGGTGGTGGAACCATGGAATCTTATGACTTTCCATATATTGGGAATGGAATAATGACACTGACGAACTCCATCATTTTTCAGAGGGGTAGGTATACCACCAACCAGTTATCCCTTGCATTACTCCTTCCTGCCAGGCTTTTTTTTCCATGGGAATTCTATAGGGGGAAGCATGTGGGAATGTGGAATGGGGGGTCGCATCATTGGAGACCGCTGGCAAGTCCATTTGCTTTGGGGTGTCTTCGATTGGCGGTCGAGCATTGCATCGACCCTGGACCAAGAATTGGAAGCCAGCAGTTCCAGACAATTTGGATGCCAAGTTGCCTTTTGGTTCATGATTTCATGTGTGCATTTTCATCCTATCTTCTTGCAGACCCTATACTATATATATATATATATTTGACATATCTTTCATGTGTGGCCCATCCGTTCCCATATATGCAGAAGGTCAAGCCTTGCATTGTTCCTCCAGGTCCGCTAGTTCCCAGATGGTGGTGGCCTCCCAGAAAGTTTCCAAGATTTACATCCATTGACCCCAAAAAATGACCCCATGGTCAGTAAGCATACGAAATAACATATTGGAAGCAGCCTGACTAGGGTCAGCCCTTAGGTTATGATTTCCCTGACTCCATGGCCGGACTTTTGGCAGCAATTCCGTGAGCTTTTCACTGTTTCCACGTGCAGTACACCTTGTGAATCGAATTGTCATGTGCACACCAACACTTGCCTTTAGAAGAATGTGTGTACTGTATATATATTATATATATATATATGTATACATGTGTGTGTTTTTCCCTGATGTGGTGTGGAATGTTGCGAACACACGGCATCCCAGATAGTCCCTGAATATCCATCAGCGATTGTCCGACTGAGTAGCTTATGTGGGGAGTCGGATATTTGATATTTACCCAATTTGCCAATTATCTTGTGCATTCTGGAAAGTCATACCCAAGAAAAGGTGTTTCTTCTTCATAGGATGTGCCACATGATCCACATGGGTTCGTCTGAAAGTACGCTGACTCCCAAGTTGATTCTTTCTCAACATTTTCCGCATCAACGTCCCAACATTTGGAGGTATACCATTGTCAGACACATCCAAATATCCATATCATCACTATCCATGCATTTAATCCTTATATTCATTGTTAAACATACGATAATTTTGCAGGTCCCCATGATAGTTCCAAAGTCCGTCAGGCGGCATGGAAGACTACGTGCACCGCATTGGTCGCACGGGACGCGCTGGACGTCAAGGGCTCGCAGCGCCCTGGCTTGGTTCACCAAGCGAATTCCCTCGTTCATGGTATGTATATATATATATATATATCTCCCTCTCTCAACAGTATATCAATAGTTTTCCTGGGCTTCAAAATCCAACTTATCTAATTATAATTGTTGATATGGTTTATACAGGGCATTCTATATATGGGGTTATACTCAGAGATTTGTTGGGGATTGCTGTAGCCGAGAACTGGGATAATCTATTTTCCAATCAGCATAGTGAGATGGGATTAACAGAGGAAATTTGCCCACATCTACCATGCATGTTGGCTTTATCTATACCCAAATAGGGATTAAACCACACATGGTGACTTCATCCATAATATTCATACAACTTGGGATGTACCCATCATCCATGATGATGTAAAGGAAATTGGCAATACGCCAAGTATAAAATGAGGATACCATGGGGAAAATAGAAGGAGCATACAGTAGCGGAATGCATAATCAAAATGACCTGATATAGGAAGTGCCATATCTACTGTAGATATAGAACATTATAGAACATGTTATGTTTGCTACAAAGCCAAACATGTCTTTGTGACATTATATGATGAAGTGGTTATGTAATTAATAATGAAACATATCATATGATTCCAAAAACATTATTTTTGGCGATGCCTGAGACAGTGGTCATACAGGGTATTCCCCCGTGTGATTACTTAAATTCGGAAAAGGATGATAAACCACGGGATTTGGGTGTGTATAGCCGATTTTCAAACAGAAAGTCACGTACTGTTGGGGAAAATCTAAGCTATGAAGCTATGAATAGCCAATCTTGCATTTGGATCCATAGAGTAGAACATGAGATTCTTCCAGTACCCGGAACCCCGGGAATGTCCTGTCGCCATATTTGGGTAACCAAGAAAAAATGGTGCATCTTCCAGTTTTCCAGATCACTAATCAAAGCGGAATAATTCATTGGGCACCAAAATGAAGATATAACTTATAACTAACAAATACAGTACAACTCACCATAACCTCACCACATTTGAAAACTATTGGGGATACACACACACATATAATATATATTATGAACCAAAATGCCAAAATGGTGGGTGCAACCCATGCTGCTTGGTGATTTCATGGCATGGCCAACCAGGATGGAACCGATTGATTGGAGGTACCATTTTTTGAGGCCTATGTAAGTGAATATCCCAGCAAAATATATCCCAGCAAAATATATCCCAGCAAAATATGGCCAGAAATATGGTACAGTAGCTCCATTTTAGGATCCTGAAATTCCCAACTGATGTTTCCATGTATTTCCTGGGCAAAACTCGTTATTGTATGTTTCGCCCAGACATCTCCTGGACGCCGCTTTCAAACTTCGGAGATTCGGGCCTCGGGTGACACAAGTGGGCCTTTGTGCCTTCCCCCTGCTAGGTCACTTTCTTCCCAGCACCAGAGGACGTGTCTGGCACGCGCTCTGCAGGTGACTGGAACCTTGCACAGCTGACAGATCCTCATGTTTTCGTGGTAGTTCGATGGGTCATGGCTTCCAGTTCGCAACTTATTGACTTCCAATGATAAATTATAAATATACTGTAAATATCATAAATGGTCAATTTTCCAGTTCGCGAACGGTGAACTTTACCACAACCTACCATGACTTACGGCACCCGCCGTAGGCAACGCGCACGAGTTCATTCAGCTCTTGCGCTCGGCAAAGCAACGGGTGCCGGAGGAGCTGGCAGCGTTGCCGAGCGGAAAACCATGAAAACCATATGGATTTAACCATCAAAGATGAGGATTTAAGCATAAACCATGGGGAAAGAATAAGAACAAAACCAAATATACAATCATGATCTGGGTATTTTTTTAATTTGTCTTGGAAAATCAACGAGCATCTCCACTTAAAAAGCGATACATCATAGCACTAAATGAGTCATGTTTCATAGAAAGCTGTTAGACGAAAAAAAGGCAGGGGTCTTGTTTGGTGAAGGGAAGATGGTAATGGTGGATGGGATGAATAGGATAAACTCATCTATTTTTTGGTGCCCACCTAAGAGGTTTGTGAGACGAAAAATGGCTTGGGACACTCCATTCGTAGCTCCTTGATCGGCCCATGGGCCCATTGATTTCCACAAAGATGATTGGATTTTTGTTACATCAAGATCATTCAAGTATCATTCAAGTATCAATGGCCATCTCAGGATATTTCAGGTACCCTCCGGTAATTGAACATAGCTATTGAAAATGGCCCATAGAAATAGTTGATTTACCTATTAAAAATAGTGGTTTTCCATAGCTTTTTGTATGTTTACCAGAGGGTAAACTGGAGCAATCTGGTTTCCCTTCCGTGACCTCGGCCACCTCGCCAGATCAAGGTTGGACACTGGACCTGTGACCTCCAGTGTGGCGGCGCGCAAGGGCAAGAGCCAGTGCCGTGCCGCAGTTGGGTGGGCTTGGAAGGCCCATAGATGATATGTCTGCCATTAAGCCTAGCTTTTTTTTAAAACATATATACAGTATAATATATATATAATATGAAAAAGAGAAACAACTACAGAAGCAATACGAAGGAACACTTAGTTCAGGAACTAGGACACCACTTTCTAACTGACAGGGGCCACTCTTGAGCTTTCTTTTGGATGATTACCTCCGAAAGGATGAGATTTTACGGGCCAAAATACTTGCATAAGCTGTAAACATAAGGGTCACTTACAGTTTTTTCAATAATGAGGTGGTAATACATTGGGTCATGATTTGCATGTTTCATTTTACTGGGATACCAACCAATTCGATGGGTTGAAAAAGGGGAGTTAGAACTGGGAGCAAGGCCTGTCTTGCGTGAAAGGATAGGCGAATGGCTGAAATGGATCAAGCTTGAGCCAGTGCTAGCCAAAATTGGTGAATACAACATATATACATATTTATATATATATGTGTGTGTGTGTTATATTCTATATGCTAATAAATATATGGGGAATAATTGGTGAATAACTGGTGAATATTATAAGAGATATAATATGATGTGACATGATATAGGATAACATGACACAACATCATCTTTAGTCTCACAAGGTATAAAATGCAGTACTTGCAATATGACATATAAACCAATATGATACACAAAAAATAGACTAAATGAATATACGTACATTTGACGGAACAGCATTCTTATTCACAGATAACATGAAATATTGTCAGGCTGAGAATATGTTAAGATGAAGAAAGGGTTCTTTTGCGAGATTTGGGCCATTTCGGGACATGAGGCGGTTTAGCTAAATAGCTCGTGGTAGACGCGGTTGGAGCATGTGTGACCTATATAGTTTTTGTATGCGCAAAACTAGCTTCCAGAATAAAGTCTGTAAACTGAAAGAAGGTAAGCCACTAAACCATTGTTATCCCATTATATAACCAACACCAAGAGTCCTAGTGGACCAAAAAAAATTGCTATTTGTTTGGATCTGGTTTCTTGCCACTTCAATCACGCAAAACCGCGAGCACGGTTGTTTGGTTCGATCTGAGCGATGTTGGCGAACTGGAACTGGTTTCACATGTTTCATTCGCAGAGATTACGCATTGAACTTCAATAGCTGATTAACGGATAGTTGAAGTAATTACATTACTACACAGTTAATTATATATTAGCTGTAGCAATTATTAAGATAGACCCTGGTTACACGGATGTTGTAAAGTCATCCTCCAGGGTTGACCCCTGCTGACCCCTTTCCTGAAGCGCTCAGGAAAGGTGACGCGCTGCTCCGGGGGTTGATAAAGTCTCCTGGATTCTCTGAGTTTTCTCTGATAAAAAAGCTTGGGCTCATGCCAAAAACATGAATTTAAAGGATGAATTTCTGTTTGACGTTTGTTTTTATGATTTTTTTTTTGGGGGGGGGTTTGCTGTCAAAGCTCGGGGGTGTATGTCATTGACCTTGCCAATGCTGGTACCCAGCTTGCAGAACACCGCAGCTCACCAACCAGATATGGGTGGGTCTGAAAGATGTGTACCTTACCCCCCCAAAAAATGAATGTTTGTTTTTTTTTTATAGAGATGATATCCTGATTCATGATCTGATTAACCATCAAATTCGGATGTGCCCGTTTTTGGGGCTGTGAAAATTAACATGCAATGTCTGAGGAATTGTCCTAGTCACTTCGAGCTGGCCCGTCAATTTATTGATTTTATTAAAAAAAACATGTTGCAGGAACCTGATGAATCAGTAAAACATGTTGCAGGAACCTGCTTTTATTATATCAATAGATTTTATCAACTTTTGTAAAAAGCATCCTACTGTAAAAGCACCATGATTTCACCAATCCATTGAAACCTGAAACATCCCAGCTCCAGCCCATGTTTGCCAAGATGCAGGTGGAAAAGGTGGGAAAGGAAAAGGGAAGGATAGTGGAAAGGCTGGTAGTGAGAAGGCTACTGTCGCAGGATCCTTGCCTCTGTGGCTCAGAAATGATTTGAGAATGTGTGATGCTTAGATGTTGCTAGAACTTAACCAAGCTGTTAGTGACCGGGATGTATCCCAATACATCCCAGTTAAAAGGAGCTAGATGTTTTACATCTTTTACAGTAGCCCACTTACTAGCCACCTAATGAATTCTTGCAACATCTGAGTAGTAGCTGTCAGGATGATTATTTGTGAGACTGGTGTGAACATGTGAACAGATGGTTTGGAACTATTTCTGTTAAGGTAAACAATGGTAAACTGTAAACGATTCTTCGATTCTTCCTTCCTTGCCGGTGCGGGATTTGACATCGCAATGGCTCCTTATTTGATAAACAGAACGATGGGTCAGACGATCACAACGCTGGCCTGGCGGTGAGGAGCTTCTGGAATCAGCATGGAAGGAGGTGAGGTGCAGCCGTTCCTCACCTTCAAGGCGAGACAAACAAATTTCCAGTGCAATAAGGTGCCCGCAGTATGGCTGCCTTGGCAAAACACGTGTGAAAAGGTGCATGTTTGAAAGACGTACTGTAGATTTGAGATGATTTGAGTGATGAAGACTTTTAACCAATGAACCATAGTTCCTGAAGTTAGAGAAGCTGTTTCGGCTCGAACATAGTTGGAGTCTCACTCCCACCATTGGTTCCAAGTGTTGTCCTTCCAATGATTCCAATGATTCCGATGTTCATCCTTTCAGGAGGTGCCGATTCTAAAAGATCTGCGGAAGAAGTTGAGGATCAGCGGCTTTCAGACGCCCATGCCCATTCAGGTGGCTGCCAAGAGCTGTGGCGCAACAGGAAGTCTCAGAATCACCAGGGCATTTCGAGAATCAGTCCTTTCTGGTGAAGCAAGCAGTGATCAATAAAAATAAAGACCAGCAATATCTCAACCATCACCATACCAACACACAGTAGTTGCACACATGGTTTACCATTCATAAAGTAGGTCAAAACCATCACCATACCCTTCACGCCATCAGGCTTATGGCTGGCCTGTGATTCTGGGCGGTCACGATTGCATTGGCATTGCCAAGATGCTTGGATGCTATACAGTTTTAGTGGCCATGTATTTGCTGTTTACCCTTTGTCAAACTAGCATAACTATGGAAAATCACATTACTTTAATATGTAAATCAACTATCAATGACCATGTTCAATAGCTATGTTACTGGCAGCTTACCAGAGGCTATTTGGATGTCCCTTCAGAGCTGTGTCATGCGAAAAGTTCTGAGGACAGGAAGTGGGAAAACTTTGGCATTTTTGTGCCTCACCTGAAATACATGTGGTGTGGAAGCAATAATCATTCCGGTGTCCGAAACATTTTTCGGCTTCGCATCTAGTCTGGAAGTGGTCCAACATTAAATATATATATATATATACATATATATATATATATATTGATACTTCTCCATTTGCTCAGGGACCCATGGGCAGTGAAAAATGGAGTTTGAAGCCAGGCATGAGGATGGCTATATTGGTGTGATACTATAGTGGTGCTAGCTGCTAGCTGCTGCTAGCTGGTTTGATGGGAGGGTTCTCTCATTTTCTCTCAATCCATCGTGGAAATCTTCACTGTAACTAGATATGTGACTAGTAACAATCAATCAATTTGTGTTGTCTTGGTGCCAGTCTCCAGTGGCTCTGAATCCTGGTCATGTGGTTTTGTCATGGTTTGTCTGAAAATAGGATACCCCAAAATCCACTGGTTAATCATAATTTTGCCTATGTCAAATAGCCGTTATTGGCGGTATATCCTATTTTCAGACTGACCCGTATACGCCGTGCCGCCGTGCGTCTTGTTTTGAGGCTACCTGCGATGCACAAAATTCATCACTGGCTAGAGGTTGCCAGCTTGGGTGGCCAGTTGTTGAAGTAATACCTTTGGTTTTTGGGAGCCCTTGTGCCTTCGAAGCTATGACATTGACTTGTGGACCTCTCCAAGGGTTATATCATGTTATATCCTGGGGCCATCCCAATCCAGCAAACGAGGCGCAAATGTGATGCCCTTCTTTGGCACCAGCAATGTTTATGTTTGTTTCCGAAGTCATGGGGGTCCTCAAATGATCCAAAATGAGACCATTATAGTATTGAAACCTATGGTTTTGGTGATCCCCCATTTTAAGAAACCACCATATATGGTTCCGAATGGTTGATATCGTAGAATTGAATGACCGACCAAATTCGTGGCACTTTGGCAATTTCTAAGTCGCAGTGATGCCCTTTGCTCCCACTCATCGCTGGGTTATCTCACCACATTTAATATATGTTTAAATGCCATTGTTCAGGCGGTTCACGCTATGCATTTATAGCCACATTTCGACATAACTAGTAGGCTCTGCTTTGGATGAGGGGAAAAAATACAGAGAAGCAGCAGCTGTGGGGTTTCAAAAACTTGATTTCCTCCAGATTTCCATTGAAATCAATCGAGCGGACCGCCAACACCATGCTGGTACCTACAGCTACAGGAGGCCAACGATGAGGGAGCGGCTGGAGCAGGCGCTTTGGCGTTGGTGGTCACTTGCTTGACGGCAACACTTCTGGGGAATGGGTTGTACCTGGGGCCTTGGTGTTTTGATATGTTGTGCTATATGTGTTTAAACGGGGCCCAGATGGGAAAATATAACGCTGAACTGTTGGGCAACCTTTCTAAGATCAGCAATGCTTATTTTCCGCTATAATCACTATAATCCCTTTTGTTATTTCCCTATTGGTTCATGCACTACTTCGTGAATTCTCTGGAAACTTGCTGGTGTAACGGCTGGGATTCCCAAGAGCATATCCCTTGATCTTCAGGGCAAAATCTTGAGCCCTGAAGCTCAAAAGATCAGCACAAGCTTTGGCCTAATTACACTGTTTTGGAACGTGCTTCGAGGCGGTACCCCCCAAATTCCATGATATGTAGTTTAATATTCCCCATTTCCCATATATTATATATATATAAATATATATATATATATTATATCTATATATATATATAATATCTATATATATATATAGATAATATCTATATATATATATGTCTATATATATATATATATTATCGAATCGCGCCTTCGCCAAGCACAGCACCTTGTTGGTCCTCAGGTTGTTCCCACTCGAGAGTTAGCAGCTCAAATCCATCGAGAAGCTGAGCGCTTCGCGCCATCCAGTCAGCGAGCGGCTTGGTTTTCGGTGTCGCTGGGAGGTCCCGGCGCTCAACCAGGCGGCTTTTAAGGGGAACATATATGGGAAACAATTGGGAACAAAAACATGGGAACATATGGAACATATGGGGAAGTAGGGGGAAATCATGCAAATAGCTGGAGGAAGTTTTCGACGGACCATGTTTAATACTGTTTAACTACCGAGATCCAAAGGATTACATGGCTTAACCCAACCATTTCATGGGAGAGCTCACCACAATGTCACTGTAAATTTCATGATTTTTCACCAAAAACAGAATTGTTATTTCAGGTTTGTCGGCGACTACAATTTGCTCAGAAAATTTCTGGTGTGTGTGTGTGTGGTCCATTCTTTTCATGGCCCCAATGTAGGTAAGTATACCATACACACCCATACAATATATATATATATAAATAAATAAATATATATATATATATGTATACACAATAGACGGAGGACAAGGGCAGTGTTCGTTTTCCAGGAATCCCCGTTGCCAGAAATTCTGGTTTCCTCGAACCACGTTGCCGAAGCTCAGGCTTGCTGTGTCTATGGTGGTACTCCTTGGGAGTCTCAAGCTGCTGCTTTGGAGGTGGAGATTGGGATCCGTTATGGTCGCATTTCACCAGTAGTGATCATCAAAATCCATGGATTTAACGGGCTCAATCCTGTTTTGAAATATTTCGAAATCACATACAGTATCCATTAGTCATCCTGGTTTTCTTCTGGATGCCGTAAGTTATCGTACTTCACTAAAGATGACGTAATGCCAATGTGGCTGTTACCCCTTAAAACCCTCACAGTGACGACATCGACGTCGAGGGAGGTTGGGCCCTGAGAAATGATCCCAAAGGACTGAGTTGTAGGGATAAGGTGGGTATGGGTGGCAAAAAAATGACACGTGATATATCTTGATAGTTGGTAAGTTTCACCAGGTTGAAAACCCTTATATATAACTTGATATAACTTATCACTCCCAGAATTGACTTTGGATATTTTTTGGGCAAATCCTCTGAGAAGCCCTGGCAACAAAAAATGGTAAACCAACCGAGATGTACTCGTTGTTCAACAGCGTTGCTATCCTGGCGACATGTCCAACGAGAGGCTGGGGTGGAACTCTTGGTGGCCACGCCTGGGAGGTGCCTTGATTATCATCCTGGAGTAGAATCTATGCGATTCTGATGGTTTCTCAGAGATATTGCATGATATTGCCATTTTAGTGAGGATGTGTTGACATTTCCTCCATTGTATCTACTCCGCCACGATGATATATTATATATTATATATACTATATATATATATATAATTTGTTAATTAATTATGTGTATACAACTATATGCATTTTTTGCTTCTGACTATGGTTGCAATTTCAGCCTATTTGGTGATTAGGAGGGAGCGGGTCGGAGCTATGCATATCCACATTCCCTATTGAATGGGAAGCCGAAGAGCTACGAATTGAGCTTCCGATCTAGCCTCCATCAACTGACAGTGGGCAATGCTGGGAGGAAAAGAACGGAAACCCCTACTAGATTGAGATGATACTTTTGGTCACGAAAAAGCGAGGGTAAAGGCCATGTCCATGTGTTTTTCACAGTAGCAAACTCATTCCAAACTGGTTTTTTTTTTTCTGGATTTATCATAACCATTGATTCCATTGATCTCAGATAGGTGCCCAAAAAAGAAGCTGCGGCTGATTCGAGGTATAGGATGGTACGATGGTACAGATCATGGGGATTTGACCTTTGCAGCAGAGGTGAGGTTTTGATGATTTTCCCACTACCCTCTGGTAATTTAACATAGCTATTGAAAATGACCATTTATAGTGGATTTTCCCATGAAAAATGGTGAAATTCCATAGTTATGTTAGTTTACCAGAAGGTATTATCTCTTGGTAAGTAGATACGCATTTGCAAATCTTCAGAAGTGTTTAAGTTGTAAGTTATTCAGGGTTGAGGCTTCTTCTCCCTTGAAAAATGGTGAACCGCTATACCTAATCCATCAACAAGTCTGTTGTTTCACACACCAAATGGGAAGTAATCCCTCCCTAGTTATCAAGCACTATCATACACAATCCGAAAAAAGTCTGCTTAACTATTGTTTGCTTTTTCATTTTGATCCCATGTGTGGTATTCTATTTCACTATATTTCACTGGTGAAAAAAATCTGCGGGGATTCACTGTGGGCTTGTGGTGAATGGCCTGACCAATATCAAAGGCTGGCCTTCCTCATGGCTCGTGGGGGCGAAGCAGCCGCAAACACGGTGCGGGGATAGTGAGTAATCAGATGATCGGGTGCCAACGGGAAAAAACAGGACGATAAATGCATACTAGTATACACACAAATTATATATACATTTAAAAATAGAGAGAGAGAGAGAGAACAAGATTACACACCGTATGAACCATCAGTAGTGCTTTTGTTTACTTTGAAGAGATTAGTTTTTATTATATATTGAATATCCTTATCAAAGAATACAGATAGCATAGGGGTCAGTGTAGTACCATCATACCTCAGGTGTGCCATTTGGGGTTGCCAAAGCATGGACATCAAAGAACCTGGCATTGTCCGCGGCCGGTTTGGCACGCGTCAATTATATACATGAAAATGATTTGAACAATGATTAAACTAAACTAGTTAGTATACAAGGTGTTTTTGTGTTTATTGGTGTTCTGGCTTTATTTTTTTTTGTCCCATGCCCAATATGTGCAAGTGCCCACCCATGACCTCATCAATCAAGCAGCAGCAAAAATCAACAGCCATTTCAGGTACCTCCTATTAAGATTAAGTTAGTCCACCACATGAGAGTATTAGGGGTAGGGTTTTCCCACAAATCAGCTTTAGAAAGGCCATATAATGTTTGAGGTGCCTCTAATTCGGGTACCTTTTGGCGGGAACAATCACATACATCCCTGTACAGAAAGGTTTTTCTTTTGCAATCATAGAACATGATCATATTTTGTTATTGTTTTACAACACATGCTAAATGTAGGAGTTTTAAAACCTCTAATTTGTGGCTAATTTACTCATCATGATTTCTCCCTCCGGTGCCAGGCCCGGGAAATTGCCAGTTGTGGCTCTAGAGCCTTGGCTGCGGTAAGTTGCTGTTAGAATATGGTGAATTCTATGTGAATTCTTTGGTTTACTTAGGTACTGATGTAACATTACATGATATAACTACATAGCCAAATAGCATATTAATAGTCAAACCATGTTAAATCATAGATGTTGCTAAATGCATCTAAATGGGATTTCAGATCAAAACTGGGGGCACCACCTTGAAACTGAACATGGGCATCAGCACGTTGCTGTCTGCTAGGTGTCCTTTCTTAGGACATGAATGGACTGGATGATGTCGTGCTTGCCAGCATTTTCCATTGTTTCATTGGTCTATTCTTCTTGGCTTACCCTCTGGTTATTTAACGTAGCCATGGAAAATGGCCCATTAATAGATGGTTTACCTATTAAAAATTGTGATTTTCCATGGCTATGGCTATGTAATTAATCCAGATGATATTTGTTCGTACATTTCAGCCACCTTCAAGCCGCACCAGGGATGTAGACCTACATCACTGGTGCGTTCGCTGCGAGGAAAGCAGCTCAGCGAAGCGCTGTCCACCTTTCAACGTTTCACTGCCAGCGGCGGACGCGTGACGCGTCACATTTTCTCCACGCTGCTGAAGCTCGGTCAGCATCACTTTTCCTTAGTGCGTGTTGTTTTGTTTCTCCATTTTGGGGTATACAGCCACGATATACACTATTTTCAAGCAAACCCAGATTTGGCACATCAAGGGCAACGCAATTTGGTAGGGGGAAACCCTGCTGTTTTAACATTTGAATCATCTTCAGTACCAAACGCCCAGCGAGAGAGAGAGAGAGAGAGAGTACCAAACTGGAGGGGATTTGCTGATGGCGGGGGAGAGAGAAAGAGAGAGAGAGAGAGAGAAAGAACTGGTGGAAATTTCCATTGCCAGCATGTTTTTATTTTTATTTTTCCAGAGGCTAATCATTGGCTAATCCCTGCTTGTTTTCGTCATGAGCGGAGCCTGGTACCACGGCGCATTCTTTGTTTGGTTAAATCCAATTACAGCAGTTGCATCATGAAATCATCTGAAATCCATAGGTTTGATGGTTAAATCCATAGGTTTGATCGTTGCATCATGATGGTTTGATGGATCAAAACAATTTCCATATTATTCCATCTTCCGGGTAGGTTTTCATGGTCTAAATCACTGGTTCTTTGAATGATTAAAGCAGTGAAAATCGGTGGTTAAATTTCCCATTGACTGTGGAGGGTAGCTCAACCAGCTTCGAAGGTGGCTTCCCTGGTAAGCTCTGAGAGCTGCACGTCATGGGATGATCTGTGACATTTCGCATGGTTGGTAAGTGGATTATACCCTCTGGTGAACTAACATAGCAATGGAAAATTGCCCATTTATAGTGGATTTTCCCATTAAGAATGGTGATTTTCCATTGCTATGTTAGTTCACCAGAGGGTAGTTGTTTTTGTTTGTTTCAATAAATTGGTTTCAAAGTTTGACATAACAATACGTACGTATATGCCATGCAACTTATCAGGGTTGATATATATATATATATATATTTATAATTATATAATATATATATATATATGGGTAAATTATAACGACCAAACTGCGACCTCACTGGAATCATGGTTAATAAGAGGAATCATCCCCAAATGGCCTTAATTCAGGTTAGTGAAATATTATAAATATGATTTACCAAATTTACCCAATATATATATATATACATATATATATATATTTATACTATACAACCTAGTCATTGACCATTCACTATCAAGAAAATGGATCATTCAACAGCTGCCCCCAGGAACGTTCACGTGCTCTGTGGCGACCTTCCTGGTGCGGTGAAGGTGTCGCAGAGCATGGTGGACAACAACCTTCCACTGGGCGTGGTGGAGCTTCCTGGCTCAGCAAACGACGTATGTCATAGTTTTGAGGGTCTAGTTAGTCTATATCATAGAATTGGATGATGGGAAATTTTACAGGAAAGCCCCATATTTAGTGGGAAAATCTACGGTTTCCTGTAAAATTTCCCTTAAACCAATCCAATCATATAGAGTCTATAGTTCGCGGTTGTAGTGTTGCATGTCATGTTACATAGTTATCGATGAGTTTTTCGCGGCTCGGCTCCAGGTTCAAATGAAAAGTGGGAGAGAGCCTTTACATGAGTTGATATTTGGTGGAACCAACCAGGATCATATTACTATTCCACAAGTGAAACTGGATCCCAATTCTCATGCAAGGTGTGGGAGATGAATGGAAATCACGAGCAGCGTGCGCTTCAGATCAGTTGTGTACTGATTATTTCATTTATTTTCATATCATATTGTCATATTATCTATAAAATAAATATATAGACATATATATTTATATATATGGGATGTCCAGGCCCAAAGCCTAAAAGCTCCACTGTGTCTGAGGTACACCACGCTGCTGAAAGGTCATTTTGCTGCAGGAGATTTGGCATCCGCCTGGAGAATCGTGGAAGAGATGCAGGCGATGCCATCCGTCACCGTAAGACCTTTGGGGTTTGTGAATTTAAGTGAAATCATGTGAAAAAGTGCCACCAAAAAAATACAAAAAACAATATTTTTCTGATTTATCCATATTATGATCCATATTTGGAGGATGAAGACCCATGAATTTTCATGAATTCGAGCTCTGGACCGCTGTGAACATCACGGGATTCCTACGGGGCTTTTCTGACCCCGTTGGCCGCTTCCACGAGGCTGCGGGCGTGTCGGGAGACCTTCGCACCCTAAACACCTTCCTGCGCGGATGCGTGAAGTTGGGTGCGCTGGGAGATGCCGAGGCGCGGTCGCGGAAGAAAAGGGCTGAGGCGACCGTTGTGAAGGTGTTTTTGGCTAGGTGCACGCGCATTGACACTCTATAAATATATAATTATCTATGTTTTTATATATACACAGATATACACAGACACACTTAATTCATGTATTTTATACATGTAAACTAATCCATGAATATTTGTAGTATATTCCAATTTCTTTTTCTGAAAGAATTACCACAAAATTGACGCGGCGCGGCTCATGGAGGACTTCTACATAAGTGCCAAGAAAGCTGGTGGAATCTACCCTGATGCTGCCACATACAAGTGACTGGGGCAAACAAGGTGGGGTCTGGGGTCCCAGTAACTTAGCTACTGTAAGTTGGGTCTTTTCACGAAGTTAAGAGTAGTTTACGGTACTACCGTGGCTAGTATACTCATTGGGACTTATATTTATCAACCAAACATATAACATCATATAACTGGGGCATACTGGGGCTATCACCTTGGATGGACCAACTTGCTGTGACTAGTCGCCAGCAAAGTGACTGCCTCCCCAACCAAGATAGACCCTACCATATTTTTAAATGGGCTATAGCCTAGGGCCTATGCTCTTCTCACACATGGACCCTGATGGCGATGGAGAGAGAGAGAGAGATTCCGAGATGCCATTCTCAGATACAAACTGATAGTTGGGAGGATGTTTATTTTTTCAATTTTGGTTTACGGGGAAATCTGCAACCCTTCGGTGGTGAAACCCATGGGTAGAACCCATGGGTTTCCCCGATTTTTCCGATCAACCCCTTGGGTGATCGAGGCTTTTGGCACAGGTCCATGGTCAACGATTCCAGTTGAAGGCCCTGATGAACTTGTTGCAGCTCGGCGATTAAAGTTGCGGCCCAATAAAAGTGAGAAAGATGTTCTAAAGGGATACTTCAAGAATCTTCAATATCCTTCATATCATACTTTTGGGGGGTTCAGAAACTTAATATATCTTGATATATCTTAAGATCATCTAATGTCGGCTTCTTCAAGCACATTTATCGAATCTATTTGCAACTTGAAATTATGTCTCCCACAAGCACCGCACAAGCATCGGGGCCATGTGTCTTCCAAAAAAATGCGATTAATTTGTTAGCAATTATAGGTAGAAGTTGAAGTGAGTGATTTAGCACAGTTTCCTGGTGTCAGTTTGAGTGTCCTTCTCGGATTCCCGGGGCTCGCATCTCGAGCCCCGGATGAGCCCAGGAAAGATGCCCAGATGTCGGATGCGACAGCCCAGTTCCTCAGCCCAGTTTCCAATGGCATCCAACCGTTGGATCTTTTCCCAAGGGCAAATCCAAAACCGGGGGAATCTGTGGATCAGCCAGCTGGAGATTCCACCGAAATCAGATTTCCTGGGTGGTTTTTAATGTCTGTTCAATGTCCAATAATGGCCATCAAAATTGTTCCAAGCCATGGAATGCTGAGCATATGCAGAACTTGTTGGGGTTTGATTCCTTGATATGGAAAAGTACGGAAGAGTGAAAAAGGCTGAGATCCCAAAATGAGTTGAGAACTTCATGGAAAGTTTCCTTATGTAGCATCGCTTCTGGACAGTGTTCTCTTGGTATGTGTTGGTAAGTTAGTTGATCCTTATTGTTTACTCATTGGGTGACTAGTAGTGGAATGAATCACTGCTGTGATTGTCTACCGCATTCTCCGATTGGCTGGGGTTGCTTCCAGTATGCTATGCTGTTCTTTCTTTGCAGCATCGTTTGTTCATCGTTGCCAAGGCTTGAAAACACCGCAGGGCTGCTTGGCTGGCGGGACTTTGTTGCTGCTGTTGTTGTTGTTGTTGTTGTTGTTGTTGGTGTTGGTGTTGGTGTTGGTGTTGGTGTTGGTGTTGGTGTTATTGTTGTTGTTGTTGTTGTTGTTGCTGCTGCTTTGTTGTTTCAATGTTTTAAAGATTTAATGTTCTAATGTTTTGCGGCTGCGCCACAGAAGGTTGCACCACGTTGCGCCCACAGATGCACAGATTCTGTTCGTCCTTGTTTTGGATGCCGAAGGCATTGAAGCAACTTGATAAGCTGAAAACCCATTGGTACTAATCTCATTCCCATTCATTCTCCTAATATTCACTACCATCCATAATGGAACCAAGAAAGAACAAATCCAATACAAAACCTTGAGGTTTTGGTTGGGGGGTGCTTGTTGTTTGGGGGAATTGGTTTACACATCATTTTGCACCCCTTTAAAATCAAAGGCATGCAAGTAGCCTCGATCCAAAAGGTGCACACATGAGACTCCCTGTGTAGGCTGAATCACTCCATTGCGCAAGTCGCATGCTTGTTGGGCAAAAAGCAGGCAGCTGGGAACAAGTGGACAGGGAAGGCTTCTGAAAGGCTTGGACATGGATATCTAATGATGTATAGCAGGGCCAGGTAAAATCAATTTGGATACTTTTGGAAACGTTGATGCAGCACAAAAACTTGTGCGAGTTCTACAGATCGTTTAGATGATTTGTATATTTGTTGCAAGCAGGAGCATGGATTGGCTGTACTTACAAAATTGTCCACAACCATCATTCACATTCCTCACAATACACAAGTTGTTTCTTAGGTAGGCACTTTGGGACTGCAGTAAACTTCCATTAAGGAAGGCCAACATGGGATCAATCAAAACTAAACACATGTGGAATGTTTATAGTTGCGGGGGTCACATTACTAGCAATTGCTCCTAATTCATCAACCATGGCCAAGAGAATCCTGGATTCTCAGTTCACATCGTAGAATTTGCTAGGGTCTCCTAGACTATGATGAAACACGTTTACAGTACACTGGTTATTGCCTATTATTTTCATGGCACACCTCTTAATATTAATCCAATTGATTGCCCCAAAGCCACTCCAGTGAGCTCATGATAAGATCGATCTTTTTGACGCGCAAGTCAGTCAGATGATGATATAAACCGGATTAGATCCCAAGGTTTCATGGTTGAATCATGAAGTCCGTTTTTCCCCATGGTAGTTAATACCCAATTGTTTGATGGTGAGTTCTCCACATTTCCAGGAAGATTTGCAGGAAACCATGGAGTTCTCCATGAAAGACAGACGTCTCCTTGAAAAGTTACCTTAAACCAATCCAATGATCGTTTAGTTCAATGATATAGCCATTATGTTAATGGTGATTTTTCTTGTATTTCCCCTAGTTATAACAATTTATCTGCCCATTCTCATCCCAATGATCTCACTTATCCCATTCAACTATCCCGTAACTATATAATCCAATTCAATTTCCCATGATCTTCCCCTTTTTTCTCACATTTATTTCATGGTGAATTCTCCAATGTTCCATGAACTGCCAGCTTTTTCCATCGTTTGAGGTCGCCAAGCAAGCCTTGCACCAGGCCGAAGAAGCCCTTGAAGGGTCGAACCTCGGCGATGGGAACATCATCTAGAACTGTCTATAACTGTCATATGGAGTCATTTAGTGAAGTATAGCATTGACAGCACGGACTTTTTGTTTTTTTGGAGGTTATTATGCATCTCTCTCTCTCTATATATATATATATATATATTGTGTGTGTGTGTTTGGTACTTAGCCCAGGTAGGACATGGACCGGCATGGAGAGAATGTTCACTAGTTGGATGTAAGATGACCGAAGATGCTCATCGGGTTATCATTGGCGATATGGTGGATTATAAGCCAGTTACGACTACCTTACTAATACCATCACTCTGGGGATGTAACGGTGATAGAAAGGTAGACGCATAATGACACGGGGTGTAGTGACAAATATGTATATATATATATATCATATAATATAGTATAATACAATCTATAGTTCTATAACAGTATGATATATGGACAGTACAGTATCTCAATGATATCATAGGGATTCCATGAAGATATTCAAAATGGTGACCCCTGAAGTTAGATCGTTGTTTCATCACCATGAACCCAAGGTTGTGCCTATTTTGAAAGCAACTTAACTACCTATGGACACCAAAAAAAGTACATATAGAAGGCTCACCAAAAATCAAATTCCTTGGGAAACCGGGCGGGAAACCGGTGGTTTCCACAACTACGAGGCTTCATGCCGGGGGCCGTGTGAGGAACTCAAGACGACCTCGTGTATGAAACCAACAAAGGTCGACATAATGTCCACCAAACACGAAGAAATACACGAAGGACTAAAACTAAATGGAAGTGGACTGTCCCGGGCAAACCTTTCTGGTGACCTATACATTGAACATGCTCTGGCGCTCACCAGACATAAAGTCAATTGTTACTAAGTGGATTTTCACAAAGATATGTGTAAACAACATGCATCAGCCTTTGTACTTCGTTGTAGGCCTTTGATTTTATGATTTGAATGTGCACAAGTTGCACAATTCATTTGTCACGTCGTTCTACATGTTCTACATACGCGTCATATGCATGTGTCAACGGGCTCAAGACGGGCACGGACCCCCTTGTGCCTCGCTCTTGTGTGGCATCCCTCGGGGTGCGCTTCATGTGGCCATAGGCCAACCAGATCTCGGAAGCGGATGCCTGGACAAATCAAGACCCTGTGGGAGGTGATGTAATGATTGGAGGGCAGGCCTTGATGCCGTGAGCATGGGAAAACTGCTGAAGATCATGAGGCCTATCACGGTATATCAGTATAGATTCTAATGAATTGTAATATCTCATCATGGTTAGACTTCACAGGTCAATTCCGATCGGTGACAGCAGGTGGCTCAGGAGAAACTGTTTTGGATGGTCATCAATGGTCATTCAAGTAGGGGAACGTTGGTCAAGAGTTGGTGCCAGTAAGATCCTTGTTTGCTGGCAATTTGGCCCTTCAGTTGCATGTAGCAGGTAGCAAACATCCCTGAACACTGTTCTGCTGTTCTGTGCTTTGTCGTGCGCGCGTTGGAATAAAAAATGCCCGGTTCCCGGTTTGCGACCCCATGCTCATCAAGTCACTCGGGCCGAGGATTCTTGTACGTGGCAATCCCCTCGTCATGATTCGAGGGGCGCAGATCTTATGCTTGCTGGTGGGGGCCACTTCTAGACCAGAAGTGCGGGCATCTTGGCTGAAGGACCGAGTGCTGATATTTTCACCAGAAAGTTTATTTCCTACAGTTGTGCGAAGGCTTATGTGTTTGCCATAGATAGGAATCATTGCATATCTATATATATAGATATATATATATATATATTGTCCACTTTTTTTGTGGCAGGGTATTTGAGATTGGCACTGCTTCGGAAGAATTTATTTTTTGCGCAATCCTGTGAGTTTGGTTCTGTGTTTCTCAGTTTGTTGCTGGTGGGATTTAGATGCAACAAACTCACCAGCAACAAACTTAAACCTTCTCCAGTGGAATGGGGATCGGATGGGATCTGGTGGTTTTTCTGTGGGGGACAGATGCAGATACCCTCTGGTTATTTAACATAGCCATGGAAAATTGCCAATTTATAGATGGTTTACCTATTAAAAATGGTGATTTGCCATGGCTATGTTAAATAACCAGATGGTAATGGTTTGGTATGTGTGTACCATGATGTACCATGCATATTATCTCTTTCTGTGGCGGGAAGATATATCATGAATTATCATGATATATCTATAAAGACGATTCTATACGCAGGTGTTGATGCACTTGTTGCATATAGCCACCCAAAACTGTTCAGAATAGCCTGTTGTGTGGACACGGCTCGCCCGCTTCAATTTTGGCATGTTTCAACGCACTTGAAAAGGAACGATACCCCCCTCCCCCCCACCCCCTCGCCGAAACCCTGACGCTACTCTAAGGTTGCCCTCTGGGAACTTAACATAGCTATGGAAAATGGATAAACATTGGATAATGTGATAATGTGCTGGTAAATTCAATAAACCATCCCCAACATCACCATTTTTATGCATATAAATGCGTGGTACAGACCATCTCCCAATGGTTAAGAATTGGGGTGGGCCACATGAATGGCCACATTAGATTATTTACCATTTGCCATGGGTTACGGTTACCTCTTATAAAAAATGGGATTGCCCAAATTTATTGCACCAATTTACCAGAATTCAACCGGTTCTTTGCGTGTAGCGGTGGGCAACGGTTGCCGGTTGACCCCCCACACCCAGCCGTTGCAAGGCACCAGCGTCGGTTCTTTTTGAAGACGGCTGTGATGGCGGCGAATGTGGCACCGCGCTGCTGCAAAGCAGCATGCAAGGTCACCGGCAGGTCGGAAAACACACCCCTGGGAGCTCCCAGAGAACTTACGGGGTGTGAAACATATATAGATCTGTTTATTATGTACTTTTGCATTGATTTTGTTTGGTGAAAGTTGAACTTGTGTCTATATTTGTTTTGATGTATACAATTACTGTAGGAATATTGAAAATGTATAGCAACCCCAAGAGATATAGACAGTAAGTAAATCTTGCAATCAGCATTGTATAATTAAGGTTACCCGTGAACAGTATCAGTAGGTGCGTTTATTTGGCGCACATTATGTGCATAGATGTTGTAGATATGTAGATATGACAATTATATAGTGTTATACATATATATTATACATGTAATTATATGCATATATTTACATGTCTACAACAATATATAAATATAATATGTAGATATAGTGCATATATTGCTCATCCTAACATTCATTCAATAGGCAGAAAAAATGCACACCGATAGGGGCGATTGCTTCCGATTTGTGCCTTTCCTGCGACCCACCAGGCAGAATCAAAAGTGAAAAGGAAGGCAGCTGAATCCGTCGAAGAGGTGGATGTTCACCTGCTGAAATCAGTTCCCAAAACAATTGCAGATGGAACGAGTTCATTGGTGTATACCGTTTGATAGCTTCATGATATCATCATTATACTGACATTCCCCTCCGGTAAAGCTACAAAAAATTATCAAAATCACCCTAATAGGTAAATCAACTATTTCTATGGGCCATTTTCAATAGCAAACTATCAAATTACCAGAGGGTACCTGATTTTCACCATGTTTTCCCGCGACTTTTCCACCAGGCAGTGGTTTTCTGGGAGAACTTGACGCAGATGCTCGAAAACGCCGAGCTGGCTTTCGACCGTCTGAAAGGGGCCATGAAGACAGGCCGAATGCGGCTTACCATTGACTCATCAGATTGGGAAAAGTGTAGGGTAGCTGGGAATTATATGGTAAATATATGGAGTTGTGTGAAATTACATGGAATTATGGTATAGTAACCCCAAAAAACACTCCAAACAGAATAGAAAACGATAGAACACATACAATGATATTGCTATTGTGGTAGGATTGTAATTGTACTTATCTTCCTGGGGCTGCTACAAGCTGATGGTAGCCGATGCTGTGCAAAGGGTTAAGCAAAGTCCCCCAAATGAGGACACGCCCATTCCACTTGAAAATTGCGCGCTTCCCCACACCTTTGACATCCTTGATTTGAGTTGATCGACGTTGGCCAGGCAAGACCTTGAGACTGCAGCTTACTTCCCAGGAGGACAGCTATATTCCAACTCAATTTCCATCAACCTTTCAAAGATGAGAGAGAGAGAGATATATATATATATGAGAGAGAGAGATATATATATATATAAATAAATATGTCATCAGCTGAAGCCCTCCACCATAGCATACAGTAAGGGCCCCCGAATTGAAGTTAGTTCATTAACTCCTCATAAAACTATGCGAGTGTGTGGGACCTTTTTTTTTGAATGGGCGTGTTCACCCCGAGAAAAAACCTTAGATGTCCAAAAGAGCCATACTTGGGACTCTCAACACTGTATATATATATATATATAAATTATTTATATATATATATACATAATTCTATATAGTCTATAGCATATTTTTTTCGTTATATCCTAACTTATGGGTGTTCGAATCCCATGCTTTTGGGTCCCATGCTTTCTAGCCATGGGACCCATTTTCTTCCGGCGAGCAGGACCCAAAACTCCTGCAACTTCTCCGGGGACATGTGGAGGGTTTTGCCTTCTGTGACGCCCAGCTGCAGCAGATTTTGAGCCACGCAGAGCGACTGGAGAGCAGCGCTCGGCAGTGGATGGAGTTGCACCAGAGATGTAGCTGGGCTGTGGGGCCTGATGTGTTTTATACTTTGTAATTTGCATTTCCCAAGACATCATCAAGACATCCGAAAACCTTGGGTGGGGGTAGTCTGAGCCATTTATGTATATTATACATATATAGCTAAACCCAATGGCCACGTGGGTATTTCAATACTAAAAGACTGTTGTTTTCATTTATTTTGGAGGTACTGCTGTTTCAGGAAGCACCCAAAGCTTGGATGTGTGGATTTGCCGAGAAGATCCTTGGAGTGTTCCATTCACTTTCGAGGAGCTTGTATGTGATTTTTTGGTTCAATGTTGGGGGACCACTGTTGGCATTTTTGCGTGTTGAAACCTCCATTTTCATTTCAGTTCTTGAGACAAAGATGCAGACACAGATATGCTGATCGATGCAGGCAAGAGTGAGGTCATATGCATTCTGATAGTCGTTGAATTCCACTTGCTGCTGCTCAAGTCCACTTCTAAGTTCGGTGGTGCCCCCCTTTTGTGCTGGCTGAATTCCGGTTGGTGTTTGTTAACAAAAGCGCGTTTTCCAGGTAATGTGGTAAACTCAATAATAAACCCTTCCAAAAATCACAATTTTTATGGGTGTGATTTCCAACCATCTCCAAATGGTAGGTTTATGGAAGCAAGGGTTTCCCACGCTAATTTCTTAGGACCTGAGCACCAACTGAGGCACCCACCAAGCAGAACTCTTCAAGCAAGACCCGGCAGAGCACCGTGAGCTGCAGGATGCTTGGGAGTGCATGCGGGGACGGTTGCGAACCAAAAAGTCAGTAGGACCTCACTAAGTAAAGTGAATGATGATAAGTGGAATATCATCCCAAAATGGTTGGACATCTCGTTTCCCAAAATGGGATCTTTGGGATTCGAAACTTGAGAGGGCAAAAACCTCGTGGGTTTGTGTGACCAATACAAGGCTGTTCGTGCTGTCAAGGTTTGCAAACAAGAGCAAACCCCAAAATGTCATGTAGCAGTGCCATTTGTAGCAATGCCATTCCTGCAGATCAGGTAAAGCTGGATGTCTATTCACCACTCCACGTAGGTCTTGGCCTATTCCCCGGAGTCCTCAGGAGAAGGTGGCTGAGTGCACAGCGCTGAACCAAGTGCTGCGAACCACACAATGTGCGCGGGCCACCCGCATCAGCGGCATGTGCGATACCTACCAGATTCTTGGTTTTTGGCCAGTTCTGCTGATTCTGCTGCAGTATCATCCCAAAATGGTCGAAAAAAAACACGGTGTGAAACCATTTGGCCTTGGCCAGTTTGGATGGTCCCTTTTTTTGGAGGGATGTCCATCTTGTTGTCTTCAAACCAGTTGCAGCTCGACATCAGATTCACGTGGTCTCTTTATGTCTCTTCAACTAATATGTTGCTCGGTTTGTGGCTTTGGAACTTGGAACCCGGAACCCCATTTGAAGACAGGTTCTTAAGTTTCGCAAATGGACTTTGATCCAAAGATGAACCTCAAGGTGCTTCACAGTTTTTGACGAATGACGAATCAACCAACTGCCTGCCATGATCGGTAAATTGTGCTCAGTCACTGTTGGGTTTGGATTCTATTATTTAATATGTTTATTAATATGTATGTCTCTGTATATGTATATGTATATATATATATTATTTATTGTATACAACATGCAAGAATACATATACAATAGCCATCAATAACCCCTGGAATGATCACGTCTAATTCTATTTAAAGTGATTAATTATATGTGTTTATCATTGGGATATCTTTTGCAGGTGTTTATCATTAATCATAATCAGATATAATATAATCATAACAAATGCCGTGCCAGTATCATTATGATCGCGCTTTTTATTTGGTGTTAATGGTCACATTCTTCACATCTTCTTATCACAATAATCTTCCCGGAAAGATAGAAACACAAATCTCTACTTATTCGATAATCAATTGCCTGTTGATTTGTTTGGGGTATATTATACTGTTAGTTATTCGAGTTTTTATCCAGCCAAGGACTAATTGGTGGTTGCGGTTGGTGGTTTGGATTCCCCGGGGTATTCCCCAATGACAATCACTGTCATCAGGAAATCCTGAGGTGCCAAACCACCAACCAAACCACCAGTTCACAATTAGCTGTTTTCAGTGCTATCAGTTTGATTGTGACAGTAATTTTTACCAGTTAACCATGCGTTAATTCCCCATTTCGGGAATCTACCAGGATTATTTTGAATTTGTGAAGGTGATCCCTTAAACCAAGGTGGGTTTGTTTGAAGATAGGGTACTCCAACCATTTTTGGTCGTCCCATTTTCAATTACACCCTTAAATAATCCAAATAAAAATGAACCATCCGTCCTTTTCTGGGGATGACTATATTTTCATTTGGGACCCCTTAAGCAAATACAAATTTACCCCATACAATTAAGCTGGTGGCCCCCAGTTAAGTTAAGTTATTGTATACATCCTGTATTACAAGAGTTTTATTAGAGTTTTAATAAGTTATGATAAACATTTTGATTGCCATTAATAATATCTATTGGGTGAGAACTATATATATATATATATATCATTATCCCTTGTATTTTGTGGGTAAAAATACATATATAATTAATCACCAATATGGCTTTTTATTACTAATAACTAATGTCTCATAATGTAGTCATAATAAATAATCAGTCATTGCCAATAAAAAAATATGGTTATCAATATATTCTTCCAATAACTACAGTTAAGTATGTCCCTTTACTTGTACAGTGAGTAAAAGATATGCTGATCCAACAATTATATATATGTAATTACATAAATTGTATACAGCGGCAACTAGTTATGTTATAATACTAAACTGTTTGACTATGTTAAAGGCAGGCCAGTAATGTAGTTGTATAAGAACTAATCAGTTATTACCAAGAACTCTAGTTACAAATATCTATTCCTATCTTATCTGGTTGGTGGTTTGGAACATTTGTTATTTTTCATTTCATATATGGGATGTCATCCTTCCCTTCCCATTGACTTGATTTTTCAAGATTGTTTTTTAACCACCAACCAGATCATATAAATTGGAATTTTACCATCATACAATTGGGTTACTATTGGGTTAACCAACATTAACCACCAACCAGTTAACCAATTATCCAATGGAAAATCACCATTTTTTATGGTTACATCAACTATAAATGGTTAGTAAACCATAGTAATCCCCTACTTTCGCCACTCCAGGACATGCCGTCGCTCCGTTTCCCTGGCCTCCTCGCGTGCGCGGGCAACTGTGCATCAGTCTTGGAGGGCCACGCATGGGTCCAACAAGGCGGTGGGAGGATCACCCTGGGTGAGGTCGTTGTTGACCTGAAAAGTGGTGATAAATCTCCATAGTTCTGTTAGTTTACCAGTAATTATGGCACAATCATGAGATTCATGGCAGAGGATATCATAAGAGATATATTTGAGATTATACTGGGATATTGTTGGGATAATGGGCATGAAGGGAAGCTAATGGCAGATAAACCGACGATTCGGGGGTTCCCCAAGTCACAAGGGAACCCAAAATCATCCAAGTTCCTGTTTCCTTGTTAAAATAAAGGGTCACCCCGGTTAGGAGAAGCACTAACTTGGAGATTGATGAACATGTGCGCTGGAAGCCATTTTTGTCATCGCTTGTATCAAAAAATGTGTTGTAGTAGTTTTAGTAGTCGCTGTATCCAATGTTTGTGGTTCAGTTTGGATCAACCTGGGGTAGTGTAGCTCAAAACGATTGGAAAATGCGGCCAAGACGTTCGTCATCTTTGGACGAGCAATCCAATCCGGGGGCTAAATCCGTTAGAGTCAATAGCAAACTGTTCAGATATTTTTGCATTATTCAGTTACTTGACAAGTCTTGACAAAAGACAGATGAATAATGCCACTAGTCTATGTTTTTCGCCTCAAAAGTGCCATGTGTTAGTTTTACCTTTTTTCCTCCAATGAATAGCTGAATAACTTCTGAACGATAAACATATTGCGTCTTGGAATTCAGGAGTGCCCCAAGAGAAGTATGCAAGAATTAAGATAAGATGGGAGGACCACAGGTGAATTTGTCCATTGTTTTGATCCGAATCCGCCGCACTGCACCGAAGTGATTTGCTCATACCCAGGCTTTATGCTTCCCCCACACTTCACAGCTGTGAGGCTCAGTGGGTTGTGGAAGCTCTTCGCTGCTTCGAAGATCAGTGGCAGAGCGGAGTGCGAGAGCAGTGCCTTGTTGTGGCGCCACCATGGAGTTTGGGGCTGATCACGGTCAGTTCCCTTTATGGGACTGGACAAAAACACAACGACATCAAAAAACTGAGTTCTCCTTTAGCCGGTGATTGGGTTGGGGCCCTCCTATTTGCGGGGTTGCCTTGCTCCACGTACCAAAGCACCCTGTCCGAAGTTGACAGGAATCATCCCCGGATCCATTCCAGGTAAAGGTTGGTTGTCAGAAGTGATTAAATTTGGTGAAGAATCTTCAAACTCAAAGTGGGTGTCTCTGACAAGATGAAAATGCAGTATGCCGGGCATGCCGCTAAAATGACCATTCAACAGGGAAAATGAAAGTCCATTGGAATTGGGGGTAGGTACCCTATTTTCGGACAGGGATTAAATTTCCTGAATACAAGACCTCACGCCATTTACGACTTATGATAACGGCAGGAATTGAAGATGAGTTCGGATTTGCCCCAAAACAGACCCCATATGAAACAACTGCAAACATGAAATACATCAAGAGTATTTTGGATGATGATGAGTCGGCCTCCGGCAAACTCCGCTTGAAAGTTAGACACACCATTGGTTTATGTAACAGCCATTTAAATTACCCTCTGGTAAACTAACGTAACTATGGAAAATCACCATTTTAATGGGTAAATCCACTATAAATGGCCATTTTTAATAGCTATGTTAGTTTACCAGAGGGTAAACATGGTGGATGTTTATGAGCCTTGTAGAAAAACACGGTGGATTCATCATGGTTGTCCGGATATCCCGGATGTTGAGGTCGGTTCTGCAGCTTGCACTCCATAGCTGTGAGCACAAGGCTAAGGAGTTGTTGAAACACCAGGAGTGGGGAGGGGAAAGCCGTGGCAAGGAGGACATGTGGGAGATTTCCTACACGGGAGGTGCCCCAAAAAGGATGGTTTACAATGGAAAATGAAAACATAGATTTAGATGATTTATAATGATATATATATATATATATATTGATTTTGGGGTCCGCCCATTTTAGGAAACCTCCATTTGTTCGCGGCATGTGACATGGTCGAAAGTTGGATTCAAAAGTTGCTTTAGAAGTGTTTAGACAATAAATATTTAGATTGACCCATGAAATTGGGGTTTGCAAAAGTAAGCATATGGTTTATATATGTTTATAGGATATTGGAGGCACGCCCACAGGTGTCATGATCAAATTGGATGATCATCCAATGATGGGCCATGTTTTTTTTTTGTACGGATCGATGTGGAAAATTGTGGTACCTGCCAATTCTTGCGACTTTGCTTCGCGCATTTGCGCGGTTGCTAAGAGTGTAGCCTTTTTATTTGGCGCCGTATATTTTGCTATAGTAATCCATCATACCAGCATGGATCCGGTGGTGAACAGGGAATTCGAATCAAAAGACGCGTTTCCCCCACAAAAGAACAATTTTAGTTATTTTAGTTCAAGAGCACCAGGAAGTGCTTCAACATATTTAAGCATAAGATGCATTCAATATTATATAATATATCATGCTGTAATATATCTATAATCGGCACGGAATCGTACATAGTACATAATCCAAACTCTAACCATGTGTTCAAAGCCACCTGAATTGTCGTCCCTCAGAAGGCTTTTTAAGCAATTGCTTATATAAATCACGGCTGATCTCACACTTGGGCAGGATCCACCTGCACTTCACTGCAACCAAACTCTTCCGCAAGGAGTGCAGGCGGAAGGGGTAGAAGCGCCACGGGTAGAAGGGTCTTAAAGGGGGGCGGGCCAATCTGGACCCATATAATGGGACCGTGCATTTTGGTTAAGTCAAACTGCGGTCGTGTTTTTGGCATTTGGGGCGATTCCTGTATCCACGTATTTCGGAAGTGCCAACAAAAAAAGAGACAGGAGCCAGGGGATTCAATACTCTACCTTTTGATGGGCATTTGATGGCATTTGTGCTACTAAAATGGGGCACTCTGACCCTGATCCCTTGGGGACTCTGGGGACCAAAATCAGTCACCCTGACGCGCAGGGCTGCGAGGATGTCTTGCAGCCTGCGCTGGGGTCGATTTTGGACCGCGACTTGACCAAGGAAATGGCCGCTCGGCTGAGCGATTTGGGTGCGGCTTGGGTAGATACAACATGTACGAAGACATCTCCAAAACAATGTCACTTTTGAAACATGGGCATTTTTTGGGGCAAAACGGAGGGTGTCAAAGTATCTAAGGTTAGCAAAGCATTCCGGTTGTACGATGTTGTATTAGCCATTGAGGAACTGAAATTGCTTTTCAGCTGGGGTGCGCTACCTGCATCATTGATGCAGTCACTAGGGGACATACTACCAGTTGCATCCAGGTACCATAATATCCTTGAAGCAAGCATCCACCTGTTCTAGCTTAGTATCTACCCATTTTTGTATGCCTAAAAGCAGGCAATCCACCCACCTTTGTCACAAGTTGATTGAACGCAATAAACTCATGATTGTTCCTAAAAGTAGATCATAGCCCAAGAATATGGCCCCGTCTTCTTGCAGCAGAGTGAACTCAACAAATTCGCCCAGCTTTTGTCCTTTTGGTTCACTTGCAGGCAAGTGAATCAACATGAATCAACCAAGATCCCAAAACCCTGTGGAGGTTTCATCAGTTTCATCCTAGACCATTTAAGATCATTTACGGTGACCCCCAATGACTCGGATCCCCAATGACTTTGGAAACGAGAATTGCCAGTGCTCCCGGCAGGCCACGGGCGGCGTGTCCCTGATGCAGGAGGGCATCGAGCTGACGGAAGCGCCGGAAGAACCGCCGGCGCTGGTGGAAATGCAGGAGGCTTTGGCGGGGCCGCTGGCCACGCCCATCTGCATGCGCCTTGGAAGAACTAGGGGAAGCAATACAGGAATGACACACACAAAGGATGATATATTATATACTATTATATATATATATATTATATGAAATATATATTTATATATACCAACAGTCTATGACTTTATAGTTTAGATTTGATAGATGTTTATAATACAGTAAACTAACACTATGGGTATATTATGGGTTTGCCGTTGATAGATCTTTGAAGTACAATTTGCAGTAATGTGGTCTCTGAGTCAGAATAGTGTTTTGAAAAGTTCATAGTTGATAAGCCAAAACATGTTTAATACCTTTATGATCAAACACCTACAATGGCCGTCCACAAAAAAAAGACGGACAAGTTGATTATGGTTTACTTTTGGTGTATCACATTAGCCCTGCTAGAAGGAGTTTGTTTGAAGATGTTGGAGTTTTGAAAGGTACCTCGGGGAACGTGTGGAAGAGGGTAGTAACTTTGGTGGGTTGCGCCCAAGCTGTTCATGATACCTCCGCAGCCGCCCGAGGTTGGTGGCCTTTTTCACATTGAGCATGCTTGGTGTGTGGCTTGCCTAAAGTCAGTAATTGGATTCACTTGGGCTTAGTCAGCCAAGCTTCTTAGGAATATTTGCCCACATTGTGTTTAAAGGAAATGACTGCAGCTCAAAATGTAAGGTCCCAATCCATACCCGGGACGCACAGGTGATCCATACCCGTGATCCATACCCTTTTGACGAGATTGAATTCATTTGAGATCATTTGTTGAACTCCTTCGTTCCATACGTCCGGATCACAGCATAGCGATCCATACCCGTTTTTGGAGCCAAAGCCGAAACAAACTTCAACCCGGGGTCTTACTGGTTTGGTTTGGGGATATTCTTTCTGCCCTGTTTCGTTACATGTCATGACCAATGCTGGAGCCTGATATGCACAGAGGAACATCCACGCATTCCCCTCCGTGCTGCTGATGATTTACTGCATTGTTTGCGCACCTCTCCCACAAATATAAGACCATGTAAGGGAAGACATGGACTATCCCACTCCGAATCTTGGGTTACTTGTTGTTTCTTGTTTGAGCTTGGCCAATCTTCATGTCCATTACATGAGCAGTGTTCGAAGCCACTGTTGATTGATTACGATATGAGAATATAGCGGAATATGCTACCCAATTCATCAGAAATTATCCTTTGGTAAACCAACGCTGCAATGGGAAATCCATGGAAATCCCCTATCGAAATCTATGTTTTTTTTTGCGCATAAAGAAACACAATGGGAAGTGGAAATCCCCTATCAAAACCTATGTTTTTTTTACGCATAATAAAAAACACAATGGGAAGTGGAAATCTCCTATCAAAATCTATGTTTTTTTTTGCGCACAAAAAACAATTTGAAATGGAATTCCCCTATCAAAATCTATGTGTTCTCCTTTTTTTGTGCATAAAAAAACGCAATGGGAAGTGGAAATCCCCTATCAAAATCTATGTTTTTTCCGCATTAGAAAAACACAATGGGAAGTGGAAATCTCCTGTCAAAATCTTTGTTTTTTTTGCATAAAAACAATGAAATCCCAAATTCTATCTTTTCTTTTTTTGGGCATAAAAACGCAATGGGAAGTGGAATTCCCCTATCAAAATCTATGTTTTTTTACGCATAAAAAAAAAACATTTGAAGTGGAAATCCCCTATCAAAATCTATGATTTTCTTTTGCGCATAAAAAAACATTTGAAATGGAAATCTCCTATAAAAATCTATGTTTTTTTTTGCGTATTAAAAAAAACATTTGAAGTGGAAATCCTTTATCAAAATCTATGATTTTCTTTTGCGCATAAAAAAAACATTTGAAATGGAAATCCCCTATCAAAATCTATGATTTTCTTTTGCGAATAAAAAAACAATGAGAAGTGGACATCTCTTATCAAAATCTATGATTTTTTTGCGCATAAACCAAACAATTTGAAATGGAAATCCCCTATCAAAATCTATGTTTTTTTTTTGCGCATAAAAAAAGCAATGGTAAATGGAAATCCCCTATCAAAATGCATGATTTTTTTCGCATGGAAAAAAACAAATGGAAATGGACATCCCCTATCAAAATCTATGATTTTTTGGCACATAAAAAAACAACGGGTAAATAGAAGTTCCCTATCAAAATCTATGTTTCATTTGCGCATAAAAACAAAAATGAAATGGACATCTCCTATCAAAAGCCATGAATATTTTTCGCATAAAAAAAACAATTGGAAATGGAAATCCCCTATCAAAATCTTATTTTTCTTCTGCGCATAAAAAAAACAATTTGGAATGGAAATCCCTATGAAAATTGTTTTTTTTGCGCATTAAAAGAAAACAATGGGAAGTGGAAATCTCATCAAAATCTATGATTTTTTTTGCGCATAAAAAAAAAACAATTGGAAATGGAAATCCCCTATCAAAATCTTATTTTTTCTTCTGCGCATAAAAAAAACAATTTGGAATGGAAATCCCTATGAAAATTGTTTTTTTTGCGCATTAAAAGAAAACAATGGGAAGTGGAAATCTCATCAAAATCTATGATTTTTTTGCGCATTAAAAAAATCAAACACAATGGGAAGTGGAAATCTCCTATCAAAAGCCATGATTTGTTTTCGCATTTAAAAAAACAATTGGAAATGGAAATCCCTATGAAAATTGTTTTTTTTTGCGCATTTAAAAAAAACAATGGGAAGTGGAAATCTCATCAAAATCTATGATTTTTTTGCGCATTAAAAAAATCAAACACAATGGGAAGTGGAAATCTCCTATCAAAAGCCATGATTTATGATTTTCGTTTGCATAAAAAATAACAATTTCAAATGGTAATCCCCTATCAAAATCCATGTTTTTTTTCGCATAAAAAGAAAACAATGGAAATGGAAATCCCCTATCAAAATCGTATTTTTTCTTTTGCTCATAGAAAAACAATGTCAATTGGTAATCCCCTATCAAAATCTATGAAATGTAGGTTTTCATTTGTTTTAATAGGAATGTCACCGAACCTGGCGGGTTTTCCAGCCACCTTTGCTCCACCCTGGACGATCTCAGGAGATGCTGGATGACGACCAACCTCCGTCCGGGGCAAAAGGATGCGAGTCCCAAATCGGTGGATGCCTGGTGCGTCAACAGCTTGGAGATGCTTGGTTAAGACTATAGCAACCCCCATTTTTTTGACAACAATGGGAAAGCACATAACAGTTACTGTAATTCCTACTAATAGCTGAAAATTGGTAAAATTATGTACAATGATGTAAAATAACTTAAAATGCGTTTCTATCCTTTTTGCGGATAAATATTTGTTAGCAACTATAACCCTTGATGGAGAATGACCGCTAATAGACCTAGTTCGCCGCTTCACAGATCTTATTGCTGCAACCCCAAAAATAGAACGTAGCAGATGAGGAACATCTTTGACACCCTGGCCGCCGGCCAATGGTTTCTACCCCCTGGTAAACTAACATAGCTATTCAAAATCACCATTTTAAATGGGTAAATCCACTAATTATAGGCCATTTTCAATAGCTATGTTAGTTTACCAGAGGGTATCTGTATTGGGGCCCCTTACTGCTTTTTAATTTGTTCCATCCGGACTTAGAAGGATTCAACTGAGAATTCGGATCACATATCTGGCATGACACCAGAAGATACGTGAGCGGCATGTGATTCCAATGGTATGAATGCCAGTTGATGTTCATGTTGTATACCATTGGCTTATCTTGGTTTCCAGGATTGGCCCACTGCTAACAAAACCAATTATTCCGGCAAGAGGCCCCAAACAGTGTGGGGGGAATGGGATGATAACGTATTAAACTTATAATGTTGTTGTTGTTGATGATGATGTTGATGATGATGCTGATGATGATGTTGAGGATGATAATGTTGAGGATGAGGTGGTGCAGGAGGATGATGTTGAGGATGATGAGGTAGAGGATGATGATGTTGAGGAATATGAGGTTGAGGATGATAATGCGGAAGGTGAAGTGGAGGATGGTAAGGTGGAGGATGATGATGTTGAGGATGAGGATGATTATGATGTTGAGGATGATGAGGTTGCGGAAGATGATGTTGAAGATGCTGATGGAGAGGATGATGATGTTGAGGAGGAGTTGAGGAGGATGAGGATGAGGATGGTGATGTTGAGGAGGATGAGGATGAGGATGATGATGTTGAGGTGAACGAGGGTGAGGATGGTAATGCGGAAGATGAAGTGGAGGAGGACAAGGTGCAGGATGATGATGTTGAGAAGAAGGAAGAGCATGATTATGATGATGATGATGTTGATGATGATGATGATGGTGATGATGATGATGATGATGATGATGAGCAGGAGCATGAGCATGAGCATGATGGTGTTGAGGATGATGATGAAAAGGATAATACTGTTGCGAAAGATGAGGTGGGGGAGGATGATGTTGCGGAAGATGAGATGGAGGATGATGAAGTTGAGGATGATGATGTAAAGAGGGCGGAAGATGAGGATGTTGAGAATGGTGATATTGCCGCGCCCCAGAGTGAGCTCAGAACGCGGACACAGATTTTGCGCGAGCTTGCGCAGTCGAAACGCATGTCAAGAGTTCACGAGAGCCACTTTATACGGAAATTTACAGGAAAAATGCCGCGGCCCAAAACCACGGCGCGGACTTTGTGCGAGCCTGCGCAGTCGAAACGCATGTCACGATTTCACAATAGCCACTCTATACGGAAATTTACAGGAAAAATGCCGCTGCCCAAAACCACAACCCACACTTTGTGCGAACCTGCGCAGTCGAAACGCATGTCAACATGTCACAAGAGCCACTTCACGCGGAAATTTAAAGGAAAAACGCGCGAGATCAGAGTGAGCACCCTGATCAAGCACCGGCCTTTACAGCTACCGCAAGGACCCCTCAGTGTGGACACTGTTTGGGAAACATTTCCTGTCGACTGAAAAACGTTGCTTTTCTCGGGTTCGGCCATGAAGGTCGAAGCCATACCCAGCCTGAAGAGGAGATCCCTTAGATTTATACCTGGGATTTACAATGATTTACATGACCCGGATTCACCATGGTTTCCTATCGCTTCTTCTCAGATTCTAGGATGCTACATGTGGAAAAAATGAACAATTGGAGAGGTAATGAAAAATTATGAAAAATGAAATGGGAAATGCAAACCTGGGAGCTGCAAAAATCACAGCTGCACAAAAAGGTGCTTGAAAGAAGCAATAATTAATAATTTGAAAGTGGAGAAAAAATGGAGAAAACATGCAAATCAGACCAGGGACCATAACTGGACAAACATGATTTCGGAAAAAATGCAAAAGTCTAGGTCAGCATTGTGTTTTTGCACGTGCATTGTTTTTTTCCATTTTTGATTTCCATTTTTTGCTTTACATGGTGCATTTCTCCAAGATTGCATTTTTCTAAAGTTTTCTAGGAGAAACCCACAAAACGCCAACACAATACTATACGCTGTTGTCCGTGCATCAGTCATCATCAAACCAGCGCTGACAATTCTTACACCTCGCCCTGCGAGGAAACTTGCCGATGCAGATGCTTGGCAGCGGTTGATGGTTAAGGATGGTCAAGGTGATGCCATCCAACCCGCATTTGCCAACGAAAATTGAGGGAAACAACCAATAACAAGAACCATCAACAAATAGGACAATATGGTTTAAAAAACACTTTGGACATCTTGTTGATGTATGTTGGTGTTTATTATGTCCAAACTGCCAGACTTTGTATGAGTAGCATTGTTGCACCTACGAAAAACGACAGTGAAATTTGAGGGCAGCGACATCCACCAGCATCAATCCTTTCGACGACTGAAAAACATATGATATATTGTGATATATTGTGCGCAGTAGGAGCCTATGTTCAATTCTTAGGGTAGGCAAACCATCTCCAATACATTGTTATGTTTCAATATGTTTAATGTGTTGGCCACAACATGCCAACTTCGAGGATCAGTGTTGGCTTTGTGGCGAGCTGGTGGTGCCCAAGAAGACCTCCTGCAGTATCTTCGTGCCGAGTCATCAGGGCTCCTGCTTGGTGACGGACAAGATGGGTCAGAGCATGTTCCGGACCAGCCGAGCTGCTCGGTTTGTTGCAAGCGTTTAGGATGTTTAGGGAGCCTGGATTTAGGGGGAAGAGTTTTTTGGTGACCTTTGTGGACCTTTGTGGACCTTGTGGACCTTTGTAGACCTTTGTGGACCTTCGTGGACCTTTGTGGACTAGGGTTGAGATTGGAGAGCAGAAAGTGGGTGAACACATCCGTGGATTATTGCAACCAGCAACTAGAAAAGAGGATTACCGAGGATTTGAAAAAACTGTTGACTAGAGTTGGGGGCGTCAGGCAACAGATGAACATGAAAGTGAGAGAAAAAACACATTGTGCCATTCAAAACCATTCAAACGATTTCTGCCGGTTAATATCTTAGTATGTTTATTACATTTTATTACAGTGTAGGTATATATATATATACACATACATGTGTGTATTATGTTTTTACACATGGAATGTAATGAAATGTAATGTCATGTCATGTCAAATAATCGAATGTCATTTAATGTAATGTCATGTCAGGTTATGTTTTGTTATGTGATGTATTGTTATGGTATGGTATGGTGTGGTATGACATGGTACGGTATGGTTTGTGGGGAATAACACATATATATATATATATATTTATTTATTGATTTGATGTCGAGTCAGGTGGGCGTAACACCGTCCGACACCCGAATCAGGCAATGAAGTCCCCAGTGATAACCTAGACGATTTTCACACTGCAGGATGCTCCCGGCCAGGTTGAACGCCAGAATCACATGGAATTCCACAGAATTACTATAGACTATAGTGCGTGTATATGTATGTGTATATATATATATATATTTATACACACATACACATAGACAATTTATGATTTATCCAGATATATAGATTGGTTAAATCCCATTTAATAACCATAAAACCCCGTATCATCCGCATTTTCCGACGTGGCTTCGTCAGGCTGAACTGGCGAACGGCGAGATCCAGTTGGTGCTTAGCAGATGTGGTGATAGCGCCGTGCTGGCTACGGCCTGTCGTTGTCCACTGGGCGACTTGGCAGGACGATGGTGCCTCACATTTTATGGTGCATCAACTGGTGATTTAACTAAGCATTTACTGGTGATTTTCCATAGTAGAATTGTGATTTGCTGATTTATGATTGGTAAACTAACAATTCGCTATGGAAAATCGCTATCTTTAATAGGTAAATCAACTATTTCTGACCATTTTCAACAGCAAACTGTTGGTTTACCAGAGGGTAGCTACCAACATTTATCATCAAAATGACCCAGGTATATCAAGGTATTCAGTAGTTTTTGCCAGACAGCATATGGGAATTATATATATAAATATATTATCAGTATCAATGTCACCCTTGTTTTTTTGGGAAGTATCATTTTAGTGGCAGTTTTATTTTTGCTGAGGGCAACCCCAAAAAATTGATCAACCGCCAGGCGCCGTCATTGCTTGCCATGAGTTTCAGCTAAGTTGACTAACAAGATTTATAGTTAGAGCGTTTTTTCTTGGAGCGTTGGATTGTTGGATTGTGTGGCTGCACCAAAAAAACAATCAGTGGTTATATTAGCAAACTTGAAGGGGTTTTATCCCAAATACTAGGGCTAACTAGCATGATCACCACATATATGATCCCATAAAATTTACCCCAACTGTCACGGTCCTGTTCCCGGGCTGCGCCCCAGGAAAGTCGACCAAGTCCTGGCAGATCTATCAAGGCAGCGGCGACGACTTGTTTGCCTCTATGGACGCTTGGCAGCGGTTCAACATGCGTCATGTGTGGTAAAGCCAATGGCACAAACCTCTTGGGGCATTGTTTTCACCCCACCCCTTGGGTGATTTTGGGGATGACGTGGGGTTCACCACATTGCCTCATTTTCATCCATAGACCCTGATTCTCCGAATGAAATCACAGTTGTTGATCATGTTTGAAGAATACTAAGATCCATACGCCCAGGACCCTTCCTGAACTCTTGGAGAAGGTGCTGGAGAGAGAGAGAGAGAGAGAGAGAGAGAGAGAGAGAGAAAGATGTATACATATACCAGTAGTACCCGCACGAGGCGGGGCGGAAGTTGCCTTAAATATATATATATATATATATATAAAAAAAAACCTTTCTCATCTATAGAACTTGCATGCGCCGTGCGCCAGCCAATTCCGTGCGTGCGTGCACTCTGCGAAACTGATGTCGTGTTTCACATGTCACACTTGAAGCCCCACGTCACACTTGACAGTCTTCACACTTCACACTGCACCCTTCGCAGTCAACACTTCACACTTCTCACTTCACACTGCACTCTCCCCAATCCACACTTCACACTCCACACTTCACACTTCACACTTCACAGTCCACACTTCACACTTCTCACTTCTCATTGCTTTCTTCACACTCCACACTTCACACTTCACACTGCACTCTTCACGCTGCACTCTTCACACTCCACACTTCATCTCATCTGAGCTCTTCTCGGCGCTTCTGCACGTCAGCAAGGTTGAGCGTAACTCATGTTGATTCTTCTACATGCCAAAAGGCGTAGACCATGTGCAGAGACTACAATGCGATCTGCAGAGACTGAGTTGCAAAACACAATAGAACTACGCGCAATGGCGTCGGAAATTGCAGCTCCAAAACCACATCTCGACGCCAAAGCGACAAAAAGACGATTTTGAAGCACTTTTTAAAAGGAATTTTAAAAGGAAAATTATTAGCGCCAAAATTGAGAAAATCTGCTGACAATTCACTTTCGCAGCCTTGATGCAGCCATTTCAATACGATTTACGATCTTCAGCTGCAAAAGACAATAGTATTACGCATGCAGCCGCAGCACCGAGCAACCTTGACGCAGCCACTACAATGCTTTTCGCAGCATCCCGTAGCAAACCTGCACCTATCTACGGACGTGGCAACATCAAATGACGACAATGAAGCAGCCATTCCAATGCAATCTGCAACCAGAGATTGAAGAACCGCATGGAACTACGCACACAGACACAACCACTCGTTGCAAAACACATACAGGAGGAACAATTCGCGCACAAAACGACCGCAGCCGCACCCGTCGCACACACGAGGTACCTTTCATCGTCGCCTGCAGCCACTTTACACGGAAAAACATAAGGTTTCGTGCTCCGGCTTCCTCCCCAAAACATAGCCCATGCAACATTCATGCAGCCATTACAATGCGTTTCGCAGCATCCCGTGGCAAACCCGCACCTATCTACGCACGTGGCAACATCAAATGACGACAATGAAGCAGCCATTCCAATGCAATTTGCAACCAGAGATTCAAGAACCGCATAGAACTACGCACACAGACACAACGACTCGTTGCAAAACACATAGGAGGAACAATTCGCGCACAAAACGACCGCAGCCGCACCCGTCGCACAGACGAGGTACCTTTCATCGTCGGCTGCAGCCACTTTACACGGAAAAACGCAAGGTTTGGTGCTCCGGCTTCCTCCCCAAAACAGAGCCCATGCAACATTCATGCAGCCATTACAATGCGTTTCGCAACATCCCGTGGCAAACCCGCACCTATCTACGCACGTGGCAACATCAAATGACGACAATGAAGCAGCCATTCCAATGCAAACTGCAACCAGAGATTCAAGAACCGCATAGAACTACGCACACAGACACAACCACTCGTTGCAAAACACATATAGGAGGAACAATTCGCGCACAAAACGACCGCAGCCGCACCCGTCGCACAGACGAGGTACCTTTCATCGTCGGCTGCAGCCACTCTACACGGAAAAACATAAGGTTTCGTGCTCCGGCTTCCTCCCCAAAACATAGCCCATGCAACATTCATGCAGCCATTACAATGCGTTTCGCAACATCCCGTGGCAAACCCGCACCTATCTACGCACGTGGCAACATCAAATGACGACAATGAAGCAGCCATTCCAATGCAATCTGCAGCCAGAGATTCAAGAACCGCATAGAACTACGCACACAGACACAACCACTCGTTGCAAAACACATAGGAGGAACAATTCGCGCACAAAACGACCGCAGCCGCACCCGTCGCACAACGAGGTACCTTTCATCGCCGGCTGCAGCCACTTTACACGGAAAAACACAAGGTTTCGTGCTCCGGCTTCCTCCCCAAAACATAGCCCATGCAACATTCATGCAGCCATTCCAATGCAATTGCCACCAGAGCTTCAAGAACCGCATAGAACTACGCACACAGACACAACGACTCGTTGCAAAACACATAGGAGGAACAATTCGCGCACAAAACGACCGCAGCCGCACCCGTCGCACAGACGAGGTACCTTTCATCGCCGGCTGCAGCCACTTTACACGGAAAAACACAAGGTTTCGTGCTCCGGCTTCCTCCCCACAACATAGCCCATGCAACATTCATGCAGCCATTCCAATGCGATCTGCAACCAGAGATTCAAGAACCGCATAGAACTACGCACACAGACACAACCACTCGTTGCAAAACACATAGGAGGAACAATTCGCGCACAAAACGACCGCAGCCGCACCCGTCGCACAGACGAGGTACCTTTCATCGCCGGCTGCAGCCACTTTACACGGAAAAACGCAAGGTTTCGTGCTCCGGCTTCCTCCCCAAAACATAGCCCATGCAACATTCATGCAGCCATTCCAATGCAATTTGCAACCAGAGATTCAAGAACCGCATAGAACTACGCACACAGACACAACCACTCGTTGCAAAACACATAGGAGGAACAATTCGCGCACAAAACGACCGCAGCCGCACCCGTCGCACAACGAGGTACCTTTCATCGTCGGCTGCAGCCACTTTACACGGAAAAACACAAGGTTTCGTGCTCCGGCTTCCTCCCCAAAACATAGCCCATGCAACATTCATGCAGCCATTCCAATGCAATTTGCACCAGAGATTCAAGAACCGCATAGAACTACGCACACAGACACAACGACTCGTTGCAAAACACATAGGAGGAACAATTCGCGCACAAAACGACCGCAGCCGCACCCGTCGCACAAACGAGGTACCTTTCATCGCCGGCTGCAGCCACTTTACACGGAAAAACACAAGGTTTCGTGCTCCGGCTTCCTCCCCACAACATAGCCCATGCAACAGCTATGCAGCCATTCCAATGCGATCTGCCACCAGAGATTCAAGAACCGCATAGAACTACACACACACACAGACACAACCACTCGTTGCAAAACACATAGGAGGAACCGATTGAACTCGAAACGATCCAAACCGCAACCGCCGCACAGACGAGGTACCTTTCATCGCCGGCTGCAGCCACTTTACACGGAAAAACACAAGGTTTCGTGCTCCGGCTTCCTCCCCACAACATAGCCCATGCAACATTCATGCAGCCATTCCAATGCGATCTGCCACCACAGCGTCAAGAAACGCATAAAACTACGCACACAGGAACAACCACTCGTTGCAAAACACATAGGAGGAACAATTCGCGTACAAAACGACCGCAGCCGCACCCGTCGCACAGACGAGGTACCTTTCATCGTCGGCTGCAGCCACTTTACACGGAAAAACACAAGGTTTGGTGCTCCGGCTTCCTCCCCACAACAGAGCCCTTGCAACATCATGCACCACTCCCCTTCATGGTTGCCAGTTCCCTTCCTCGCCACTCCCCTTCATCATCACTTCCCTTCCTCTCCACTTCCCTTCGTCACCACTTCCCTTCCTCACCACTTCCCTTCGTCACCACTCCCCTTCATCATCACTTCCCTTCTTCACCGCTTCCCTTCGTCACCACTTGCCCTTCTTCACCACTTCCCTTCATCATCACTTCCCTTCTTCACCACTTCCCTTCGTCACCACTTGCCCTTCTTCACCACTTCCCTTCGTCACCACTTCCCCTCGTCACCACTTCCCTTCGTCACCACTTCCCTTCGTCACCACTTCCCCTCGTCACCACTTCCCTTCGTCACCACTTCCCCTCGTCACCACTTCCCTTCGTCACCACTTCCCATCGTCACCAGTTCCCTTCGTCCACTTCCCATCGTCAGCACTACCACTTCCCTTCGTCACCACTTCCCTCCGTCACCACTTCCCATCGTCACCACTTCCGTTAGTATCACCACTTCCCATCGTCACCACTTCCCTTCGTCACCACGTCCCTTCCTCACCACTTCCCTTCGTCACCACTCCCCTTCATCATCACTTCCCTTCTTCACCGCTTCCCTTCGTCACCACTTCCCTTCTTCACCACTTCCCTTCCTCACCACTTCCGTTCGTCACCACTCCCCTTCATCACCACTTCCCTTCTTCACCACTTCCCTTCGTCACCACTTGCCCATCGTCACCAGTTCCCTTCGTCACCACTTCCCATCGTCAGCACTTCCCTTCGTCACCACTTCCCTTCGTCACCACTTCCCTTCCCTTCGTCACCACTTCCCTGTCAAGTCTCACACCACCCTTCATCAAGGTCAAGTCTCAATGTGATGTATTGTTATGTCATGTAAAGTCTCACACCACCCTTCATCAAGGTCAAGTCTCAATGTGATGTATTGTTATGTCATGTAAAGTCTCACACCACCCTTCATCAAGGTCAAGTCTCGATCGCGCACCACCCTTCATCATTTCAAGTCTCAGAATTCTATTTGTCCGTAACACGGAAGTATTGCTTCCCAACTTCCTTTGATAATTATAGAATTATTTGGATAATATGTCATATATCATGTTATTTGTTCATACGGTGTATATAAACCACCCTTGCAAACATTTGTCCTCGGAAATGGGAGGAAGCTACAGATAGTTTGTTTCCTTCCTTCCATTTATCACCCCCACTCATACCATATAAGTACCCATGTACCCATATGCCCACGTACACTTTCTCCCCCCAAGCATTGGGAGGAAGTCACACAACTGGGATCCAAAATGTTGCAAAATCATCCCAAATACCGTCATGCAAACACCTCTCTATATGATATCCCCAAGGAATGGGAAGAAGTTCAATCTTCCTGGTTCTCCAAATCCTCGGGCGCCTTCGTGGTCCGCAACCAGCAGCGCTCCGCCCTGCTGCGCCTTACAGCGAGCCCCACATCGCTGCAGCTCTGCGATGCCTTCGGGCGCCCGGTGGCGGTGGCGAAGGGCGATGCTGCCAGGGCTGAGGTGAGGATTGAGGCCGGGCAAATGCTGGCTTCAAACAAAGGGGGATACAATGATGCCGTGCGAATCATGGGGATCTGATTTTGAGAGGCTTGAAAATGAGTAGGCCGAGTATGCCTTAAGCCTTAAGAAATACATGATGAGTTGGCACAATTCTGGTTCTGGTAGTTTCAAGTAATGATGAAAATGGTATCGATAAGAAACGCGGATTCAAATCCTTTTGAAACCAGAGTGGCAACTGGTTTGAAAGGAGATGCATATATCTATATGTTGTATCAACACCATTACCACTGATTTCCCAGGTGAGAAGCGACAGCAACACGGATTTGGGTTTGGTGACCTTGGCAGCCCTGGCTATTCATCCCTTTGATGACGCGACGGCACCAGCCCAACTGTAGGGTAAAGACTGTGGTCGCAGAGGTGACGAAAAGAGTGGTGGGGTGGATCGGGTGCTAAAGTCACCAGTGAATGGTAGATTCATGGAGAAAAGACCCGTGTCTAAACATGAATAGGGATGAGTGATATGTGAGCTAATTTACTGCAGGGTTCCTTATTGATTTCGCTGGTGAAGTACCAGGAGGTGAATGCATATTACTTTTTGTTTGACACCATCAAGGACAGCCTGCGGATACTGCATTGATGCTTAACAAACAAATGTTTTGCATTGAATATCATTGAATTACCGAAATACATGATGGTGTAAAGATCCATTACATTCGATTCAATTTTGCAACAACCCCCAAAAGGTTTCAAAAAAACAAGTATTTCCAAGATAATATATAATATAGATGATATTTACCTCATATATATAAATATATATCCTTGTTTCCAACTGTTCTATCTATCTATGGGGGTTGCTATACCTTAAACCATTTCGACGCTATACCTTGATCCATCTCCCAGGATCGCCAGTCACAGCGAATTTGACCACTTGCGGCGAGGGGAGCTGCAACGTGAGGCTAACAAAAAAAGGGTTGTGGGCGGGAAATAACAAAAAATAGGGATGTATAGGGACTGATGGACTGATGAGGATTTTGATTGATGTAGCCGTCAAAATATTCCATGAATACTGGGTGTAACAGAGATATAAATGGGATAATCATTGGATTTATTATTGCTGGTAAAGCAATTATATAATCAACCACCCCTATGTAATTTTGATGGTTTAAACATGTTTAAATCAGCCATTTATGGTGAAATTGGGGATGCATTGCTATTGCTTTACCCACATTAAGTAGTTGCAACATATTATGATGATGTGGGTTTCTATGTTTTGTGGGGTCACTACAAGATAGATTCATATGTTGGAATGGCCAGAGTTCGCCAAGCAGTTTCTCTAACACATATCATCGAATCATATCGTTGTTCTTGTTGCATTGTTGTTTGCTAGTGTTTGTTTTTACATGGAATTGGTGAAACAGGGATGCGTCCAAACTTATACTGTATCATATATACCATATTTAAATGCATAAACATCCATAAGCAAATCCCAGCTATGTCCCAGCAATTTTGATGTTAGGGTACATACCAGGGTCAACCCCCAGTAGCAGTAGGATGGGGTGAAACCATAGGGGATCCTTTGGTGATGAAACATGGCAATGTCAAATCGCTTCATCTCACATCACATGTTTTTTTTCTAAAGGAAAAGTCAGCTGAGGGCCTTGAGATACCATGAATTCGCAGTGAAAGCTTTCGCGGGTGATCAATGACTTCGGGCTTGCGGGCATCAATTGTACAAGCTGCGGAATTGCTCGCAATTCAGCGTTTATCTCTCAATACTTGGTGGCTCATCCCACTTACTAGCTTATAAATGCTTATAACTTATAACCCTATAGTTATAGGTGGATTCCTAGTTATAGGTGGGTTAACCCTGCTTATATTTATCCCACTTTATACCCACATAGCAAGGACGAGTTTGAGCCGCATCCAGCAACTGCGCCACGCCGCGCCAGGTGAAAGCCCTGAAAAGGGCCTTGAAGGCGGTTACCCGCCTGCGGGTGGCGGGTGGAAAGATGATGGAGGTTGGTTGTATCATGTTGGTTGATGTTGCATATTAGATTTTTTTTGATATGGTATATTTTATAGTTATGATGAATTGGAATTGGTATTTAATTCAATATAGGTATATCGCCAATTAATGCCAGTTATATTGTAATGGATTGTGGTTGAGAGCTATGATTCAACGTAAAATTACTTGCTATTACCCGCTATATGGCCAGAAAAGTAATTCGCCGAAGGGAATGTAGCCGGATCTAGCCAGATGTAGCCCTTTCCATCCAAGAGGTTCCAACGGGAGATGGCATACACTCTTGAAGGTGTTTAGCTAGGAATGCTTGAGGTTGGCTTCAAGCATTATTATCACTATAGCACTATGGGTATTGGAATGTGCACCTGTGTTTGGACAACACAAATGTCTGCATTTTTCGCTATCACTGGGAATATGCCCCAAAGGCCCAAGGGTGCTACTTGATTCACACACCATTTTCCTGAAACCAATGCCTCAATTTGAAACCAATAACCCTCAAAGAGACCAGTGGCAGGGCTATTTGCTATGTCAATATGGGTTATACGTGCGCTTATGAATCCAATAAATTTGGCTTATAATTCTGTAAGCAGCTGTTTTCTTTCAAAAAGATGATGGCAACCCTACTCCCATGCTTGCCCATTCCATATACGAACCCCAAATATACCATAAATTTATAGATGAACTTCCCCTTAAAAACCTCCATTGGCATGCGGCATCGCAGGAGGACGACCTGGACTTGCCAGGCGCCTTCCAACGGCTCTACGCCTTCCCGGCCTCCCGCGGGCAGTCCGAAGCCGGAGGAGCGGAGGAGGTCTACCAGGCGGGCCGAAGGGGCAGACTGGGGGGTGAAAAGATGGATTTTATTATATACCCTATTGTCTTCTCTAAAGAGCAATAGAATATAAAATAACTTAATATCAGAAAAATGATATAACCGTTCCATCCTAAAATTATCCTGTATCGTTTCTGTTCTATGGTTTACGTTTACATGGTTCATCCGGCTCAATTGAAAAGCTGTTTTTCGTTGATTCGCTTCGAACATGGGCTTGGATATTAGCGGATTTTTAGACACAAACGGATGCGGTTTTATATCTACTGTAAATCACCCAAGTAAGATAGATCAAATAGTGTCATGAAAGCGGGCGGGAATACAGTTGTTGTTCTTCTTCGTACCCCCTTACAGTAAATACTTCTGAGAACTTTAAATTATAGATAATGTCAAGTGCCAAAAAAATCTCTGTTTGCAGTTCTCAGTGCTAGCCTTGCATTTCTACCCCAAAAGCGATAAGTTATCAATAGTCGTCAATAGTTATCAATCCCGTCTCCTTAATGTTAAATTCTTCTAATTTTTGCCATAGGCTGCTAAAATGGCAAGATGCAAGACCATGGGTGTGGGGTGTGATTTTATTCCAAGGGGAAGTGATGATTTTGGATTGTCAATGTTGGTGGGATGATTATGGAATCATATCCCTCAAAATCCAACTTGAATTATTAACCTGTTGTTAATCAACTGGTAATCTATTCCAACATCGACATGAATGATGTCTGCCGATCTCCTGGGCTGCCTCTGCGAAAACCTCTTCTTCTTCCTCTTCAATATGAATCATTGATCGTACTATGTCATTGTGGGCCTGGGATGCGCCTGAGCTGTGCTTCGGAGGCCTTGTGTGACGGCTTCGGTCTGGCGGAGTGCTTCCGCCGAGGCTTTGGAGAGGAAGAGGTCGGCGGTTTGAAGCGGAAACCGGGCGGGTCCTGGGAACACGAGGGTTGGATGATCGAACATGGAAACAGACAGAAACCACACAAGAATGTAACATGTGCTGCTTATAAATGCATGCTATAGAAACATATTCACACACACACATATATATATACACAGTCATATTCATATTATTACATTTTTGTGAAATATGATGATGATGATGATGATGCTGATGATGCTGATGATTTTGATGATTTTGATGTACTTGGTCTAGCAGACAAATGTCGCAATTTTTCCTGATGGACTTTGTGGATGGCTGGTTCGGGTTGCTTGATGGCTAGCTGCTCACCGGCACAGGACTTTAAGCGCCAACTGCGGCGGTCCTTGAAAGGACAGGGCTGGGGTTCATCTCTGGAAACCATGGATGAATATGTGGGGACGGGCGCAATTGGGAATCCAAACGCCGGATGGGAAATCAAAGCTTGGGCCTGGTTGAGACTTGAGTGCCAGACAAAATAGCGTGGCAAGCCCAAATCATGACCAACATGTATATATATATATATATATTTATTTATATCTATATCTATTATCTGTGTGTGTGTGTTTGTATTGATTTTGATTTCACAACCGAAGACAGGGCTGACCTGGTTGGCAGGATCCTGTCTGCGTTGGGCGCGGGTCTTTGGCTCCAAAGCCCCCGTGAAACTCGAGGTGTCGCTGGTTGCAGTTGGCTGCCGATGAAACGGACATGTTTTTGAAACATCAAGGGCCCCCATGCCAGATGGAACAGATAGCTTTTAGTAAGCCATGGTAATTAATCCAACATCGCTATGGAAAAGCACACATTTTATTAGGTAGATCGATCAACTACAGACGGTTTTTTTGTTTCCCATACATACCTAGTTTAGATCACCAGAGATCATGTTGTTGTCCCCTACTTGTATTCATTTTTATGTTTGACTGGCAGCTGTAAACATCGTGACAAAGCCGGCGTTTGAGTGACTGGTGGTTGAGATGTTTATTTGTGTCCAAGCATTTTAGGGCAAAACGATACAGTATTTTCAACATCTGGATTTCCATGGCCAAATTTGATGACCGGAGCGCATGTTATCCCAGTTTCCATGTTTACAACCAACAGGTTTTAGTATGTTATGCCCCCATTTTTTCTGCCCTCAACCCCTGGTGCCCCCAGTTTTTTTGAGGGTGTAAACCCCATCAACTATCATGAAGTTAACCGTAGTTGCCCTACTTATCTCAATTGAGCGATTTGGCTCAGTGTCACTGCCCCACCTTCCCAGGTGTGCAGTGGCACTGGAGATTGGGTGGTGGCACAGGCACAAGCCGATACTGAAGCCAATTGGGTGGCAAGTGTCTCGGCTCTTGGTGGATAGAAAGTGCTGTTTTTCTCCTACTAAACTTTGACGAATGGGAGATGGGTTTGTTTGAGAAGAGGGTAAATCCAAGTGCGATGGGTTGTCATGATTTCCCTAATTCAATTATATATTATATAACAATGTTCGGGAAATATAAATATACTCACCATTTCCTACAATATATATATAATATACATTATATACATTATACCTAGACAGATAGATAGATTAGATTACATTAGATTAGATTAGACTAGATTAGATTAGATCAGATCATATCAGATCAGATCAGATTAGATTAGATCAGATAGATATAGATATAGATAAATAAATAGATAGAGATAGAGATACAGATAGAGATAGAGATACAGATAGAGATATAGATAGAGATATAGATAGATATAGATAGATATAGATATAGATAGAGAGAGAGAGATAGATAGAGAGAGAGAGAGAGATAGATAGATAGATGGATGGATGGATAGATAGATAGATAGGTAGATAGATAGATGGATAGATAGATAGATAGGTAGATAGACAGATGGATAGATATAGATAGATAGATAGATAGATAGATAGATAGATAACTATAAAGTATAAACAGTTTTTTGACGAGCGTTCGAGTATCCCAACCACGTCTTAGAACTGGACGAGATTACAAAAGCGTAGTCATAAAGCTGGGTAACATTGAAGAGTTCAGTTCATAGACGTAGATGAGGTAGAATGTGGGTTGCTTGTCTCAAAATGTCAAACCCCCACAACCCAGAATCCAAAACAATTTATTCACCATTTCCGCTTTATCATTGCCATTTTTGGGGATCTCCGATCGACCACGTCATTTGAGGCGAGCTCAGATATGACCGCGTTTGGAGCATCCTGAGCAAGTGCGTTCGCTGCTGCAAGTTCGGGCTACGCTCGGCATGGCGGTTTGGGCATGGTGATTTGCAGATTGGACCTGCCCCTTTCCAAAGTTGACGTTCCAGCAAAAGTGATGGTTTTTGGTCAGGCACAACAGGGACGCCACCTGTCAAATGCTGGGAATAAAAAAATGCATATCCTTTCTGGGATGATGAGCAAAATAGACTGATCTTGTTTGATATTGGGGCTGCTTGAAGCTATCAACTAGATGAGCAATTCACAGGTATTGTTCAACCTCAATGGATTATATAATTATACCATTATACCATATTACACCAGTTATATCCTCATGAACAGGTGTAAAATCCACAGAGGGTGATACCGTGATACCTTTGCATCGGATTCCATCGGATTCCATCCCCATGAGTCCCATGGGTCTTCCCCAGCTGGCCTGGCTGGCCTGGCTCCGGAGCCACTGAGGTCTTCGCAAAGTTGTCCAATTTGGCCATGCTGGCAGGTGAGCATCCAATGGATGAGAGAAATGGATGAAATGGGGAGCCAGTTGGAGCTATGAATTGAGTGTCACGGCCATATCCATATAATAGGTTTATTTGGTTGGTGCTTTGGAACATGGCTGAAATATTGTTCCAGGTATTGGGAACAATAATCCCATTTGACTTGTATTTTTCAGAGGGGTAGGTCAACCACCAACCAGTTGACTAATGGTGGCCCCCGCAGATCCTCACGATCAACTGGTGAGATGATCCACAAAAAAACTCGATCCGATTTCTTGGAGACTTTCGAGTCATCGCTCGAAATCGCAGAAGCACATTGGTTTTATCATCAGGTATCATGAACCTAGCAAAAAGTGCAAAAAGTGGAGCAACCACATCTAGAATCATCTAGATATGATGATCATATTGAGATACAAGAGTTCTTCAGTGTGGCCGCAGCTTCCCCCAGTTTTTTTGGTGCCCAGGTGATGCTGGATCCATCCTCAAGACTCTGATACCGGCGGGCGACCTGGTTAACTCCGTTTCGACCACGAGAATCGATCTGCTTTGGGACCATGACTGCCATGACTATTTCGATCTTGGGTTAACTTGGGTGAGACTAGTCCTAGTTTGAAGAAATATGATGAAATATGTTGGTAATTTGGAGCTAAGTTTTTGTCCAATCATTTGAGACTTCCATTTTTGGAGAAATACAGGAGCTACACTAGCAAGATGAACCCAGCAAGATTGTATGGTCAAGCTGGTGTGCCTCACCGAAAAGCTGAACTTGAAGTTCCCTGGAAACATGTGGAAGATTTTGGTTCTGCATGTTTCTGCTAGAACTTGCCACTTGATGAGCTTAAGCTGGCGTCCATTTTGCCATCAACAGTCGATTCGAGTTGAGCACCTCCTTCTAGCATATGCTGTTCATGTCAATGGTATCCAAAAGATAAAGGTGTCCAAAAAATGCAAAGTCTACCCTGCATATCTATCATATTTTATCTTAGATAGGAAAACCAAGAAACACGGTTTTCCCTGGCGTTTCCTTGAATCTTTCCTGGTGAGTATTCTTTAGGTCATCAAACATGGTAGTTGATTTTCCCATTCAAGCCAAACCTCCATTTAGTTCGGGGATTTCCTATCATATCATATCTTTATCATATCATTATCATATCATATCATATTTATCATGAATGGGGGTTAGTATGATGAGGGTTTTCCATGTTTTTTCCTATCATTTAGTTCGGGGATTTCCCAGGGTACGTTGGATTACGGCTACCTCAGGTAGCATCTCCATGATCTGCATCAACTTCCCCGAGCCTCCGCAAACGAGTCGCTGCTTTGCCTGGAAATTAACTAATCGATATTGCATATCTATATGTATGCATGTTATATACACAAAAATCAATCAAAAACATATATAATCACATATATAGTCATAAACATAGATAGATGGATGGATGGAAGGATGGATGGATGGATGGATGGATGTATATGTATATGTATATATATATATATTACCTGTACATGTTTTTTGGCGTTTGATTGAAGTGCCTTTGAGGGTACAGTACGCGTTTGATGATGTCTTGCTTGTGCGAGGTCATTTTTGCTACAGTTGGAGCCAGCAATAAGTGCTGAACATTCATGTTCTTGTTTGGGATTCTCTCACCGCTCTTGAACCCATGAAGTTGACAGGGTTATCCTCCGCCAGTGTGATCAAACACATCTTGCCGCGGCCTGCTGGGAATATCCCCATTGGTAAATGAACTTCCCGGCTATAAACCTCCATTTAACTTAAGGATGTTTAGCTGCCATGTTTGGTTACCAGAAAATTACGAAGAGGAAAAGAACCAAACATCATGGGAGAGCAAAATAGAGCAATAGCACGGACAGCACAAGAAGGAATTTCCGAGGCACATCCCCACACTTCGAAGCTGATCCAAACATCAACAACTGCCCTTTAAAACTTGAAAGGGCATGTCCCGGTTTGGCCTTGAGGGCTGGAGAAAAACAAACTGTAGTCGGTCACCTTCAGCCACGATTCCATGCGTGACTTGATCCATACCTGTAGACACGTCATGGAAACCAAGGAAACGTGTCTCGATGGCAGCTGATCCGTCACCTGGGGGCTTGGACATGTGTTATTTAAGTTATTTTCGAGGTTTTTCTTGGGCCGGAAACTCGACGAATTACACTTACTGTACATGAATTGACACATGACATGAATTGTAGAATTTTATGATGTTTTTTTCGGTGACCTTTATCCACTAACAGTTGTGTTTGGACAGGATCCACGTGGTTTTGTACCTGAGGATCCAAGGATCCACTCCCAGGGAGCGACGAGTTTTTCGGCACGAATCTTTAAGGCTTGTTGTGATGACGCGGAATCCTCACTTCACCTCTTGACCTCGGAGTTTTTCATGGAACCTCGGCGTTTAAAAAAAAACACGGTGCCCCAAGGGGCGGTTGCCCCTTGGCTCAATGTGAAAATTATTTTTTTTCCAAATAGTTGATGATAGTTGTTCCTGATTTGACCGAACTGGTGTGGTTTTCATTGTTTTTTTTTGGGGGTGGAGATGTCTTTGAAATGCGTTTAATCTCCATTTGCATACTTTGCAGCTCAGAGATTGGAGGTGGACGGTGTGAAACATACTTGTGCCCTCCGTTTCCAATTTCTTCAAAGACCACAGAGCCGAACCTGATCATGCGATGAATGAATTTAACACATATAGAAATCATCCCTACTGGTAGCGTACCTTCGGATCAGGATGCACATGCTGCGCTTTCATGTGAAGGGGTCTGGAGACCCAGCGGGGAAAGGGAGTCTTCAAACATCACCGCAAGGGTATATATATATATACATTATACATACATGATCTTATATAATTCTGGTAGTTTGGGATATTTTTGTAGTCTATGCAACAGGAGAGGGATGAAAGAGGGAATCGCACATTTTTTTTGTGGCCTGTCCCACAACGGTTATCATTGCAGTGATGAGTTGGTTTTGGCCTACGGAGATGGACCATGACCTAAATCGCATTGTTTTCCTAACAGCGCAATATATAATATAGCATGATATCAATGATATATTGATATCTATATAAAATATGATGTGTATTGATGTGTTTAATTCTTAATTGTTATCAAGTGGCCTGGAAAATTTCAAGCGTCCGAACTAAATACGTCAATGTCAAGAACTCAAACGACACGCCCAAAGGATGACCCGCTGTGGATGTTACCTGAAAGGTGAATCAAATAGTAGCCGCGGGTAACATAGCTATTGAAAATAACCGAGTACAGTTGACATACCTATATGATATATATATATATATGATATATAAAATATGTATTTTTCCATAGTTGCGTACCAGAGGGTAACTATAAAATCATCAGATCTCACGGGTGACGATTTCGTTGAAACAATCGCCCAAAAAGGTCCTGACGATTTTTTCCGACAACGAGGAGTACATGCGTTCGTTGGCTCGAACCATTGGATGCTTGGCGAGTCCAGTTTTAGCAGCACTATCCTGGGGTGAAGTGTAACATAGATGCCACCAAAAACCATGGTTTCCTGATCTACAAATGGTGGCTTTTCATGGCTTTTCCACATTGATACATCGCTTTTCCACATTGATACATTTGTATGTTTGTTTCCTACAGTGCACGATTTCTTCTAGATTCTATAACGAAACAGTGTAACAGCGTTGCAATTAGGAGCGGGGGAATGTTTTGTATCATTTGGCTTACCTCCCAGTAAACTAACATTGCTATGGACAATGGTCCATTTACAGATGATTTACCTGTAACAAGTGTGATGTTAAATAAATGTTGTTTACCAGAGGGTACTGCACCAGGCAATTTAACCAAATTTCTGAACATTATATATTATTATATATTAATATATTGGTCTCGTCAGTGTGAATCGTGGAGAGAGTTTCCAGGTAGCTATTCTAAAAACATTAGTTTGGGTGGTAAATATTTTTGATGTATTCCGACACTGTGGCGGTTCTCAGCAATTCCCCAACTAGGCTTCTAGCTAATTTAAGATGCTTTTGGGGATAATGGTAACTCAATTCTGTACTTAACCACTACCTCTGGAAAACTAACACAGCTATGGAGAATGGTCTATTCATAGTTGATTTACCTATTATATAACTTACCTATATATATATGTATAGATATGTTTTTTTCAGATGGTGATTTTCTATCGTTGTATGTTTTCCAGAGCTAGTTCAACGTTTAGCAGGGGAGCTCAGCACCAGATCCCGATCCCCCATCGATCCGATCGAAGGAACGCTGCGCAACGGCCGCGGATCCGGGGCTTCTCGATGCTTCGAGCCGCTGGCAGACGTGCCTGCGGAGCATTTGGAGAACGCCGCTCGGGGGCCCAGTGGTTAAACCACCCTTTTGTAAATGGGGACCTTGAAAAAAATGGGGATTTCATGGGGAACATGCTTTTTTTTACCATGGAGTATATACAGGTGCTAGTTTTCCGTAGCTTTCGTTTAGAGTACGGTAAAGTAGTTTATAGATGATTTACACATTAAAACTGGTGATGTCATAGCTACAGCTAAATTACGATAGGGGAGCATGATAGATAGAAGGTTGAAAATGGTGATAAACCATGGAATGTGCAGCGAGCATATTCTTGAAAGAAATGGGGATGCAGCTGACAGCTGTTATGTAACAAGTGTTTCTTTGCTTGTTTGGTCCATTTTCGTTTGGTTTCTCTAGCCACTGGCCTTTGGAATGGGTGGAGCAACATCGAGCGTCGTGTTGCCTGTACAACTCGACAGGGTACAGTCATCAATCAAAGGGAGCACGTGAGAACTGTCCAGTGTCCCAGGAGGAGATGTGTGGGCTGCTGATTTGCAACCTGGCAGGAGCAGTTCGCGTCACACGCACACCTGCCGCATGTTGCACTTGAAAGTGAGGTTTGTTTTGAGAGTATCCAGGTTCCAATTTCCACTACTGAACGGTTGGTGTGAGTTTGGCTCCACTACTGTCAGGGTCAGGCAAGCTATTCTCGAAGGAATCTTGATGTTGGAGCCCCCTGTTTTGTAGCAAGGGGGCTTTTGGAGTTGTATCATGGACAGGCTGGGGTCTAGCACTGCATTTTGTATTGACCGTGTTGCCGGCTCGGATCATGACAGTCAATGACAAGGAAACTACAAAATGCACTTGATTTCGAAATCAGCGCTTGATGTCCCTTGATTTTGTAGAGCAAAATCCTTACTACTACAAAACGCAGCCCAACAAAAATTGACTTTGATGTCATCATACCCATAGGATCCATGTATGCTATATATGGTAACATTTACCATCAATATACCCCGTTTATGTTAGCATTAATATACCAGCACCATGAGTCCGTCATGGGATATGTGCCTATCATCCCTCTTATCATCCCAATCCGGGACGAGGCAAGGGCTGTCCCACAGTTGAAGCAGGGCATTTGGTGCAGGTTCCGGGGCACCGCACCGCGGGCTTTGGAAATCCACCATAGCTACCGTTTTGGTAATTTATCATAGCAGAAAAAGGATGAAACTCACCAAGTTTTAGATGATTTACCGTGATTCCCCTATTGAATATGTTTTTTCAATAGCTTATGTTAAGTGACTAGGGGGCATATGTGTTGATAATATTATATATATATATATATATGTCAACCGCGGATTGATGAATGCTGATTGATTCATCAGGAGAGTCCACCCCAAATAGTGATAATTGCCAGTAATTTGGTACCCCAAAATTAAATAGCCCAGGCTTTATTCATGTGCGGTTGACATTAGATGATTGTCCGATCAGCCAGTCTGATTTTGCGTTGCCATAAGGGGGATTGGTGGGGGTTGGTCATCCTGAGCTCCCTGAATGCCATAGAATCCATAGAAGGTTGCAGATATGCCTCCAGTCAGATATCCACACTTCTATGTAGCCGTTGTGGCGGCCATATATTCGTACTTTAGTCAATATTTGTTTTGGCAGAACTGTTGATTGAAAAAGCAGCACCCTTGGGCCAAAGAGCTGTTTGTTGCTGGGTGTTGTTGGTCACTATATATATATATTACATATT